CCCACTAGTGTAGTTCTGTCCCTGTGCATGTACCTATGTATGTATATATGTATACACGTATTTGTATGATAAACAATAAAGAAAATAAATCTAATAGATTTACTTCAAGACTTTGGAAGATGACACTAATATAGAAAGATTGTAAAGAAAAAACATATAGAAATAATTTTTGGAAAATCTAAAATTGGGGGAATATAATGACTATAGTTGGAGCTGACAAATTTTCTACCATGCTAAAAATCAATACAATGAGTTGTAAAGCAAAATATTCTTCTTGTATCATAAAGATATGGTGAACTCTTTCTTTATAAGAAAAATAATAATAATAATAATAATAATATTTCCTCCATCCTAAATCAAATGGATCATTTGGGGTTTTATAGTAAATTAAGAATTAATAAAATTTTACTGATTAGTAGAAATGTGTAAGAATTTTTGACATTTTTACCTTTTAACTTTATTTATAATATAATTATATGTGTAATGATATGTTTTGTAATTTAAGTAAAAGTTAATAGTATTTTGGTATTAATATACGATTACTTTTTCTAAAATTAAAAAATGATACTTTAAAATATAACAAAAGAAAATAATAAAAAGAGTATTTTGAATTGCGACAAAAGAAATAATAAATATTAATGGATTTGTTTACTTCGAATTTTATTTTGAGTTTTGTTTTGGATGCCATTTTTTTTTGCAAGAGTCGATATTATATTTTTCTAAACAATTATGAGAGTCACATTTAATAATTTTTTTTTTTAAAAAAAAGCCTATATTGGTTCAAAAAAATTCATGCCGCAAACTAGTGTTGAATTGTCTCTTGGATACTCACAAAGGATTCGAATCATCAGTGAAAAACCCATATGGGAATCCAAAATGATTTATATGCAACAAAAAATGCTTGAAATAACCTCAAATATTGTTTGATTCCATAAAATTTGAGGTATCAAATAAACTTACACTCCAAACCTTAATTGCCCAAAATTCAAACATAAAAAAGGATTCATGTTGCACTAATTACCCAATAGCAAGCAACATTAATTTACCCGTTGCCAAATTTAACAAGCCCAACAATGTGCAAATTTTGTTCGATGAAGTGACTTAGTCAATGTGGATGTCAACTTTGGCTTAAATAATAGAGTAATTACTTACGGGAGAAGTAATTAATGCTTGATGCCGATATGCTTATTTGCATTGCAATAGTGACACTGTTGATTTGGTCAAATAACCAATTATATAACATGATTATTTTATAATCATCTACTTAGTAAACATGGCAAATTATCATCGATTCTTGCTAGGGACTTATATATAAAAATTGCACTATGGATATTAAGTCAAACTGATGCATTCATCATCATGTTAATTAATTAATTTTTATTTCCCATTTTATTGATGAAGTAGTAAAGGTTGAGTTAGGTTTTCCTTGAAGCAGAAACCGATTGTTACCTTTTTATTGTCATAATTAAGATCTTAAAAACGACATTGACTTGAAATCTTGTGCACATACACATCAGTCCACAACCTCCCATATTATATATATATATATATATAGAGAGAGAGAGAGAGAGAGAGAGAGAGAGAGAGATCTCGTTTGACAATATAATGTTCACTAGACATACATATATAGTTTTTCCTACTTTTTTTTTTTAATCTCCAACTTTCATTCTTGTAATAAGAAAAACGGTGGAACTCTCATTAGAGTTGAAAAATAACGGAACACAATGCAATTGAATCATAACAAGCGATTAAAGACCGAACTCAGACACAAAAATTAAAAATTAAACTTGACGGACGACCAGATCTCAAAATCAAGAGACTTTCACCAACGCTATAAAATCACGTATAAAAATTTCAAAATTGGAGACCTTTGGGGTAGTGTACCCGGAGGAGCGCAAATAAGTATATTATATCATACTCCATGAGAAAAGTAGGTTTGGATATCATGTAAACTTTTTGGAGAAAAATAATTAATTACATTAATATATAATAAAGTAAAAGCCTATTTATAAGTATAATTCAAAATGGATAAAATCAAACCATAAAAAATAAATAAATAAATAAATAATAAATATTCCAATAACACAAAATTACTAACCAATATAAATTTTCTTAATCCATTATAAAATTCTTTACATATAATTTCGATCGACGGAGGTAGTATTTATTTATAAGTTGTATAGCATAAAACACTTTTCCGAAATCGACATACTCAGCCTTTCCATTTTTGAGAGTCGATATTATATGCATACACATAAACACAATATATAATTACGTAATTTTCAAAAAAAAAAAACACGTGGTTACTTTGACTTACGGATTGAACAGTCATACCTAATGTCACTGGAATATAATGCATCAATTAATGTATTTGAAATGATACATTAAGTTCATGTGTTAATTATACATTAGTGATACTGCACTGTCACTAGTATATTTTTATATAACTTTAATCTAGTTGATATATAGATTTTTATTTTTATTTTTTAAGTAGGGTTGAACTGCACTTTAATAAGAATATATTTATTTAAGGTATGAATTTTTATTATGAATTTAAATAGTTGTTTAAAAAATGTATGAATTTGATATTTGGACTGCAAAATAATTTTTAATGTAATATTTAAAACGAAAAATCAGGGTTTAATTTTATTTTGAAAAAAAAAAAAAAAGTTTAATGAATTGTCAGAAATCTCAAAAACCCCAATCAAACAGAGCTTACTTTTCAAAGAAAATGTTCTTTTTTTAACCAAATAGTTTTTTTTTTACCCCCTACGTTTTATTGCAGATAGGTTATAATCAGTGTAGCATTATACACACACATGTATATATATATATATATAGAGAGAGAGAGAGAGAGAGAGAGAGAGAGAGATGTGCATGGATCAATCTAGGGTTTAATTCACACCTGCTTTGAAGAAATTGACATGAGCAGACGTACCGATGTAACATTTCTTTTGTCACCTTTATTATATGTATATATATATATATATATGTAATTAATAAATAGTTTGGAGGATCCATGCATTACCATGATCTTGACGTTAAACACGAGCTAGCGATGTAACAAAAATATACTACTATGGAAGGGAGAAATCCTCAATACACGACTGAATAAATTAAAGTAAAAATCGTTAAGACAAATTAATTTTGCAATATATATATGACGTATCCCTATCAAGTTGCATTATTAATTACTCCCTCCGTCCCACGTACCATGTCCATATTGCCGTTTGTGTCTGTCCTACATACCATGTCATTTTCCTTTTTTAAAAAATGATTATACACTTTAATCTCATTTTAAAATTTTTAATTTTATTTTTTTAAAATTTTAATTAAACTAATTAGTTATGTTAATTTTAATTTATAATTATTTATATTATAGAATAGTTATTTTTACTAATACATTCTTAATTATCTACGATATGTTGGAGGGAGATAGTATTACAATTGCAATAATAAATATTTAAAATCACACTCAAGTAAAAATCGTTAAGACAAATTAATTATTGTTTAAATAATAGCGTTGAAATCCCAACTACCAGTACTCTATTATAAGATTGGACTAATCCTAGAATGTATACTGCCACCATTTTAAATAGTCATTTAGAATTTTATAGCAAATTAAAAAATTATAGGCTCAGTTTACACAATACATTTTTATTTATTTGGTACTATTCGTTTTTTAAAAAATATCACATTAAATAATTTTTATTTTTTTTCACAAAACATCAAATTAAATACTAAATTTTACTTTTTTCAAACTTTCAAATTTCCAAAAACCTCCAAAAATTTCTATCTAAACAAACCCTAGTATTTTATTAGTTAATCGAAATGTGTAAAATATTTTAATATTTTTATTTTTTGACATTATGTGTAAAGTAATTATAATTGTAATAGTAGTTTAAATAAAAGTTAAAAATATTTTGCTATTAATATACTGTCACTTTTATTTAAAAAAAAATGATACTTTTAAACAATAAGAATGAAAATTATAAAAATAAAAAATAAAATAAAATAAGTAGAATGAAGAAATTATATTCCTTCGTTCCATAAGTAAGTATCCGTTTGCTTTTTGCATGTAGTTAAAATATATTAATATTATATTGATTTATCGTAAGAATAAAATTGAAATAACTAAAATAACTTTATTAGTAATGCGATGTAAATGTAATGACATTTGTGTAATAAATTGTAAGTTGTAAGAGTATTTATAGTGTTAGATAGATAATAAAATTACTAAAAATTGAAATTGATAATTTGTTATGGACGGACAAAAATAAAATAAAAAAACAAAAAAAATTATTATGGAATGAAAGAACTATAAAATATTTAAGCTAGCTCCCGCCCTGTCGAATAAATTCGCATATTACTAGTAACAAGATAATATATATATATATATAAGCGTAGAAAATTTCCACCAGAAATCACCCATATTTTATTTAGTATCAATCATATATATATAATTTTATATACCCTTTCTCTACCTTTACTTTTTCATTATTATTACACAATTATCACTATTTTTTACATTAATAGGCAAAAATATTTTTTATTTATACTTTTTACTTACTATCAATATAATATCAATATTAGTTAAATCTCCTGTCTAATTCAACTAAGACTATAATTTCGGAAATTAGGGAGTATTAATTAATTATATATATATATATATATATCTGTAATGTAACAGCCATAGACATATGATTACGAAGCATTGGTTATATTAACCCATTTAATCTTATCATCATGTGGGCCCCGCGGGACCACGTATCACTCCCTGATTGGTTGAAAACCCAGGCGCGTGTCGGTTTATTGAATGCCTAACTTTCAGGTTTCGCTGTACATAATTGCGTCAGCGTCAACAAACGCTGATTGAAGTCCGTATTGAAATAACTCTTCTACCCCTGCGTTTAGCCCTCTGATTGGGCGACTAGTTGCCCCCGCAGGCAGTAGTGGCATTCATAGGATTTTGTACAATGAACGCTGGCTAGACTAGCTACATAGATAGATAGATAGATAGATACCACCGTATTATATATATTTATTTATATATATAAAGAGATATGTCACCCAGACGATGTTGTCCACCTTAATTGCCTTCTCCTATTTTTCTTCTTCCGATCGACCCTCGCCGGAATATGCTCTTCTTCTCCGATAAGTTTCCCAAATCCAAAAGCTTCAGAGCTCCTGCTCTTCCACCTCTTCTGTCCTCCACAATAATTTTACAGTAATCGATACACACATATATATATATAGAGAGAGAGAGTATATGGAAAGCACCGATTCTTCCGGCGGGTCGCAGCAGCCGCAGCTGCCGCCGGGGTTCCGCTTCCACCCTACCGACGAGGAGCTGGTGGTGCACTATCTTAAGAAGAAGGCGGCGTCGGCGCCTCTCCCTGTCGCCATCATAGCTGAAGTCGATCTCTACAAATTCGATCCTTGGGAATTGCCAGGTACTTCAATTGTCGATTTTTTGCATTTAATTTTTTCGATTGCATCGACGGAATCTGACAGACAGGTGGTGGTGTGAAAATTTCAGCAAAGGCTACATTCGGAGAGCAGGAATGGTACTTTTTCAGCCCTAGAGACCGGAAGTATCCCAACGGCGCCCGGCCGAACCGGGCGGCCACGTCGGGATACTGGAAGGCTACCGGAACCGACAAACCGGTTCTGACGGCGGGAGGAACTCAGAAGGTCGGGGTGAAGAAGGCGCTGGTTTTCTACGGCGGGAAGCCGCCGAAAGGAGTCAAAACTAATTGGATTATGCACGAGTATCGGCTATCGGAAAACAAATCCGGCGGCGGCGGAAAGCCGCCGGGATGCGACGTCGTTCCGAACAAGAAGGGATCTTTACGGGTAATTAAATTAGTTTGATTGAATCTCGGCATAAGCGGTATTGATCAGCGAGGGCGTGTTGATTTTGATTTCTTGATTTTTTGTTAACGCAGTTGGATGATTGGGTTCTGTGCCGGATTTATAAAAAGAACAACTCGTTGCAGCGGCCGATGGACCACCGCGACGGCCGCGGCGACGACATGACGGAGTTGGTCGGCGCAATTCCGCCGGGGCTGTCAATGCTGCAGCCGATGGCGCAGCAGAAGCTTCTAAAGGCGGCGGCGGCGGGGAGCAACTACGGCCCGTTAATGGAGGTCGAACATCAGAATTTGTATGACGGAATGATGGGTGGTAATTCGATGGCTTCTCATCATTTATTTCCGCCGGGCGGCGGCGGCGGATCGAAGGTATCTCTTCCGCTGCCGCATATGGCTTCTGCAGACGGTAATCTCCTCCCCGCGGGAAAAAGACCGCTGCCGAATTTATACTGGAGCGAGGAAGATCAGAACGAGAATTCTCCGTCGACGAAGCGGTTTCTCGTAGACGGCGGCGGCGGCGGCGGTGGTCCGGAGACGACGAATTCGATAGCCAGAATGCTGAGCCAGATGCCGCCGCAAACGCCGTCTCTGCAGGAGCAGCCGATGCTGGGAAGCCTTGGGGATGGGGTTTTCCGGCAGCAAGCGCCGCCGTATCATCAAGTCTCCGGCGTGAATTGGTACGCTTGAATTAATTAATTATTGTTTAATTATCCAAGTTTTTATACAATTAAAGGAATTTTTATCTGTAATTTATTGGTCACCACGACAATTTATTATTACTACACACACATATGTATATGTATGTATGTATGATGTATGTATATCCTTTGGGGTTTGGAGATTTTTGTTGCCAGGAAAGAATAGACGACACGAAGATTTCTCCGGTGATTATTATTGGGCATGCAACGAATTTGATGAATTTAGTTTAATTTATTATTATTAATTTTAGGATATTATATATATATATTTATATATATAATACACAAATTAATTAGGCAACGCAACTTTTACAATCGAGAGATTATATATACCAACTGTGTATGTATGTATTTTGTTGCTGTGAATTCTTGGAATTTGGAAACAAAAATTAAAAAATATATAAATTGAGGTATCAGATTCTGGACACTATAGATACATACAAGGATAGTGAATAAATTAATTAAAGATAGATACTAGGTTGGCATGGCGTACGATGTTAAAGTTCCCAAACCCTAACTACAAAATCATCACATGCATGGTGCGTGCATGGACAAGTGGTTGTTCATCTCATTCTCAACCTATAGATACATATATACATACACAAATATATATGTATATGTTGTATTTCTTCAATAGACAGGTAACAGATTTATTCCATGACGGTTACAGCATACATTTGAAGCTGGTGGAAAAGTGGGATTGTTTATTAAGCCATATATTGATCTGCCTTTTTATCCCCAATTTTTTTTGAAGGCAAAAGAATATTTATTATCGTATATATACATATTATTTGTGGTTGCCAAACATTTGAAAAAAGAAAATAAAATTGAGAAAAATATTAATTAATTATTCATGTTGAATTAATTCATATTGCTTTAATAACTTTAATAATAATATATATATATATATATATGATAGGTAGTGACATTTTTATAAGTAAGCTACAGAGGGTAACAAAACTTTTGATACAGAAAAAGCATTGTTTGCAAATAATAAGGAGGAAATGAAATAAAAAGTGGGGAGCCCATGCATATATATCCTTATCTGTCCTAATCGCCAGCTTTCATTAATTTATAGCATCTTCAAAATATTTCCTCCATTTAATTTACATGCATGCATCAAGTATGGCTGTCCTTTTCTTTAATTTCTTTTTTCATTATTATTTGGGAATTAATGAGAAGTACATCTAAATTATCTCAGATAAATGAAATACGTAGTTGTAATAAAGTTAATTGCATTTTGGAAGGTAATTAGGGGCTTGAAATTTGAGAAGAAAGCTAAAAGGGCTGCTGCAATCCCTATCTTTATCCCTATCTCTATCCTCTCTTTTTCTCTCTCTAGATCTCCTCACATATCAATAAATTTATTTATTTTTATCGTTAATGACATTTCCCAATTTGGGAAAGAATACAGATCAACTTTAATGAGTGGTTTGATCAATCACTCAAATGCTTCATTTGGATGATACAGATAATGCATCCAATTCATTATTAAATGATCAAGTTTCTGTAGTAAATATGACTATATACATACATATATATATATATATAATAAAATAAATTTATATATAGTTTCATGTTCTTCAGCGTCACCTACACCATGAAATGCATTATGCCACTTGATTATATTCATACCACAATAAATATTGAATTTATTCTCATTTCTTTTCATTTTAGGGTATTGATTGTACAAGATTAAAAGTGAATTAGATGGGATTGAATGAAGCAAGAATATAATTATCCAAAACTTAAGTAAAAGCCCCTTTTATTATCTGGCTAATTTATATTGTAATAATTTGAATGGTTAATTGTAATGCTATTTGTATATATTTCTTTGATCCTAATCTTAAATTAAGGCCATTTTTTACTCAAATAATTTTCTTTTGGACATCAACAACAAATGGGATTCTTAATAGCTTCATTACCCAAATCAGTATTGCTAATTAAGAACTTAATTTATACCTTTAACAATAGGGTTTGGCAAATTAAATAGACCTGCAGCAGAAAGCAGACAATTTTCAAGATTTTCTACCCTGTGAAGGCTGTTTCTATAACAAATAAATTTCAAGAAACCCTTCCAGAAAAGAACTACAAATCAAAATACAGCGAGCAGCAGATTAATTACCAAACTACTATTCATCAACAAAGCCATGCCATTTACTCAGATTCGACACAATTAGCTAGCCAAATGATCCTCATGATTCCTATTAGCCAGATGGCATATATATATAGCCCCAATAGTGTAGCAAAAGTTCAAGCAATTACAGTATTACTTCCATGGGAGGGCAGTAGGCACCAATCTCCATTGCTTCGGTAAAATTTCTGAAATCCTTTCAAGAATCCAAATAAGAGAGAAGCAACCCTTTGTTCCATGGCTTTCTGACCCTATGTATAAGTAATGAAAAGATTTAACAAAATCAGTTGATGCAGCATTGGTTCCTCGACGAATTGCGCAGATAATGTAATGAAAAGAAGGGTCGTGCCACCGAAACTGTTTCTCTTCAGCAAGGGAATGGATCTTCACAGATAAGAAAACCAATATTGTGCAAATTTCAGGCAGTTTTAAGTAAAACTTGAAAAATTATTGCAGTGTGATTAACTAGTCAAATTCAGTAGCATGCCACTCAAGAAGCAGAAAATTTTATTAAATGCCTTACCTCGCAGGAAGAGCTACGACGGCACGTTGTCATATATACTATTTTGCCAAACAGGAGAAGCTCACAAGTTCGAGGATTCCCAGCTAGAGTAAACAGCATTGATAATTTTTCCGTGTAACTTGATTCCAGAACAGGCAATTATGCCCCTATCAACACCTTCTAGGTATATTCCTCTAGAGAAGTCGAGGGGGCGGCCACCTGCATCGGTCACAACACCACCAGCTTCTTGCACAATTAGTACACCTGCAGCATGATCCCATATTTTCTCCTTGTATCCAGATCTTGCAAATCTCATGTAAATTTCAGCATCTCCTCGGGCTATGGCTGCATATTTGACCATGCTATAAACCCGCAGTGGCTTCTTCCTGTATTTAAAAATGAAACATTTCTCATCACTACCACCAAAGGCAAATTAAAGGCTATATGGTAAAGCTAATAGGACGGTACCACCGAAACAAAATGAAAAATAAAAAGAACTAAGCAGCATAACTAAGAAAAATAATATTGCCTAATGCATATAGGGTTCGAATTTCAGACATGAAACTAGGTATGGCAGCTAAATCGTGTGTAAAGTTTTCTATCAATGTAAGGCAGAATGAAACTACTGACGGGTGTACTCTCAAATATGTTATCCAGCAAATTTTCCAGAGAAAACTTCATATGACAACATTCAATAGTGGAGTCCTTAGTAATGATGATAAGTATGATTAACTTTGCAGCCCTTATACATGAACTTGCAGCTCAAGTGAAGAACACATATTTCATGAATTTCTGCAGTTTGGGCCCAACAATGGATTAAAATAACTTCCCAGGCACCTTATAAAATGCATTTGCAGACCTTACACCAACAGTGGTAGCAACGCCTGCTGTAAATGAATGGTTAGAATTAGTTCTTTCCACTGGTTCACAGAATGTAGCCGATTCAGGGTCTTCAATGGAAGAAACTTGTACAAGCTTTGCAGAATTTGTCCCCTCAAGTTTCTTCCCAACTTGAACTAAAGGTTGCATCCAAGCTTTTCCACTGCCTTTGCTCGTGTACATCACACATCCTAATTCCCCTGATGATATTTTTGATGTAACAATATTTTGTTGACTGTAATTGTTTAACTCATCATCTTTCAACGGATAATTAGGGCACCCAAGAACTCCAAGCACCACCTCTCCTTCATCAATCATAGCAAGACCAACAGCATACTGATCTCCACGCACGAAACCTAGAGTTCCATCTACAGGATCGAGTATCCAGTGCCTACCTAAAGGGCCTCCAGTTGAGTTACATTGACTTATTGCGTCAAGAATTTGTGAAGCACATAGTGGTTTTTCAGGACCTCGGAGACCATATCTGGGTGCCTCTGCCAAGCATCCGTTCACAGCATCGACAACCATTGCTAGTAAAGATGATGATTCGGGCTTTGACAAAGTTTGAATATCTTCTTCAGCAACAATGGAGGTTTTTTGTCTGCCAAAAGATTCTGAAAGCATCCAGCTTACTGTAGCTTGCACGCTCCAGTCTGTTTATGCAAGTATTATTGAGTGAACAAGCAACACACAGCAAGCAATGAACGACTAAATGGTTTAGGTTTTAATAAATTCGCATTTGGAGCCAATGTTCCCATTAATCAACAAATTTAGATCAAAAATCTCAAGATAATGTTGAAATCTTTGAGAATTGGCTATGCAATGATAAAAGTTGTAGCAAATACTGCAGCTAGGAAAGCCATATTAACACTTCATAGATGCCTCCAAAGAAAAGTTTAAGTTATTCAGTATAAATTAAGAAATATGAATGATGACAGAGAGTAAGAAGTTACAAGATATCAAATAAACATAACTACTAACACCATCAATCCTTAGTCCTCATCAAGAGGTAGCAGAAATAGTTTTCAACTGCTATTGGTGTTTTTAAAGCCTCTGAACTTCACATTTATTCTACTAATTTGTTAACAGTCCCAATAATCAAAACTTTACTAAAATTTGATACATAAACATACAAATACAATGTTGCTTGATAAATTTGGAAAAGTGCAGTTACTGCATCTTCGTCAAAAATGTGTGAGGATCTTTTAAATACCATACTAAGTACTTTCACTTGATATTATAATGGCCCTTCTGCCTCTATACAAACAAGGCAGCATAGCTTGTATAGATTAGATTCCATGGAACTCCCAGAACAAATCACAGCAACAAATGCTATAAATAACAAAACTTGCAAAATAGTTAGTCAAGAAAGAAAATAGGTACTACAAAGTTTAAAAGAGAGCACTGTAATTCATAAGTTAAATATTAAAAGACAGCCAAAAATCCGAATCTCACATTCTATGCAATAATATATCACGCAAGTATAAATATTAATTTTCAATCCACGCCGGACTACACCTGCCACTCACTCTCAGAAACTGAACAAAAGGGGAAAGGAAAAAAATAGTAATAATAATAATTAAAACAAATACAGGAAGTGAGGAAAACACATGCGCAGCACAATCATGTGAGATGTGGGAATAAGCAGAATATTAAATTCAAAGGCTCCTTTCTCTAAGAGTAAAATGGTTGTACTTCGATCCTTGCCTTGTATTATCATGATTCCTATATACTTCACAGAACATTGCATTGCATTATCCAATTAACAAAAGTTGGCAATGCCTAGAACAGAATTGCTTCCTTCTCTTAGGTGCTACCCAAACTGTGTTCTTCTGCTTTGATTTGTTTTTTAAGAGGTCGTTAGAGTGTACTAAGGAATGAAGATTAAAAATTCAATTAATGAACAACAATGGAAGAATCATCAGAATGCAAGCGGCTCCAATAAACACCCACCAATTCCGTTCACTAAAAAATTCATGGTAGTGTCTTTTAACTAAAACCTAAGCTATGCACGATGAAAGAATTCGAGGAAGAACTGAAGTAAAATAAACAGCAAGCATCCATTTCTCCCCAACGAAAACCTAAAAACGCGGTTGATGCAATAAGGATTTCCCACATTCTTAAAAAGGGCAAAGAAAAAATCATAAACTTGGAATTTTCAAATCAAAGTGTGACGATCATTCCGCGATTCGTCATTCGAGAGAAAGGAAACGAAGGAAAACGAAACAGCGAAAGAATGAGAGTACCTGCAACGGTGACAAGAGAATCGTCGTCCTTGGACTTAACCTGATCGGTAGTTGCGGAAAGTAATTGCTTCTGCACCTTTTCACAGAGGGAACAAGCCATGTGAACCACCCTCACGGCGACATTCAACTCGTCCAGATATTTCCGATTCTCCATTTCTCCTCTCCTCTGCCCCAGTCGAGCGATTCCTGTTTCGGGAAACAGGAAAGAAGAAGGTAAATCGTCACGCAATTTGAATTGCTATTGAAAACCAACAAAATTCCTGATTCTGCAGCAGCTGCTGTTCTGCTTTTCACTTTTCTTCGTCTTCTTTTTGCTTTTATAATTAATTTTTCGAAGGCTCTGTTGTCGTCTGGTTTTGGGTTGCTGTACATGGGGAGGAGCTTCGGTAGAATGAATCTGATACGCAAGGTGTGCTAGGTTCATCCTTCGTAAGCTATAAACTCAGTATTAATTATGTCCCATAAGGTAAAGTGAATAAAAATAGCTCGTCTTTTTCAATTACTACCAAGTATTAAATATTTAAAATATTATTATTTTTTTAATTTATTTTATTAATATTATTATATTTATATCATATTAATAAATGTATTTTTTTTTTATTTGTATTATATATTAATATAATATTTCTTTGGTACCACATTTATTTGTTTCATATTTTATATTATTTTGTTAAAAAATAACTAATTTAATTTATAATTTTTTTAATTTTAATTAAATTAATAATTATTTATGATAATTATTTTTAAAAATATATTTTTAATTATTTATTAATTGTATTCTTCGTAAATTCTCGTATCATAGAGACTGAAAAAGTAATTAATAGTCAAATATATATAGGCCAAAAAATGTAAAAATAAATATGCTATATGTTAATAGAAGCCTGTATTCAAATGTTTGAAAGATGAATTTTAATAAGAATAGATAATAATAGTTATTTTTTATGGTAAAAAATTATATAAAATAAAAGTAATATTTCTTTTGCTTCAATTTAATATGCATTTTTTATAATAAAAAACTTTTCGTTCAAAAGTATTTTTTTCAATTATAATAAAAATAATTATATTTAAATGCCAAAATATTTTTAATTTTAAAAAAAAATGAATTTAAAAATAAAAAAATCACAATCATCTTACAATAGTTCTACTAATTAATAAAATATTATTTTTTCGATCATCCAATTATATATTTATTTGACCGAGTACGAATTTTAATTAAAATATATAAAAATAAAAAAAAATTACTCTTTAGGATAAAAAATAAAAAATAAAAAAGTAATATTTTTTACTTAAAAAAAACTAAAATAAATTTAGAGAGTAATATTTATATTAAAAAATAAAATTTTATTATAATAATATAAAAAATATAAAATTCAAATGACAAAATGGGTAACACTTACTATTTATGTGTAAATAGATAAATTATTATGCTTATATTTGTGTCAAGTTGACAGTAAAGATACAGGTTACCAAGTAGAGTTTATTCAAATTAAAAAAATTCAATTTTTTAAAAAAAATAATATTTAATTAAATATTAGAATACTTAATTTCTTATTTTTTTCACATTACTTTTCAAGATAGATTGAATCATTATATTACTCTATTATACTATTTTAATATGTCTGCAAAAATCAAATAAAAAATTTACTAGTAAATAAAGACTATTTATAATGGTGGTTGTTAACTTGTTAACTTAGTTGTTAAAATGCTAATAATTTATAGTATATAATATTTACCAGCAACAAATAACATGTAACAGGACCAGAAAATATATAAATTAGCTATGAATATACATGATAATAATTCACATTTGTATACTATCCCTATCCAACAATCTTAATGTTCTCATTTTTTATATTTGGTCTGTCATTCAAATTTCTTTTTTTTCTTTAATTGTTATCTAAATTTATTTTTATTTATTTCTTATGCCTTAAAAAATAAAATTTATATTTTAATCTATTTTTTTTAAAAAAAAAACTTATGTTATAATTGGATGAAGGAGTAGTAGTAACTAGATGAATCAATTCCATTTGTACGGAGACGATAGGCCTGCTATAGCCATCAGGTTTACATGGGCTCGATGCTTAGGCCCAATAAGTTTGGGCCAATCAGAGCCGGATTACAAGCAATGACATAAAGTTATGTTCACTTCTTTTGTTGTTTATTAACCTCGGGATCTGTCACAAAGTTAGGGAGAAATTTGAACGTTGCTGCAACAAATTATATTAAAAATGTAAAATATATTATTTTAAGTGTGAATATTTGATTTTTTAATTTTTTGTAATAATTCTTTTTTTTACTTTTTATAACAAGTAACTCACTCTCTCTGCTTTTTAGAATTACATTATTTTTGCATCGTTATACTTAACATTAAAAATATAGTAGTAAAATTAATAATAATAATAAAAAAAAGAACAAACAGAAATAAAAAGTATGACATTATAAACCGATTTTTACGTGTATTTTTATGTGTAATAATTAGCCCTCTCTAGTTTTACAGGTCGAAGACGTAACGATAAAAGCAATAAAAATTTTCAATAATCGGTTCAACAAATATCAAATTCTTCCAATTTGCGAAATGCCACGTAATACTGTAAGATAATTGAAAATATATGATAAATGCTCGCGTTGGCACAACCAACTTTTTAAAGATAGATTTCTTTGGAAGTATTTAAAAGAGTTTTCTTCCTCAAAATAATCTTATCCCGAAGATAATTATAGAATTTTTAACATGATTTTGGAAGATTTTGGTTCTATTAATAAATTGTCAAGTCCTTCAACAATATCATTATTCGTATTTCTCATCACAAATGCCTATGACAAATGCATCAACATTATTTCTCTATGCCAGCACAATTGGTCAGTTTTTTTTTGTTATTATTATTATTTACAAATTCTAGTTTCTTAATTTTATCGGGATATATATTTTATTTTCCTCTGGCCATTTTTTAAATAAATTGTATATGAACAATTAAATCCTAATGATACTAAATCCATTGCTCAAGCATAATAATAATAATAATAATAATAATAATAAGCTGCAAAGAGGTGACCGATTGGATTGTCCGATTTTTCTAATCTGCGCAGTATCTGATTGCAAAATATGTGAAAAAGTGATTGGAAGACTGGCAATTTGAACATTGGCCGATCTGAAGATTGTTCAATCCAAAAATTGACGGATTTTTGTAATATGCCAATTTGAAGAGATTATGCAAACGCAATGTGCTCGCTTTTAGCTGATATTTTTGTGTGTAATAACTCTATTTATTAAAATTCGTATCCAACTCGAATTAGTATAAATTTCACTTGTGCTAAATTTTATTCAAATATTTGTGGCATATTTATATCTTATCTAGCATTTATATTTTAGAATGAATATGTACGTAATGTGTGCCTAGGTTCATTATTTGTAAGCGTGTGTTTCACAAATATTGATAAATCTATCTTTAGTTGGTACAATATTAATTACGTATGTCCCATAATAAATGGCCTGGCTTGTCTGAATTGAATTCGTGATTGTGAGTTGATGGTTTAAAATTATTTTTATTCAAAAAATTTAAGATTTGGAAGTTTTATTCTTTTAATTGAAAACATAGGGTTTGTTTGAAATTTTTTTGAATTATTTTAATTGAGAAAATATCAATTTATAATATACTAGTACACAATCTATTCATTTTTTCATTTTAATCGAGAAAATATTAGTTTTTATCAATCTATTCATTTTTTCATTTTGGACCGTCGTATAACATAATATCAATTTCATTTTTTTAATAATTTTATTATCTATCTAACATTACAAATACTCTTTCAATTTATAATATAATACACAAATGTCATTCCCAAAGTTAGTTTAATTTTTTTACACTTATTTATACTACATTTCAATATACTCACTATTGATATTTCTTAAACTTCGTAAAAAAAACAAATAGACAAACAGATATGGGACGGAGGGAATATTTTTTATTAATACAATTTTTTTATAAATAGTAATAAAAAAATACAATATATATATATATAAGCATTTACAATTGAGAAAATTCTTTTATAGTACATTATTTAGGGCTGGTTCAATATTTTTTATTTTTATCATTCTTTTTAATAAATAAATATATTTATATAAAATGCATTTATGTTCATTATATATATATATTTATATTATATAAAATTTTATTCTTTATAAAATGAGATTTCTATCATATATATCTCATTGAGATATAATTTTTAAAATAACTAAATATATATTTTAAAATTTTTAATCATATATTGTCTCCTAAATCAAATATAGCTAAATTAATTTTCTCCAATTCAATTTACAACTTAGGTTTGAATAGGTAACTGATCTTCCATTTATTAATATATCACAATAGTATATGGAATTTTTGTATATACCAAAATATATATATAAAAAATCAAATTATATTCTATTGTCGTATCGAAAAAGTTCAATACGATATCAGATAACAACCGTAATTTTGGATTTATTTTTCTTCAAAAATTATATATTTGGTATTTCGAAAATTTGATATTTTCTACATCGCTGGGTGTATTAATACTGTATTATTTAGTTTGTAATTGCTTATTCTATATTTTGAAACTCTATTTATCTGAGGGTGTGTTTGTTTTGTGATATTGTTGGAAAGAAATTTTTTTTATATGATGTACAAAAAATTGCGTAGAAAATACGAGGCTTTAATATTTTTTTAACATTAATTGTTTTTCAATTTTCATTTATTAAAATTAAAATTTTTGTTTGTTATGTAGATTTTATTTGTTTTTAATCATTAATATTGATGTGTCTATATTTAATTTTAAAACAATTGTTTAATTAGATAATTTCTATTTCTAAGTCGTTTAATAAATAGATAAATTTATTTGTAACTTGTAACCAATAACTACACTTAAATTACATAAACTTAATTTACATTGTAATTTTTTTACATCTTCAAATATAATAAAAGATTTTATAATTTACAAATTAATATATCAATTCTAAATATTTAAATGACTGGATTTTAAATAAAAACTTAAATATATTTTGGGTAGGTGGACATTGAAGAGGATGCTTCGATAGAATGAACCTAGACTAAACGTGTGCCCAAGTTCATCTTTCGATAGTTGCTGCAATATAATTAATTAATTATCTACAATCTTCGTGCATTTTTTTACTAGATTTTTTATTACTATTATTATTTATTTTTCAAGAACACCTGCTTGCACATAAACTTCCTTGTAACATACTAAAAATGTATGTATGTAAAAAATATATATATCTTTTTTTAAAAAAAAAATAAAATATATATATATAAACAGTATATTCTATGTTTATTCGTTTCAAAATATATATTTAACTATTTGGACACAAATTTGAATAAGAATAAAGAATAACTTGTTATTTTTTATAATTAAAAATATATATATATAAAATAATATTCTTTTTAATAAAAAGTAAAAATGATTTTTTTATGATAATCTTAAAAACATTAGTATATAAATTTGAATGACTATTATGATATATGTGTACATAGGTGAAATTATTATACTACCTCCTTTCCAAATCAATGTAATCGTCTCCTTTTCGCATGCATATATTTAAATATTAATAATATTATATATATAGTACAAGAGTAGATATCCCTATTTTAAACTTTAGCTAAATAAAAATAATACTCCCTCCGTCCCAGATACCATGTTCAAATTGCCGTTTCTGGCTGTCCCACATACCATGTCACTTTCTTTTTTTGGAAAATGATTACACACTTTCATCTCATTTTAAATTTTTAAATTTTATTTTTTTAATTTTAATTAAACTGATTAGTTATCTTAATATTTATATTATAGGATAATTATTTTCACTAATACATTATTAATTATCTACTAATTATATCCCTCGTAAAATACCGTATCCACAGTGTAGCAGACATGGTATTTGGGACGGAAGGAGTAATATTTTATAAATTGTAAGAATTTTTTAAAATTATATGAATGGTACAGTTGAAAAAATAAACACATTTGAGATCGAATAAAATAAATAAATAATTAATTAATATGGAACTGAAGGAGTATATATATTTATTTTTTAATAGCAACTAGGCTCGTATCAATTGCATTAATTTGGGCCGGAAAAAGATCGGTCTGATATAGCCATCAGTTATGTATGGGTCCAAATTAAAGCAGGCTTAGGCCCAGTAAATTTGGGCCGGTCTGCTACAGCCATCAGTTATGTAGGCCCCAAACTGAAGCAGGTGTTGGCCCAATAAAAATTGGACCATTCTGGGCTGGATTAGTTTGTTTGGTAAGTTAGAATGTAAATGCAAGCAATGACATGAAATGTTAAATGAACTTGTACATTCCCATTAAGAAAATTAAAGTTGGTTCCATAATAATAGAATTTAGTTAATGTTAATTTTATTATGAAATTTTCCAATCAAAGAGAGTTCTATTATAATAAAATTTTATAAATTTTATAACAAGATGTTATTTGGGGATCGATAGTTCTATTTTTCATTTTTTCTTTTTTTTTTTTTTAGAATTGAGATGCTTGCTTTTTTTAATTAATATTTAATTTGATATTTTTGTAATTTTTTTTTTAATTGAAAATTTAATAACTGAATAACATACAAAGAGAAATTCCTTCCAATTATTTTTTTTTTAAAAAATAAGGATAAAAAAATCCTTTTAATTTTGTTACAATGCGAAACTAAATTCGTTTTTTTCAATTATAAGAATATGTACATATTTATAGTGATATACAAATCGTCTAAATAAATAAAACAAGAATCCTACGAATCTTTAAATAAAACAGCTTATCATAAATATAATATATATATATATATATTTTAACAAATTTAACCAATTGCATATATAATTGAGTCGATATAATTTAACCTTAAACCCATTCGAATGCAATATGTAACAACGAAACTCAATGATACAAGAAGTGCGTTCAACCAAAAAAATTTCTGCTTGATCCTTGATAGTGTAATGGGTCGAATAATTTTTACCGGAAAATAGGATGAGATTATATAAAAATTATATATTAGCTAACACATAGATATTACTCCATCATTCCCACTTAAATTGTCGACTTTAACTTAGACATAGAGTTTTAAATATTAGATAATTAGTAAGTAATTAAGAAATTAGTAAAAATTATTATGATTTATAGAAACAGCTATATATTAAGATTAAAATGACTAAATGATTTTCTTAAAATAATAATAAAAATTATAAATTATGAATTTTAAAATATAATTAAAGTGTATAATTATATATATATATAAAATAGCAAATTACGAGGAACAGACGAAAATAAAAAAAATAAAAATAAAAATAAGTGAGATAGAAAGAGTACTACTGTATATCTTATCACATGCTCGAGCCTCCACGGTACAATCCTCAGATGTAATAACATATTACAATATCAAATGGACATGGTATATGATCATAATTAATTATTTATTATTTCATCATTCACTTTTGAATGTAATTTTTGGAGTTTTATAATATATTAATAAATAATATTATTTTATTAGTTAGTGAAATAATTTTGTATTGAGACAAATAAAGTATATTTTAGTGTATACTTGATATATATATATATTTTTCGGTTTGGATATATTCTTGTCTACAAAATCATCACATGAAAAACCAAATTTTTATTTAATATATTATCAAAATTATAAACTCCATTTATGTATGAGTTTTGGAAGTTATATTGATTTGAAAATTTTCATTTGAATTTTTTTTTTTCAATATTGAAAAATTAATGTTGAAGATTGAAATATATTTAGATATTTTTGGATTTTTTTTTTTTAAAATTATCAATGTTAATAAATGATATTGAGTAATGGCGTGGAACTAAAATATAATTTAATAGGAAATAAAATAAAATGCAACTTTGTTGAACACAAATAAATAAATAATGATTATTAGGGTTTGTTTGGTTTTTTAACTTTGTTTATTTTAAATCGTTTCTTTTTTCAAATTAAAAGTAAGTTGATGTGATTTTTTTTTAAAAAAAATAATATATATATTTTTAACTAGGGACCGAATAGTGTTGATTTATTATTGAAACATAAAACTTATTTATTTAAAATAATCTAAAACAATTTAGAACACATATATAATATATTTTAGCTAGGCCGGCAAAAATTAACCCGACCTGATAACCCGACCCGAACCTGATCTGAAATAGTTGGGTTTGGGTTGAGATTTTCAATCCAATTAATAATTGGGTCAAACCCATTTAACACATTTAATTAAATGAGTCAGGCTAAGGTCTATATTTTCAATCTGAAAATAATCCGTCTAACCTGTTTAATAATATTATTTTAAATTTAAATATATATTTTTTAAATTTTATCAATACAATTCAATATTTACGGCCAATTTTATAAAAATAAACAATAAAAAATAAAGGATTGTGTTGTGTACTATTATGTAGTGTTTGTTAATTCAATTCTTGAAATCGGTTTCATGATATGAATAAATAATTTTTTGCTTTAATATGTATATATATTATGCATTTAAAAATTTTGTTAGTATAAATTTTATTTTTAAATTAAAATTTAAAATTTATAGATTAAACGGGTTATACGAGTTAGATTCAGGTTGACCCGATTAATAAAATGTCAGGTTAATGTTGCAAATATCAACCCATTTAATTAAATGGATCAGGTTCATCAAAAGTTTTATAACCCGTTTAAGCTGACCCGAACCCGACTCCGACCCGACCTGATCTGTTTGCCAGTCCTAATTTTAGCTAATATAATAGTATTAGATATATTAATAGTGATGACATGCTTATTTGAATGTAGCTCTCCTCATAAATGAATATAAATTAATTTGATAAAAATTAGGATCATGAATTTGAATGTATTCAAATATATATATATATATATATTTTATTAAAAGGAAATATATAAATTAAAATTTTATAGATTGTGAATTTATATCTCAAGATCTGTACAATAATCAAATAAAAATTAATGGTGCCAATCGATAAGAGCATTCCACGTCATATCTATTCATGAATATTTAATTTATTTGTCCAATTAATGACCTAATTAAAACAAGAAATTTTCTTATATATGGCTAGTTACTTACAATAATATTATTATGACACATGCATGCAATGCAAGAACTGAATCTAGATCTGGATGGATTCAGGTCGACCAACGGTCTTATATCCATACCTTATCCATCCCTAGCTTCATAAATACACTACTTAGAAACCTCATGCAAATAATTAATTGAATCAAGGACCACCCGAAATTGCCGTTGTTGTTTAATTTAATTTGATCCACCGTAGGTTGTGTTGACCGTTGACTGTAACCATTATATATGCTAGCTAGGGTTATGGGCACACAATCTATATTCTATAAACAGAGATACAGGAATTATTATGTTGATTGAAGGCAACTTGTTGGTTCTGATTTTTCAAGTCGGTACATTATAAATAGATACAAATCGTAATTTCAATTAACACAATATATTTGTATTAAGTAATACCATTGAGAGAAAAATATAAATTTTAATTTTTTTTGGGGTAGATATTATTTGTTTTTTTTTTTTTTTTTTTTTGTATACTTGCAAATATTTAATATCCTATTACGAAGATACTAATAATATTATTCTAACACTCCTACATGCATAATTAAAAAAGAAAAAAAGAAAGCCGACTTCATTAATTAGGAAACCCACCAACTGTCGGCCAATCTGTACCTACACGTGGCAGCCATTCATTCCCTGGATGCTCTTGTCTTGCCAAAGTCACACACGTTGCCAAGTTTTTATTACATCTCCACCTATCTATCTATCTATAAATGAGAATCTATACATATAAAACATATATAGTTTAATTAAAATGGTGACGCGCACACACACACACACAGCAGCTTCAATGATTGCTGCCGCTGCTTCAGATTCTGTTATCTATAAATAGAAAGGCATAGTTCGATCAATCGACCAATCGCAACGTACATCTGTTCAATTGATTAATTCAATTCGTGCTTGTAAATTAATAGTAATTAAATATTGAAGATCAGTTTTGCGATGGTTTGTTTCTGTTTCTTGGTTGATCAGAAGAAAGTGGTGCGGCGGAGCAGGCCGGTGGCGGGGACGTGCGGGCGGTGCCGCCACGGGGCGACGGTGGCCGATATGCAGACTTTGACGAGGTTCTGTTGCATCCCATTTTATTGCAAGTCTTGGAAGGCCATCGTGTGTACCTTTTGTGGCCGTGTCCTTAAATCTTATACCTGAACTTGATCAATCATTTTCACCATTACAAAAATTACTTGAGTCTTTGGATTCGGCCGGTGATTTATCCAATGTACACTACTGGAAGGATAGTGATTGTAAATTATTACATTAACCAAAATAGAAAGAAATTCATTAATTATGTATATGCATATAAATGTGCACAGTTTATAAATGCTAATTCCCTTGTTCTTGCAATGAAATGATGAAGCAATGAAATAAAATTTTTATATACTTACTATATGTATACAGTTGTAGTGGGGATAATATGTCCAATGTGGTAATTATGTATGTGTATGTTACCGTATCACTGTCAGAAAAAATAAATTTGACTTCAAAAATTATATAAAATCAATTTCGACAGTAAACATTAAATCAACTAAAATTTTCGATCTTGAAAAATTTGAGACAAATGGTCTCGAATTTTTCATAGTCATATTATATATACTTTATTATATTAATTGATCTCGAAATTTTTGAAGAAGTATAGTAATATTTTATTTTATTGGATGGTATTGGAATTTGTTAAGGCATATTATATATATTTGTATTTTATTAAAAAAGCTGGGAATTTTTTTAGCTTATCTTAAATAGTCTCGTAATTTCGGAACTTTTATTATATATATGTCATCTGTCTTAACTCAGAGTACTTTTTGTCCGTTCATTCAAAAGTATTTATTATTTTATTTTAATAAGAAAAATCGTACACTAATATCATAATATTTTTAATATTTTACGTAAATTACAACTATATTATTATATATATAATTAATTTATAAATAAAGGCATTAACAAAAATATCAAATTTTATTACTTTAAAGTGGGCTTAAAATTTTTGAATCTTTATTATGTATATTTTTAAATTTTAATAATAACAGTCTTGAACTTTGTAAGAGAATCTCCAATTCAGCGCTCGGTTGATTTATTTGACGTCGGTTATCTTCTACCGACGCCAAATCCAACGCCACTTTTTGGCGTTGCTACAGTGCAACGCTAATTTTGGTGTTGCACTTTATTATTATTATTTTTTAAATTTTTAAAATTTTTTAAATTATAAATTTGACTTTTAAATTTAATTTTTATTTTTTAAAAAATTTAAAATTTAAATTATAAAAATAATTTTTTTTTTAAATAATAAGAATATTTGAAGAATATTAGTGAAAAATGGAGTTATGATTAGAATAAAATTATCAACTGCATATTTCATATTTAGAGTTAAAATTGGATAAATAAATTTGATGGATTGGAAATGACCTAAGCTTTTATTATATATAAAATTCAAAAATATTCAAACTTACAAAATAATTAAGGGTGTGTTTGTTTGGGAGTTTGGATTTTGAGTTGGAATTTGAATAGTAAAAATTTTGAATGTGAATAATTGTATGATGTGATATAAATAGGCGTTGATGTGATATTTTGAATGTAAAATTGATTTTTAGTTTAATATAAAAAAATAGATGTTTGATTTTATATCTTTTAGTAGAGAAAAAATAGGATGAATAATGAATTTAAAATCCAATGCCCTAAACAAAACACCCTTTTCTCCGCCGCTACCCTCCCCTTAAATATAAAAATTTTAAGTATTTTCTTCAAAGAATAAAAAAGTCTAAAAAGTAAATTTATTATTGTTATTATTAGTATTAGTATTATTATTATTATTTTATAGAGATAAAAAATACACACACTATTGGGCTGTGTATGGTACAGAAAAGAACAGGATTAAACAAAAACAAAAAAAAAAAAATGCAGTCATTTGAGCCGAAGTTATGTTGCCCCGGTCAGCTTGGAGTAAGATAATCGCATGAGAGTTAATATTTTCTAGAGTACATTACTTGCTGCATAAATAAGAATTCAAATTTGAAATCTGTTTAAATTTACTGTCAATTTTCCAATGCAAGTAAATTTATTTGACTATTAAAAAATGTATATATGAATTTATGTATTGTAAAAAATATATATAAGGATATCTATCATTCACCACTAATTGCTGGCCCAAAAATATTCGACCCGTTTCACTGGTTCGGGGGAAAATAACTAAGAAAGCAAAATCGACCCACTGATTTGATTTCTTCACCACGTCAATGGCTCCAATGGAAGTGGTGAGCCCTGAGAATCGACGACGCTGCCACCCAAAATGGTTGTGGCTCTATCCTCCACTTATCCGATAGGCGCTCTCGCGTTCCGCCGTACCGCTGCAGTTTGTTCCGGCGCCGGAGTTTCTTTTCGTCTGGATTCTCGAGCTTCAACCCTCTCTGTCGGAAGCTAGGATAAACTCTTTGTGCCCGAGGTGCAATGCTTTGCTGCGCCATTTACACTGACTAAATTTAGCATCAATGTTATCATTCGGAGGAATATGTTTTCAAAGTGATGTGGAATAATTGCGTGATGTTGTAGGTTGAGAAAGTGGTTGACTCTTTGTACTCGGATTTTCGATCAATTGATAATCTGGTGGCGCGCAACTCCGCACGCGTGCTTAAAGCTTTTCAGAATGCTCGTGTTGGCTCTCATGTGCGTTCTGAATTTTACGTGCTTTTGCAGATTTTTTTTTTTGTTTGGTTTATATTTATTTATTAGCATTGTTATTGCCCGTTGTGTTTCTCTGGTTTGAATACGGTCGGAATTTATTGTGATAATTGTGGGGCGACATTCGCTATGCAATATGCAAGCTCGATAAAAACGCTCTAATGTTATATATGATTGCATTGAAGTATTAAGCGGCTAGGCGTAGTCTGAAGAGGTTATCTAACCATAGAATTAGCAGTGGATTCAAGAAATGGTAGTATCATTTGTGTGCACTTCTAATGATTAGGAGAAAAACATAAGATGCATTGTTTAGCTTAATTTATCAAGCATTTTGTGAGTTCCGTGCCCTATATCTGCTTCAGCACTTCGGTGGCAGCACTGGTTATGGTCATGAGGAAGCTGGTGGGCGTGAAGCCCTGGATGAAGCTTTTGCAGAAATTTTTGGTGCTGAAGCAGCAATTGTTCGAGCACAGGTTCTGCAGTTCACATATTTGTTTTTGTTGGTTTTTTCTGTGCAATTATGTTTGACTAATATCCTGGCTACCAGTTCTTCTCAGGTACTCATGCGATCACCTGCGCATTGTTCGGTGTCCTAAGGCCAGGGGATGAAGTTAGTAGTCGTTTCCTTCTATCTATTCTTGTTCTTGGTTGAAAGTTTATTTTGCTTGGCTGAACTTGTGAAGTCACTGCATCAATGGCATGCTTAATCTGATAATTTGCCGGCTCTTGGCTGTTGCTGGGGCCCCTTATGATAATTTGGAGGAAGTTATTGGAATCAGGGATTCCAATGGCTTAGGTTCTTCAAAAGACTTTGGGATAAGTTACAGAGAACTTCCGGTACATGCTGGTCATATAACTTTTAGGAAAGCTTTTTCTCACGCTTGTTGATCTTATATTCCATATTAACTGCTCAGCTTACTGATGATGGTGGCCTTGATTGGAATAACCTGAGGGCTGCTTTGAAACCTCAGACAAAAGTGCACTTATTCAAAGATCATGTGGTTATTCATGGAGACACAGCCTTAGTGTAGATGAAATTGGAAGGGCTATAACCATAATCAAAGTAAGTACTTGGAGTTTGTTTTGTAACATAATCTGATAGATAATTGTTGTAAGTGGCATTGAATTTACAATGCCATCGTTTTTTCATTCATGGGTACAAGGATCCATTTGTTATGATTATCTTTATATGCATTGGCATGTACAGTTGCAGATCCCAAATTGTATTGTCATGGTGGATAACTGCTATGGTGAATTTACAGAGTGCATTGAACCCCCAAATTGTATTGTCATGCAGATTTGATTGCTGGAAGCTTCATAAAAAATCCTGGTGGAACAATTGCACCATGTGGTGGCTATGTTGCTGGTAGAAAAAAATGGGTTGCAGCAGCAACTGCTCATCTCTCTGCCACAGGACTGGGAATTGACTGTGGCTCAACTCCTGGGGATATTATTCGGACATTTTTCCAGGGTTTGTTCCTTGCTCCACAAATGGTTGGGGAAGCAGTAAAAGTAAACCATCTTATCCTAACTCTAATTTTCTATATAAGATGTTATCTCTACCCTGACAACACTTTTTTAAGCTTTTGGCAGGGAGGGTTACTGATGGCTGAAGTCATGGCAGGTCAAGGATATAAGGTGCAACCGGCATGCCGGGTTCCTCGTCATGATGTAGTGCAGGTTTATAACAAAATCTTTTTGCATCTAATGTAATCATAAGCTTTTAAGTTAATGAATGGTGGATGGTGCTACGAGTTGAGTCCGACGATGTTATTTACTCGGGCTTCTTCTAGTTTAGACTTAAGATTCTATTTGCTGTATGACACTTCTTTGTTCTGCTTTATCAGGCAGTACAACTTGGAACTCGTGAATGCCTGCTTGCCTTCTGTGAGGCTGTGCAGAGAAGTTCTCCTGTTAGTTTTTTCACAAAGCCCATAGCAGGTGCAACTCCTGGCTATGCATCCGAGGTATTTCCAAAATGATTTTGAATCATATGGTGCATGCAACATATGGTGAAACTGTAGTTGCTGTTGTTGATGAACAACCAGTTTTGTTTTATTCTCCCTTTTACATTAATATGCTGCTGAACATTTTGCTCTAATCTACAAAAGAACATCCAATATTATTGAAAGTGTATGCACGTTATATTTGTATTCTCTGATGAATGTCCGTTCTTTCTTATGAGGAAGTAGTGATACAATTGAAAATTATTCGACTAAGGTGATATTTGCTGATGGGACTTTCATTGATGGAAGTACTAGCGAACTTTCGTGCGACAGGCCATTGAGGGAGCCGTTTGCAGTTTTTTGTCAGGTATGACTCTGATATGCCCCTGAGTGTTAAACACTTCTGTTCTATGCATCCAAATATTTATGAATTCCATCAACCAGGGTGGCAGCCATTGGACACAATGGGGACTAGTTCTTGGGGAGATACTGAAAGCTTTATAGGATATACAGCAACATATTTGTTTTATTCTCGGTGCACGTTCTCCTGTATTTATCATAAAATCTTCAATGTGCTGCACTTCCATCCAACTAGTCCCTGGACTGGACCCTGGAGCATTATCTTGTGGATCCTTGCAAGGTGGCCTCAACCAATTCTTCATCAGTCTTTTGTTTCTTCAAACTTGCTAATGTTTGATCGATTATCCTTGCAGAAATTTGACTGGAAATCTTGAAACATGTAAGTTCTAGCCTTAATACGACCGGATCCCTACATTTATTGAGAAGGGTTTAATTGGTCCCCCAACACTTTGTGTGATTTCATATGAAGTATAATTTTGTAATCTATTTCTTGATTTCATCCAATTTCCATTTGGGTTTACATATACATGCGAAGCAATGCCATATGCTCTTCTTTTTTCTTTTATTTTTTTTGATGATGGAAGTTCTAGAAAACGAACAGATCAAATTACATGGGACAGAGGCACAGGTGTCATTCAGATTCGACATCATCCCTAGTTCCCAAATTGTGTCCTCATGAGTCGTTACTCACGCCATCTGGGCATTGGACAAACAATCAATTTTAGTGACACGTCTATTTTCTTGATTGGTGTCTCTCTTATTCCCATTTTTCTGGATTACTGTCCTTTTAACTTACAGATTCCTTTGAGCCAGCGGATTAGTATTACGTCGGCCACCATCACCAACGCCATTTGTCGGCACCTAGTAATTCATTCAATGTAATTGTCAGTAACCCATCTCTTCATTCGTTTATCATCGTGTGCATACGTGTCTCGTTGCTCCATTTCGTGTGCTTATCTCAAACACGATTGAGAGAAGTCACGTCGGCTGCGCCGATACTCGGACCCGACCGCAGTACAGCACTCTGCAGTATCTTGTATGCTTTTCCAGCCCAGAAGAGTATTTTATATTGTATGTGTACTATGTTTTAAAAAACGTTCTATATATAGTATTTGACTTCTTGTACACCTACCAATCAAACCTTGTAGGTATCAACCACCTCATACGTCGGGGAGGTCTTCGCTGTCTACAAAGGGCTGAACAAGATCTTTGGGTCCATCATTCAACTCCAGGCTTTTCTTGGTCTTGATTATTCGCAACTCCATCGGGATTCGACTCTGTGAGTGTTGCTTTTCTTTTCTTATATCCCCCTCTCTTCTTTTGCGTGCTTAGCTATCAATGGGTTTTCTTGAATTCGTTGCTGAATCAGATCTTGTATCTTCCTTTTGCTTGCTTAATCTGTGGCAATACGTGCTGATTGACCTTCTTAGTTCGATGTTTTAGTGTGGATGAGGTGTTTGTCAGCGTTTAATCTAACTCTTAGTTTGATGTTTTGGAGGGGTTGTTTTCTCATCTTTTTCTTTTTTTAATTAGTAGATCATGTTTTACATAGTCAGGTGATGATGATGATTTGAGTTCTTAGGTTTGCTGTGTGTTTGGGTATATATTACATTTGGGTTATATCCATTGCTAGTGTTGGTTCTCCTATCAAGATTGATGCCGTTTTTTTTATTCCGTTTCGTTTAGATGAGTAAATATTTGTGGAACCCACTTTGTTCTTTTCTTAGGATGATGGTTGGAGATAATTGTATTAAGATGGGGGACCATGATCATCATAGTTTTAGTGAAGGAAATATGAAGGACCCAAATTCTGTTCATAGCTAAACTGGCCATCTGTACTAGATCTTGTGAGGTTATGTATGGAATAAAAATAACAAAAGAGAATTCAAAGTGAAAGCAATCTATTTTATGAATCTCCGTTTTGTTGGAGATTGATTTCATGATGACAGTTGTGATCAGGCATATATTTGGCAGTTCCAGATAATTTTCTGTTGTGTATTCAGAGATAGATCCATCATGGATCGCGGGCAGTTTACTTTGATGGGATCAACTGTCTGCGTCATGCTCTGTCTGCACTTTTCGATTCAGCTGGTGTCCCAACATTACATGTCCTGGAAGAAGCCAAAGGAACAAACGACAATAATTATTATTGTACTCATGGCTCCATTGTATGCTATCGATTCCTATGTTGGCTTGCTAGACATACGTGGGAGTACAACATTTTTCACTTTCTTGGATTCCATTAAAGAATGTTACGAGGCTCTGGTAAGCGTATCAGCAACTGATACACGGTATATGCACTATGTCTGGAACTAAGCTGATTGAGATACCTAACATTGTTATTTAACAATAGGTGATGGCAAAGTTTCTGAGTTTGATGTATACATACTTGAACATATCTATCAGCAAAAACATAGTGCCTGATGAGATTAAAGGCCGAGAAATTCATCACTCATTTCCCGTTACTCTTTTCCAGGTATACTTCTTTGTGTGCTTTCAAGGCTGCCCTCTACTTTTAGAACTGATTCAGATTGTGCTGATTGCCTAAATTACTACTTATATTCCGAAATGACATTTTACCTGATAATTTGCAATAAAAATAGTGTTGTCTAAATGTCTGGATGTATTGAATGCAGCCTCACACTGTGCGGTTGGATCACAAAAATTTGAAACTCCTCAAAGACTGGACATTGCAATTTGTGGTCATCCGCCCTGTTTGTTCGGTTTTGATGATAGCCTGTCAGCTTCTCGATGTTTATCCGAGCTGGCTCAGCTGGACATTCACCATCATCCTGAATGTTTCGGTTTCACTAGCATTATATTCTCTTGTAGTCTTCTACCATGTCTTTGCAAAGGAGTTGGCGCCGCACAAACCTTTGGCAAAGTTTTTATGCGTAAAAGGCATCGTCTTCTTCTGCTTCTGGCAGGTACGAATATAAAAAGCAAATGAATTCACATACCATACCTGATATGCTTCTCAATGATGTTGTGTGCCAAAAGACACCATCTTCATCTTTGATATATCCATTTACAGGGAATTGTGCTCGAAATTCTTGTGGGGATGGGGATATTAAAGTCGAACCACTTCTGGCTTGACGCGGAGCATTTAGAAGAAGCTCTTCAGAATGTGATGGTGATTGTGGAGATGGTGTTCTTCTCCCTCTTGATGCAATATGCATACACTGCTGAGCCTTACCGCATCGGGTCGGTCTTGGCCGCAGGCTCGGAGAAGAGTGACAAGAAGACTGAGTGAGATTGTAAGCTTTTTTGCTTGTGCCTATTGTATGTTAGACAACAATGGCATGCCTTCTTTTAGGCTTTTGAAGGTTAGTAGATGCCTTGTTTGGTGTCTGTTTTGTAATAAAATTGGATTGGAATTTTGTAATTTCACTTGCTTGATATTAATCATATTATTCATACAAATTGGGGAAGCATTTCTGAAGCTCAAACCACAACTATTTCAAACTAAAATTAAAAAGATGGATTGAGCGAAATTGTGCCAAATGATTGATATTATGGGCCGGTGGGCCAAGACGTAGTAATTGGGTTGAAGAGTGTGTAATTTCATTATCTTATTTTTAAGAGTCGCATTTTGGAAACTTAAATCGTTGATTGGTGGTTGACGACTTTTCTGGAGGCTAAAATATAAGTTTACTTGGGCGAGACGGCTATTCGGATTCGGGCAGGATAATTGGTGCTGGTGATGGGACTAACGGAGGAGCTCCGATGGACCGCCGGGAAACTCAAGAGCGTCGGCAAGTTCGCCGTTGAATCTGCCGTGGCGGAATACCTGAAAGGTCTTACTACTCCTTTTGATATTGCGCCCATATTCTCTAGATTGTTTGCAATTTTTTTTACAGTATTCTGATTGTGACGTGTTTAATTATGCGGAACCGTATGGAATTGATTCTTCGCTGGTGGATAAGTTGCTCTCCTGTTGGAATTGGTAATTCGCTGGTGGATAAGTTGCTCTTCTGTTGGAATCACCTGTTACCGGCTTCTGGATATTATGATGAACTCTATCGTTTGTTTTTTTGTATTTTTGAATTTAGGGCAAAGCACTTGATTGATTCTAAGGAACCGATCTTTCGCATTGCTTTTCGAAACATTTCCCTGAAGATTATTCCCCGGATTTTCTTAATGTCTTTCTAATTAAACAATCGAATCAATTAAAATCATCTGGTGTTGGCTGTTGAATTAAATTTTCAGTGACCTATTAGTTATCAGTACAACACAATGGATTGTAGAATCTGCTTCACTTTGCCACTGTTGACATAATCTGCTGAGGATACATTGATCTGAGATTTAATGGCAGCAAGGCACGAAATAATAACGGACCCTAGAGATCATTAACCCAACAAGATAACATACCTATTTTCGACGATGCATTTCTTGTATTCATTGTTATTTCACAAGTAAATCAATTGTTGTAGAATCTGCTTCACTTTGTTACTGTGACATAATCTGCTGAGAATTCATTGATCTGAGGTTTAATGGTAGCAAGGCGAGAAAAATTAATGGATCCTAGAGATCATTAACTCAACAAAATAATTTACCTATTTACTTACAGTTATGAATTTTGTTGTGCTTATTGGTTTATTCAAGAACTCGATCTTCCCCACATCATATATATGTTATTACTTCTAATACTGCAGGAAGTATGCAAGTGTATACAATTGTGAAGGGAAAACTTAATGGTAAAATCCCTTTAAACCTTTCGAACGGAAATAAGAACAAAACCTCTGCGATAGTGGAAGAGATGCAAGCAAAGCTAGAGAAGATGCAACAAGACATGAATGACATTGAGCACCAAACAAAGATTTCAATCCATACAAAACAAGGACAGCCAGAACATCCCACAAAGCAACATTGTGAGGAACCTGTAAAGGTCTCTGCACATGAGGCCATGAATCGCAGAAAGATTTTCATCCGCTCCCGGCTGTAAAAGAATTTTGAAGACAAGGAGGAAAGCTGTTGTCATGAACCCTTGCAAATATTGCAAGGGTTATGAATACAGCCAATAGATTGAATACACATTGCCTTGCTAGGCATTGTCATATGTGATTATTTAGCAATATACTCATCTTTCGTGGAACTGTCTACTAGGCATAACTTCTTTAAGAGGTCTCGGTTAGTGCCTTTTATTTTGGTGCCCTGTCTGATTCTTAGTATATACTTGTTTCGGAGAGAATCATGTCATTATCTAGAAACCTAAGATCGTACTTATTGGTTTCTTCCCTATGTAGTAATCCTCTTGATGACAAGAATATTGATTAGCTATGTTTACTATATGGTATTAGAGTGGTGGTGTTACAAAGTCTAGTTGACAAAGATCCTGAATAAGGTTCATATATGTTTTATTTCATGGACTATATAGTGTTGAGTGAGTGTTAGTGCAAGTATACTTGAAGAAATTTGGTGGGCACTCTAACATCAAGTTTGGTGCTGGAAAGGCTATGTATATGGCTATCTGGGCAATGCTGATTGTAGTGGCTGGGGAAGGACCCTCCAACTCCTTTGGACAAGACATTGATTTTTTTCATTGAATATTTGCATTGGTGCAGCTCAAAACTTATTGGAGTTTAATAAATTAAAAAAAAAAAAAAGGATGGAAAGAAAAACCCTTATTGTATATTAGTTATTATGATCTTTTGACTTTATGTTTCATATCAGGCATCCTTCCTCACTGTTGATCAGGATTTTTAAATACTATTTCAAATTCTACTATTATTATTATTTTATTATTATTATGAAATAAATAGAAAAAGAAAGGACCCCGCATGGATTTTGATTTTCTAACAAATTGATTTTTCACATTTAAAAGGGTCAATAATTTCTAATGATAGTGCTTTTATCCTTTTATATATCGTATCTGATCTTTTTGGACCGGAATAATGTATTGAAGTAGGATAATATTAATTTAAATATACTCAAGTACGAATATTAATATTATGTTATAAGGAATATATATATATATGTTTGATGTGATAATTGAAAAATACTACTCCCTTTTTTATAAATATATATATTTTAATTATGAGAATTCACAATCCGAATAAATTTTTGATTAAACGTAATAGTTTGCAAATTAAGACTAATAAAATAAATCACATTAGACGAATCATATAGTATAACAAATAAAACACAAAGACGTCGGGAGTTTGAATTCACTTTACGGTATATACCATTGGTTTAGGATATATTATAAGTGCAAATATGTTATCCTACCCTAAAGAAGTCGGGTGAGTTTTGACAAGAGGAATTGTTACGGTGTTAAATTTTCAAATAAACACCTATAATATGTATAAATAATACATATTTTTATTACATATCAAACATAATAAAGGCATACACTGTTTGTTCAGAATTATATACATGTATTTAAATAAATGGTTGTGTATTGGATGTTATTATATCATATATTACTAATTCATGTGTTATATTGATATTATATTATAATAAAAAATATGCTGCCAAAATAATATATTATTCTGTCTATTATATTAAATAATATAAATACTTGAATTTTAAATTCAAAATAATAGCCGCCGACTTAGACAAGATATTTAAAAAGACAATATTAATTCAAAATTACTTGACTAAATGAAGCCGTGCTAAATCCCAAAAAAGAAAAGAGTAGAGTGCATCTCCTGCCGTTTGATTGTACACTACCCTAATTATGGGGATGGGGATGATATGTTATGCATATACGGATATACCCAGAGATGACGCATCATTTCCAGATAACATGCTATCTCTAAGTAAAAGATGTATATGCAAAAAGTTCTAATTTCAATATAAAAAAAAGATATTTGTGGCAAATAACAACATTAATATTAATGATAAAAACAGATAAGCATCGACTTTTTGTAGGCTATCAGCCGATCCTTACGTAGGTACCTGACGTGCACACGCCACGTGTCTTGCCCTCCGATTTCACTATGCCACTCGGACAACCTCAAACTTACTACTTTTAAGTTTTACCATTTTGCCCACCAAACTAACTTTATATTTCTTTTTCACCCCGACCTATATATAGCGGCGGTGCTCAGGATTCCACTGTATTCTTTCCTCTTTCCGATCCATCATCTCCCCGAAAAATCACCGGAAAAAATGGCGATAATTCCTCAAGCAGCAAGCAACATCATATTGTCGTTCAAAGTTATGCTGATATCCACCACCGTTTTATCAGCAGCTATTGCGCTGAATTTCTCTTTTCCAGCAATAACGGATTTCGTTGTCTGTGAGCTACCTTCAATCTACAACGCCGTTGTTTCGTGGCTCCGGCCTCCGTACTTGTACCTGGTCCTCAACTGTATCATCATCACCATCGTCGCTTCCTCCAAACTTCAGTCGCACAAAATCGATGACGCTTCAGTATCACCGCCGCCTCCTATGCAGCCGATCCCTAACCTGGAAGCCATACCTTCACAGCCGGACGTGGTAATTACGCAAACCAATTATCCGACCGCCGATCTGAACAATCGCAGCGGTTACCTTGTGGAAGTCGAGAATGGAGCAGACGATTTCAACTCTCATGAAGTCGTAAAAGCATCGCGAAGCGCTACGATTGAACAAACGGCTTTCAGCGTTGTTCACGCTGTCGATGGCGATGTCGCGCTGGGAGAAGATGCTTCGAGAAACAAGGAGAAGGAGCAAGCGGTTATCAAATGCGAATCCTCATCAAATCCTTCCGAAATTAAAATTTCCACAGAATCCTCATCTTCAATTGCGAAACCGCCAATTTCCGCGAGGCTCGCTCACCGAAGAAACGCCAAAAGCAGCGCTGAAGGTACGTACGAAATCCTTCTCTTAAGTTGAACAGAAACGTAAAAAAGTAGGTCAGTAGCCGTACCGCCGGCAGAAACGTTGCCGTTAGAATATACCTGGCACTTTTTTTCCGGTGGTTTGGCACGCAGGTCCACAAGCAGTGGTGGTGGCGGCATAATTACTCCATCCCCTTTTGGTGGACCGTCGCCTTTTTCAGAGCACACCGACATCATTATCATTTATATTCCAAATATATTATTCCCACTTTTTTGTTGAAAGTAAATTGTCGAAACTACCCCTGCAAAAATACAAAAAGATCCAGAATCTAGAGAACTTCAAACACGATAAACCCTAGCCGCTCGATTTCATCTTCCATCTTTATCTTTAGTCCTTAATATACACCTTATTGTGATTATGTTAGTGGTCGTGATTGTAATTGTAATTGTAATTGTAATTGTGATGATATAATTATACATACATAAAGCAGGCGGCAAAGCGGCAGCATTGGGAGTATCGAAGCCAAAGAGGGAGGACACACTGGAGAGCACGTGGAAAACCATAACGGAGGGACGACCGGTTCCGCTGAACCGGCACCTAAGAAAATCGGACACGTGGGAGCGGGAAGCTCACCGACCGTCAGAAAAACCGGCGATGGGAAAATCGGAAACGTTCACGGAGCGGCGGCGGAGCAAGTCTCCGGTGAGGAAGGAGGCGTCGCTGAGCCAGGAGGAGCTGAACAGGCGAGTGGAGGCATTCATCAACAAGTTTAACGAGGAGATGAGGCTGCAGCGGCAGGAATCTCTCGATCACTACCGGGACTTGACGATCAACCGTGCCTCTATCTCATCGGTAACTAATTAATTAATTTAAATTTATAGCATCGTTGATCGATCTTGTTGATCACCATCTGCACATTGATCACATGATCGTATCATATTTCATATCAAACAATCATTGTGGACTGCAGCTTCGATCCACTGTAGGGTTGCTACGTTACGCTTACCTTTGTTTGTTTGTTTGTTGTCGAATTTTTATACCTCATTAATTAATTAATTGGGTCATTCCTTCGTTCCTAATGGGACTTTTTTTTTTTTGGTCATTATGAAACCCACGTGGAGGACAGACAGAGCACATCATTAATTCATGTTAGATTTTGGAAGAATGAACGAGCTGCATGGCGACTCTTTCGTTTTATTTTAATCACTGACGGCACTGTCGTTTAATCATTTCAATTTTGAAGTATAATAATTATTGAAAAATAGATCTTGTAATTTGAAATAAAAAATAGAAATATTTTGATTATGTAAAGAGTTTTCCAAGTGAATAATAAATAGTACACATAATGAATGTGTTACACTTTACAAATATGTCAAAATAAATGAATATGCATATGTATGTGTTGTATTGCATTAATAACGATGCAATGCTTAGGTAAGTTTTTTAATACAAAATAATTAAGTGATAGATTAGATGCCCTCTGCATTGAAATAATTTTGTTAAACAAGTTTTGTTTATTTGAATGATTTTCCAATTTAAAATAGATACTAGTAAAATCTTATATAAGAATATTGATTTTTTTCTAAACTAATTGAAGATAAAAAATTAAATGGAGATTGATATATTGATAAGTATTCTTCTGTTATACTTTTAAATGTCATTCATGATACATATAATAATGTTAAGTTCACAATTTAGTGATAATATTAATTTAGATGTAATAATAAATGCTTTTAGAAGTAAAGAATTAAATTTAAAAGCGAATAAATTAATTCAGAAGTAAGTGGTAAAGTTATGAGCATTATAGGACAAATACTTTATTAAAACAATCTAAACAACAATAATTAAGATAATCAATTATCAAATAAAAATAGGAAAGTGAATAAGTCTATGCTTAGAAAAGCATTACCATTGTGGAGGAGTAGACTACTTTTTGCATCCAAATATAAGGTGATGTTTATTGATTAATTTTTATTTATTTATTTATATATATATTTTTATGGCTTAAGAATCCGAAGCCGTTATCTGAAAGTATATACTGGGTAAATCCCAACCGAACTTAATAACCCCTATAAATTTCAGAATGTATAAAATAGTGTTGTAAAAACAAAAAAATTGAGTGTCTAAAACAATTCAAAAAATCTATGTGAATGGTTATTATTACTATTATTTTCTCCATTTTGTTAAGCCCAACAAGGCAAGCCAAGTCACAAGATCCCGAGGGAAGTATTCGGGTTCAACTCATAACCTCATGATTACAAGTCTACTCATACACTACACAGATTATCCCTTATGAACATCTAAATTAAATTCTTGCGAATATATGTTGTGTGGTTCAACTAGAAGTTCTATAAATGCAGTCCTGATTCCTTATTAACTAAATTTGAATTTTGAATTGGCAATGTCCTTCACACGAACAGACTCAGTTAATCAATCTTCCTAAATCCTTAATAAGATAAAGATGATCTGCAGGCACACTACACATTAATTGTTCCAATCATGTCTGTATTACAGAAATTAAACGAATTGAACATAATGGAAGCAGGAGGACTATAAATACATCATGGAGATCCATCGATTGATCGATATTACATAAACTAATTAATTAATTATCACGATCCAGGGACGAACTTGGTGGCGTAGTTCCAGGCATTGTTGGCGACGGGGTTGTCGAGGTGGTCCAAGAGGTTCTCCAGGGGGCCTTTCCCGGTGACTATGGCCTGAACGAAGAACCCGAACATGGAGAACATAGCCAGTCTGCCATTCTTGATTTCCTTCACCTTCAGCTCCGCGAAAGTGACGGGGTCGTCGGCCAGCCCCAGGGGGTCGAAATACTGGCCCCCAGGGTAGAGATCATTGCCCTCTCCCACTCCATCCAGGCCGTTGATTCTGTACCCTTCCACCAGCCCCATCAGCACCACCTGGAATCCAAGAACGGCCAGGATGCTCTGGGCGTGGACCAGGTTGGGGTTGCCCAGGTAATCGAGGCCACCCTCGGTGAAGATTTGTGAACCGGCCTTGAACCAGACCGGCTCCTTCAACTCCACTCTCAGCCATTTCTGAAGAATCTCTGGAGTTATGCACCCTAGGGCTCCCAGCATAGCCCATCTCCCATGGATCACCTGTTGCTCACAACTCATAAATGATCATAATTGAAATTAGCAGTAATTAATTAATATAAGAAGTTGATCGTAATAACGTACCTCGAGGGCTCTGTTTCTGGCGAAGGCCTCGGGATCGGCGGACAAGCCGGCGGTGTCCCAGCCGTAGTCGCCGGGGAATTCTCCGGTGAGGTAGGACGGCGTCTGAGCTGAGAAGGGGCCCAGGTACTTGACGCGGTCGGGTCCGTACCACAACTCATTGCTCTGCAAATTTTTTATTTATTAAGTATGAAATGATATATGGTGATTATTTATTAATCAAAACAATTAATACCATGGTGTATTTGGCATTGTTATTATTTCCGATGGAGAGGGGATTGGCAGCAACAGAGTTCTTGGGTTGGCCCAGGAATGGTGTAGCCAGAGCAGTGGAGCTTGCAGCAGCTGCAGCAGCGCCCATTGATGCCATTCTATTCTATTCTACTCTAATTCTTTCTTTTCTAAGAATAATAATAATTGTTGTTTTGGGGATGAATGGATGGATAGATGCTGTGAATCTGAATTAGAAGAACGATTAGGTGTGAGTGAGGGAGGGAGACAGATTTTTATGCGCAGAGAGCGAGGGTGAATGGGTGGTGGTGAAGGGAAGGGAAGATTGTGGGCCCACAAATTGAAATTGTGGGTGTGCATTTCCAGCCAATCAGACGCCTTCAAAAGATTTCGACCATCTACAACTCTATCCACATTTTGTCATTTCCGTCAATCATTTATTAGTATTACTATTATCTTTCACGGTTTGCTTGTTTTGTATTTTGATTTGTAGGGTATTACTTTTTGGGTTATTGGTTAATAGGGTTTGTTTGTCAATCATATATCCTAAATCTGTTTAGGACACATGGTTCATCTAACGTGACTTGTCTGTTGTACTTAGTTTGCAGGGTATTAAATTTAACCGGAGATTTACCGGTGCGTACTTTCGAATAGTGGCTGCGGAAAATGAATTCTTCATATTTGAGTTGGTTCAGTCGAGATTTACCCATAAAAAAAAAATAAAGAAAGTTAACACGATACTTGATTGATAGTGATATATCAATGTAGATGAGACACTGCTTAGAACAAATCCATAGCGTATATATAGAAAATCACTTTGCTCATGGTCAAGATCCCAAATCCGTAACTTATATCAACCGGAATTCTTCATATTTGAGTTGGATTTATCAAACTCATTAAATGAATTTGAATTGAAATAACATAGCAAAAATATTAAGTGTTATATATAGCAAAATTAAGGGTGTGTTTGTTTGGAGGTTTGGATTTTGAGTTGGGATTTGAATAGTAAAAATTTTGAATTTGAATAGTTGTATGATGTGATATAAATAGGTGTTGATGTGATATTTTGAATGTAAAATTGATTTTTTAGTATAATATAAAAAATGAAAATTAGGTGTTTGATTTGATATTTTTGGGGAGAAAAAATTGGATGAATAGTAAAAAAAAAATCCAATCCCTCAAACAAGCACACCCTAAATGTTTGAACAATTATCACACTTGTTTTGTCTTTAGGCAATACAAGATTGAATTGAAATAACCAAACATTACGCACATGGAAAAGTCATAATGACGCTTGCTTTTGCATTTTTTAGCAATAAAATAGAAAAGCTAAAAGAAATGGAACAAGTGAAGCAACTATATATTTTGATGGAGCCATTAGAGACAATATTGCATGTTACTAATTAATACTCTTTGTGTCCTATTTAATTTGTCTATTATGTCCCACATAATTTGTCATTTCTTTTTTTAAAAAATATAATTATATATTTTAATCACATTTTAAAATTCTTAATTTATATTTTAATTAAAATATTTAATCATTTTAATTTATAATTATTTTTACTGATTACTAACTAATGAAACAACACCTAAAAAATATGTGGGTAAGCAAAAGGGATAATTTAAGTGGGACGGAAGGACTACCGGTTAACAAAACTGTTTCAAAGAATTAGTGAAGAGATCTATGTCGAAGAAAAGACATTTAAGGCAAAAGAGAGAGCATAATAAGAAGGAATTGAAATTAGGTATAGCATTAGAAGGATAATTTGAAATTTAAACGTAAAGAACATGACGATAAATTAAAAATTATACTTAATTATTTATCAACCATAAGGATATATAGGCCGAATTCTGTTTTATTCCACTTAATCATTTATTTACTTATTTGATTAGAGTTCAAACTAATCAAAGCCCAAAATATTAATATGAATTCTTGGACGAGTGATTGATTGAATCACTTAAATTTTAATTTTAATATTACTTTCAAATGATCCATAATATATCAGGTCACCTATTATATATGGTTTAATGCATATTTTCGGATAACGGCTATAGGTTCCCATGTCATAAAATAAAATAAAATAAAATTTTCGACGTCTTCAGGTCTTATTTGTTATACCTGGGGTTTTACCATCCATATATATATATATAAAAGAGGGAATCCAAAGATGGAGAGGAGCTGGTTCTGTTCCATTCTTTCTTCTCTGATGAATTATTATGATTAAATATTATTATTATTATGCATCATTGCTCTTTCTTGTCGTATGATTTCATTCTTGATATGATAGGATTGAGGAGGTCTATCTTCTTCATTGTTTGTGATGGATCTTTCCCGAAGCTCGATCGAATTGCAATGAAAGGCCAGATCATGATGGATCAATTCTTAAAATAAAATAAATTCAGAAATTAAGATATAAATAACTAAAGAAAGAAATCTTCAAGAACAATGATTGGTGGGGGCTAAAGAACAAATGGTACGAAGCTGCCCGGAAAGTGTGTGGCTCCGTTTTATATGAGAATAAGACCGACCGGACAGTTTGAAGCTGCCCTTCTTCTCATCACTGTTCCTTATTATTATTATTATTATTATTATTATTATTATTATTATTATTATTATTCCATTCATTGTATAAATATGTTCTTGTGACCTTTGGATAATTAATTTTGACTACGTACTTTATTACGGTATGCTTGGAGTTTTCAATTCCCACTAACATTCTTTTTATTGAAATCAAAATCATTATAAGAATAATAATATATAGGAGAGGGAGAGGGAGAGGGAGAGGGAGAGGGAGAGGTACTGTAGTCTGTAATGCATGTGTGTATGGTTCCGATCCAAAATATCTAGAATTCGACACCTACCTGAAATGTGAATCTGGCAACTTCATTGCACGAAATTGGGGAAAAGTAGGGATCAAAAATCGACATATAACTTGGAGGGCTATTTTCGTAATAGCACACACTCCCTTATTGCCATGATCTCTCTCTGCCTACACTCCTCCAATTCCATCATGTCTGCAAATGCAATTATATGGAGATAGAGATGGAGATGGAGATGGAGATGGAAATGGAGTCCCCATCTCTCCATTTGTCCACACTTGAAAACATCACATGAATTCTTTAATTATTGCAACCTAGTATCCTTTTCCTTTCCAATTCTCCCCTTCCCATCTTCTTAATTACTGTATTATCTATATGTATATATATTTTCTGCACCAAAATTACAAACAGTACACACACACAAAGCCATGCCCAATTGGGAGCAGGAATGGCTCCGCCGGAGCAATTCTTCTCCGACGGAAGAGGAAGAAGATAGCCCCAAGACGGAGGGAAGCCGCCGGCGCCGCCGTGAGCGGTGGTTGTGGCGTAAGGCAATGCCCAATTCTAGGGCAAATTGGCTCCAAGAATGGAACCGGGTGTTTCTGCTTGTGTGCGCCGCCGGACTGTTCATCGACCCGTTGTTTTTCTACGCCCTCTCCATCAGCGACGCCGCCATGTGCCTCTTCGTCGACGGCTGGTTCGCCGTCACCGTCACCGTCCTCCGCTGCATGACCGACGCATTGCATCTCTGGAACATGTGGCTGCAGTTTAAATTGAACCGCCGCCGCCGCCGTGACGGCGACGGGAAGGACGCCGGAATATCCGCCGCCGTGAAATACTTCCTCTTTGATCTCTTCGTCATTCTTCCGCTGCCTCAGGTAATTAATTAATTAAGATTAATTCATTGTTATTAATTTGATCTTTTTAATTAATGATTAACATAATTAATTACAACATAAATCCGCCACGTTTAATCATTAATAAAGTGCACATGTTTTTGTACGTAGACTTAAGATAAGATGAGATAATGAAACGACATATAAGCAAGTGAGAATTAATTAATGTGATATTAGAGAGAGAGAGAGAGAGAGAGAGAGAGAGAGAGGGGTAAAAGGGGGAATATAATTCTGGTAAAGGTGAAGATCGTAAGATAGTCTGGTATGGGGTTGGAAAGTAGTGTGAGATGAGCAAAAGGACAAAAGAAAGTACGTAGATAAATTAATGTCATCTGCATTGTCAGAATGCATGCATAATAATATTAAAAGAATATAAATGTGCGTGTACGATTGCATGTGATCGATCGAATATATTATTTACTGTTTGTTCAGGTGGACTTATTTGGTAGAAGTAGGATTTGTGTAAGCTAACGTTACTGACTGATCAAATATTATAACTCCTTAGGACAACGAGAGAATCACGTACAAGGTATTAAGAAAACAGATTTTTTTTTTTTTTTTTGTTTTCCTTTATTCATTTTTTTTTTTTTTAAAACATTGACCGAACCTCAACCTTTAAAATTACTTAAGAGAGACTTGTCGGAAAGAAAGCTAATTTTGTTATATAATAATGCCTCAACCTCCACCATAAAAAAGAAAAAAAAAAAAAAAAACTCGGTACTTTTAAACATGATTTTTAATGTTAGTGTATATATATATTTTTTTGTTACCTTTTGTCTTTATAGTAAAAATACTACTTTGTCCCGTACATTTTGTAAATCTTTTTTTTAATATTTTTAAATTTAAAAATAATTAATTATATTTATATATAATATATTTCATTTTATTCCATCACATCACTCAAATAAAAAAAATATATACTCTCTCCATCCCGCGAGGGATAAACCCTTTTACTAGGGACACGGTTTTTTAGGTAATGTAAATTAATTATTAATAATAAGTTATTATATTAGTTTATTATTTTTTATATGAATAATATTATTGGTATTTTAAAAAAATTTAAGATTATATCTCCAAAAAATATATGCAATATGGATATCATTTTGTATAGATAATAAAATTTTATATAATACAAATAAATAAAAAAATATTTGTATTTATTTATTATTACCATAAATTAGTTTTATAAAAAATGAGAAGTTTTAAAGATAGATAAAAATTTATGTTAATTGAAGAGAGAGATAGAAACAAAGGGGTTTTAATTGGGTCCTACCGTAAGATGTTAGAAGTTTAATTAAATTGATTTATATTTGTTAAGTATATTTAAGATTCATAAATTATCAAAAATGAAAAAGAATCATCTTTTGTGAGACATATTAAAAATGAAAATGGATCATATGTGGCGAGACGGAGGGAGTACATATCTCTCCAATCACATTATCTAATCTCCAAAGTATACTTACCTAAATTCTTGTGCCAAACTCAAATATTATTAGTTGTTTAGAACGGAAAAAATATGAATTAAATAAAAAAAATTAAAATACTTCTAAGAGACTGCAAAAAAAAATAATAATAATAACACATGTTTAAAAGCCATTAGTAAAATCTCCAAACATCCTTTCAAATATATATATAAACAAGTCCCGTAAAGGGTGACCTGATCGTGCATGGAGTAAATTTGTGACTGTGGAGTCATGAATTCAAACCTCGGCACCTCCAGGTCCATCCGTCACACATGGTTCACCTAATGTAATTTGTTTTGTCGAATTTAGTTTACAGGATATTAAATTTGACTAATGTTTATCCGATGCACACTTTCGTAGCTGCTGCGGATTTCTATGTCATCATATATATATATATATATATATATATAAACAAATCTAAAGTCTCGAAATTATAAATTTTTATTTTTTAAAAAATCCGAAACTCCAAACATTCTTTCAAATAGATATAAACAAATCTAAATGCTCTCTCTCTTTCATCTCTATTATTCCATTTTACTATTTTTGTTGCCGCAAATCATTATCTTATTCCCATAAAGAGTCAATATAGCCCCTGCATATCTATAGAATTACCTATCATTACTTTTGACATCTAAATTAAAATGCATATTCATTACAAAAGTAAAAGTAAAAAGGACATTTTACTAATAGTGTTAAAAGTTAAAATTTTACTACTATTTTCAACCTAAATAGTAGTAAAATTTAATGTGTTATGTATCTGCATGAAATAGTCTGAATTTGAATGTAACTTTTTATATAAAAATTTAATTTGAATTTTTTTATATAAAATATAAAAAATTATGTCGGTAATATAAAAAATAATATTTTATTTTAAATATTTGACTTTTGTAATAACATAAAATATATTGGAAAAAAAGAAGATGTTGACGTTGTTGTTATTTCATGTATTTGAGTTATCTGATAAGCAATATTTTTTGGGCTCCTGGAGGCCTAAATAGTTTTGTATTGTTAGTTTTACTACGGGCAGTCCATATATTCCTTAGAGTCCACTTTATAACTAATGGCATCCATTTCTTAAAATTATATATATATATATTATTTATTTGAATTTTTTGAAAAATATGAAATTATATAATTTTTTATATTTATATTAAATATTAATTTTAATATTGTATAACAATATAAATAATTTAGCTTATGTAAGATCAACTAAATACTACTCCTATAATTTACTATTATTAAATCTGGGGAAAAAATAAACCAGAGATTGTATTTTGATGTAATAAGGTGATATTATAAGATTAAGTTTTGTTTACGCAATATATTTTTATTTGTTTGGCACTATTAATTTTTTAAAAACTATTATGTCAAATATATATATATATATATATTTTTACAAAATATTAAAATAAATATTTATTTTTTATTTTTTTCAAAATTTCAAAATTACAAAAACCTAAAGAAAACTGCTATCAACAGAGCCTAAATCATTGACACCATATAATTAATTAAACAGAAAGCTGCAAATAATAATAATAATAATAATAATAATAATACTTTTTTCATATTAAATTAAATACTAAATTTTTATTTTTTTTTAATAATTTGATAAATTTATTCTTAATTGTATGATAGAGATTAAAAATAATAAATGAAAGAAAGATAAAAATATAAAATTTAAGTTTAAAAAAAAAAAAAATAGAGCAATTGTTCTAGAATTGTACATTAGTTCATGGAGTGAAGAAGTAAATAATGAGCGAGTGGTAGCAATGCAGATAGTAATGTGGGTGGCGATCCCCAAGCTTCTGGGTGAAGCTGCAGGGGGAGGAACCACAATGGTGATGACAGTCCTGCTGGTAACGTTTCTGTTCCAATATCTCCCCAAAATATACCACTCCGTCTGTCTTCTCCGCAATCTCTCCGGCTACAATATCTTCGGCACCATCTGGTGGGGCATTGCTCTCAACCTGATCGCCTATTTCGTCGCCTCCCACGCCGTCGGCGCGTGCTGGTACTTGCTCGGCATCCAGAGGGCTGCCAAATGCCTCCACCACCACTGCCTCCTCGCCAAGGTCCACCCCCGCCTCCTCGCCTGCAACCGCCCCACTTTCTACTACGGCGCCGCCGACTTCATCGCCGCCGCGGCCGACGAGAGGCAAAGATTCCTCTGGTCGGAGAATAAGAACGCCAGATATACCTGCCTCGAGAACTACGACAATTTCGACTACGGAGCTTACAAATGGACTGTCCAGCTCGTCACCAATGGCAGCCGCTTGGAGAAGATACTTTTCCCCATCTTCTGGGGCCTCATGACCCTAAGGTACTAATTAATTTCGATTTCGATTTGTGCCCTAATTTAATTACATGATCGTATGAACAGCACGTTCGGGAACTTGGAGAGCACCACGGATTGCCTGGAAGTGGTGTTCATCATCATCGTCCTCACCAGTGGACTCCTCCTGGTCACAATGTTAATCGGCAACATCAAGGTCGGTATAACAAACAAACAAACAATTCTTAACTAATTAATTAGCTTGTGATCGATTTGATCCATTAATATGCACAGGTGTTCTTGCACGCTACGACTTCGAAGAAACAGGCGATGCAGCTGAAGATGAGGAACATAGAATGGTGGATGAGGAAACGGCGGCTGCCGCAGCCATTCCGGCAGAGAGTGAGAAACTACGAGAGGCAGCGGTGGGCGGCGATGAGAGGAGTCGACGAATGGGAAATCACCAGGAAGCTTCCAGAAGGCCTCAGAAGAGACATCAAATACCATCTCTGCTTAGACCTCGTCCGACAGGTCCCTCTCTTCCAGCACATGGATAACCTCGTCCTCGAGAACATCTGCGATCGTGTCAAGTCTCTCATTTTCACCAAAGCCGAAACTGTGAGTCCATTCCAAATTCAATCAATTCATTCTCCAATCTCATCTCAAATTGATTTGATTTCATTTGAAGATCACTAGAGAAGGCGATCCAGTGCAACGAATGATCTTCATCGTCAGGGGACATCTTCAAAGCAGCCAAGTTCTCCGCGACGGGGTGAAGAGCTGCTGCATGTTGGGGCCGGGGAATTTCAGCGGCGACGAGCTCCTCTCATGGTGCCTCCGCCGCCCATTCGTCGAGAGGCTTCCGGCATCATCGTCGACGCTGGTGACACTGGAGACGACAGAGGCGTTCAGCCTGGAAGCAGAGGATGTTAAGTATGTGACGCAGCATTTTCGATACACGTTCACCAACGAGAAGGTGAAGAGAAGCGCGTGCTACTACTCGCCGGGGTGGCGCACGTGGGCTGCCGTCGCTATTCAGCTGGCCTGGAGGAGATACAAGCACCGCCTGACGTTAACATCGCTGTCATTCATCAGGCCGCGCCGGCCATTGTCGAGATGCTCGTCGCTCGGGGAAGACAGGCTCAGGCTTTACACGGCATTGCTGACTTCCCCCAAGCCTAATAACGACGATGACTTCGAGTTCTGATCATTTTATTTCGATTACGGGAAAAAGAAATCAGTTTCATAAGGACTTTACTCGATTATACATTGATTGCAGAAGAAGAATACTAGAACAGATTATATATATATTACTACGCCGGAAAATGGTGGATATCTTCTTCCTCAGCTTCTTGTCCGGCGGATCCTCTGAAGAGCAAAATAGCGAGACTGCCGACGCAGAAATGAATGAAACAGCCATAGCAGTGTGTAACAAATGAACCGAAATCAGTTCCTACAATGCACTGCCAGCCTGATCCATAAATCCTGTCAAATTCCTGCATTTCAATCCAAATTCCAAACCAGAATGACGTATAATCTTCAATAATCAATAGAACTATAGCTAGCCATTGCTTTGCTGGATTAGTACTGCATACCTTCTTGATGAATCGAGCTATTTCGGTGGCCTCGGTGACATCGAAGAAGTCGAGCGCCTTAGCTGCCAAATCAAGTGCATCTTGCTGCATAGCCTGCAGCATATCGGTCTCTCCGATGACCGCCTTGCCTTCTAACATACTTGATTTCTAAGAAATTACAGGCTGTGTTAAAAAAAGACAAGTGATGAATATGCAGATTTCACTTCTTCATCTCAGCCCAATATATAAAGAGAGACAGATCATGTTCTGGTTGCTAAAAGAATAAAGATGGAGTATTCCATTTATGTGGTGCCCAGCTGAGTTCTAATGGGTGATGGATGCTGTGGCATAATTCCATGCCTTTTGGACATCAAAAATTGTTTTCTTGGAAGAAGTCAGGGGAAGATTCCTGATCCCTCTTTATCCACGACACTTATATGTATGTGGATGGATAACCAACACCACACCTTTCGTCCCCACTCCTCGATACGGGTTTGGACAAATTTCTTCGGGTCAGTTAGGATTTCATGTTACACCTTTAAGCCCCCACCTATGCAGCAGCAGCTTCAACTTTTCGAAAAGAACACATGATATGGAACAGACTAGAAATTTGAAAAACTATCCAAAAGTATTACAGAACCATAACATATTGAGTTTTAATTACTGCAAGGTGTGAAAATTTTTACAAGACTGGCAGGGATGTTTTTACCTCACTCTATCGATCTATTTATCTATCAACTCTACCATGGACTTGTTATCAACAACATAGAGGCTTTTGTGAGCTTCTTACATCAGTTGTCACAGCTATGAAACACAGTGGCGATGTTCAATTTCTGTCATTAAACGCCACTTCACACTGAGTCTACTGCCTCAACTTGTTGTCGCGCAAGATATTTCTCCCTCCGTTCCTTCTGGAAAATTAGTTGATGCAAAACAGATCAATTTACAAGAATTGAGTAAAAAGTGATGAACAAGGTGTATAAGGAAGGTGTAATTGTTGGATACTTTACCCATTCATCTATAACAAGCCCTTCGCCCACCATACGAGGACCTGTGTCAGCAGGAGGATTCTTGCGAGCTTCTAATGCAGCATCAGCCTCGGCCAATTGTCGCTTCAGCTTATCAAGGGCCTTAGCAACAATGATTTTCAGCATAGGTAGAGAAAGAAATATCGAGCAATAACACATGTTGATGTAAGAATAAGATCTTACAGGACTTGCACGCTCCGGGTCCAAGAAAACAACCTTCAGAATACGTTCTACAGATACTTGATCCCTTTGTTCATCGAACTGCAAGTGAGTTTAGCTCATAAGACATGCATGGTTTGTCGATTTTAGTTAGAACTCCAAGTGGAGATAAACAAGATCAACAGATAAGTAAGAACAGGGATTGTGCAAAACTGTATTGCATGTGATCATTAGTCCTGCCAAGACACTCATTGTAATTGGTTTCAAATACAAACAATACATTGATTATTGTTATATTTTTTAATACAGTCAAATGATTACTGTGTTCCCTAGAGGCATACATAAATATTTTTATGATGGGTAGTGCTATCATTTCTATTACTCTCGCAATTCCATTTTCACACAAAAGCCACCAGAAAGTAGATCAACAACACTTTTGAAAGGCAAAGAACTTACCAATTCAGGCACATAATCTGTTCCTTCTTTCACCTTCAAGCTCATAATCTTGAACTTAACCTTGCTCTTTCGATTTATAGGTTTCTCATTGTTCTCCGGCTGCTCAACAAACTTGTATACTGCCAAAACAATAACACAATCATAATAAACTGTTTGTTCCATATGCAAATACCCTGATTATGAGTAAATAAGATACAGACTAAATCGATTACCAGTAGCTATGATGGCTTGTCCAGGAGCAAGTATGCCACCAGGAGGTCGCATAAAACAACTCTTTGGTGCTGTAGTTTGAAACTGATAACAGAAAACATATTTGTTAAGTCACAACAATGGCCTATAGCATTTAATTCACTGGCTGATAGCTGTTTTGTCCTATTATCGATTTAACTATGACAAGTTACCAAATTGGAATACCTACAAATCAAGGTGCTTTTCTGCCATTGATAATCCAGGTTAAATACCCAACATTCTATAACAATGTCAATTTTTTTTGGTTCCATATCTACTTCTGCTCCACGGTTGGAGAAAACACATCATTGCATTCCGAAATAATAAATAAATAAATAAACGTTAAAATTGCTTCAGCATATTGCAGAAAACTACTCATTTATTCACTTAGAAACTAAAGAAAATCATGATTACCTTAAACGCCACATGAGACTTGCTGGAATTTTTAATCCGGACAGCACTCCTCACTTGCTTTCCCGGTTCATCTTGACAATCACAAAACCCAAACGGAGTAACGATCAGCATTCAAAGAATTTACAATCATTTATTCAACATTTCATTTCCTTTTCCCTTCGCAAGTTATGAATTCACATAAACGAGACTCAATTTTTACCAAAAACAAAACAAATTCGGAAGAAGAAAGAAATCGAGAAGAACTATTACACAACACAAAAATCAACAAAATCGAGACTTATTTACAGGGGAAAATCAAGCTGCTCGAAGGATCCAGCCGGAGTCTACGCCGCGCCGGAAGAAGCGATCTGGCAACAGAGGACACAGCCGAGGAACGAGCAATCGCAACAGCGCCGCCACCGTCGGGATTGCCGGGATTTCGCGACTGGCTATACAGATTCTGCGTAGAAGAAGATCGAACTTCTGTATGCCAAAGTGAGCACAGCCGCCACTTTCCTCGGCGGTGGCCATCGTCGGCAATAGCCATATCTACCCTCTTCCGCCGGATTTCTGGTTTCGGATTGAATTCCCGAGGACCACTCACGAAAACTGCGTTGACAAGGCTTGTAAACTCCAGCACGTAAAGTCAGAGGTCGCCTATTTATAGACCGTGCGGATGAATTTGGACTTTCACTTTTTCCTGCTTTTGGAATGAATGGTCGCACACAATATAATTATCATAATTAATAATAATTATAATCCTATGTGTAAGATTATTTAAAACACGTTTTTAAAAAATATATAAATAAGATTAATATAATCATTATAAGTAATAATAATAATAATCATATTATAATCCTATGTGAGATTATTTTAAACACGTTTACTTACTGTCTTAAAAAATAAATAGATAAAATATATATGTGGAGGGAGTGGGGTGCACGCGCCGCCGGTGGGGTATTGTGCTGTTAGGTAATAATAATAATTAAACAATAATTATATGATTATTATTAAGGTGAGTTGGAAAATGGAATAAATTAATAATGTAGTTATTGGATATGTCGGTCGGCTAGGTTCGTTGGGAGGTAGGAATTAATTAATTATTGAAATTAAATGACATTCATTTCCAGCTTTATATTAGTGAGAATTTTATCACATATTTATTGCATGGCTGTTTCCATAATTCTCAGGCTTTTTAATCAATGCCGGAGCAGTACACCGGTTTATATCATTATTTATTGAGAAAACGAGTTAGATTAAAAGTTTATTAAATAGTGTGACATATTTATTGCAGTTTAATTTCGCAGGTGGGTAGTAGTTTGATGGGGTTTAATTTAATTGGTGAAATTTTGAAGAGGTAATGATTTTTGGGAGGTGAAACTTTTATTGAACTTACCTGCTTTTCTGCCCGAATTCAGACCACGGATTATTCGGGTTGTTTATTTATTGGAAGTCGTATCAAATTTTATGAAGCAATGGGAATCTATTTTATGCCAAATTTTATTTGGTAGCCTTTAAGATACAATAAATAATCAAACTGTTGAGTTAATTTTATTTATTTATTTACTTTTGATAACATGTCACGCAATTGATATTAGTCGAACCTCTGTGATAAATAAGACTTTGAGATTCGAAGTCATAACTTCATTATAACAATGAGTTCACTCCTACTGCACTAGATTATTCCTTACGGGATGTTGAGTTAATTTTTTTTATTTTTTTTTAGTTAATTCTTGATTTGTTAATCTGGTGTTTTGTATTTTAAAAAAATAATAATGAAGTTATTTGATTTTAATTATTAAAATGAATAATTATTTAAGTTTTGATTTAAATAGATTTCCGTAGTTGTCATGTTTTATAAAATATATATATATTAATTTCTCTTAAGATTAATATAATTAATTAATTAATTAAACTATAAAATTTTAAATGTAAATTTTTTTTTATAAAAAAATGATATAAAATGTAGACAAATAAAAATAAAAATTGTGATATAATATTTAGGATAGAGGGTGCGTTTTGTGAGAATGTTGAAAAAACAAATATGTGAACTATAAAAAATTATTTAGAAAATATAAAAATAATGAATATTTGTAGTGTATTAATATTTTTGAAAAAAATTTAAAGAAAAAAAAAGTAAGAAAAATAATACAAATTAAATAATATTACTTTTTATTTAAAATACAAATTTAATATATTCAACCAAATAATAGTTTATTGTAATATTCTTATATTAAAAATATGCATTAATATGTTCTATTTGAAGGGAAAATGTGAGATTTTATTCCAAGTAAAACACAAATAGTAAAACAAATTTTAGAAAAAAAATATTATCAACTATTATTTAAATTTTATTATTTTTGTTGTAATTTGAAATGATATTTATTATGTTAGATAAGTAATGCAATTGGGATAGGTGGAGTAGTCCTTCACCCTTACAAGATAAAGGGAGTTCCCACGTATATTTTTACTTAACATTAAAAATATCTTTGTATCTGTATAATTTTTTATACAAATGTCAGACACTAATTGAAGTATTTTTGCAATTTTTTCTTAATTTGTACTACGCTTTGATATAATAATTAATATTGAAAAATCAACAAAAAAAAAGAAAGTAAATGAGACCTTTAAAGCCACACAAAAGTAATATATTTTTGTGCCGAAACGGAATTAGTAATATTTTGTCATTTTTAGTTTATATCTATAAAATAATAATATATTGAATAGTATTGTTATACACGAAAATAAATACATAAATAAATAAAAAAAAAATTAGGCAAATTGCCCATCGTGCAGAACTCTTCATATTGTGCTAAGGCGAAAAGTCACTCTCCGAATTGGACAATCATCAAATCGGCAGTATTCAGATCAATTTTACTCAGATTATGATTGTAACAAGTATATTTGTAATTTACGTATTTTATTTTAAATACAAAATATTTTTACTATAGTGAAAAAATATATATAGATATTTAAATGAGACAAGTAAGAATAATAAAAATAGCACCGAGGTAGTATTATAACACAGAGCAATTCAAGTTATTCAATAACCAATGTTGGTATCTTTTACTCACGACTGATCAGAGATTCAATTTTAAATGTTTATGTAATCTCATAATTATTATATAGCTACATTTAAAGTTCACTTGTTTGTTTGTTTGTTTATTTTATTTTATTTCCAAGTTTTAATTTATTTTTAAAATAACCCATGGGCCCGACTAACCTGTGTCTGGCCCGGGCACAGGATAAATAAATCCTAATATAAGTTGATTTGAGTCGGGCTAAAAATAAATAAGAAAAGTCCAGATGGGCCACTGGCCCGCTAACGTAACAGGCTTAATGTGATTTGGATTGGACTAATAATAAGTAAATTACTCAAATTTACTTTCATTTATTTATTTATTTTTATAAAATTTATTTTATTATTAATTTTAGTAAAAACAACAAATATATATTTAACTAATATACGGTGTTTAACAATTTATCTATTTTTCTATTTTAGTACGTCTAATAACAAAATATTAATTTCTTTTTTTTTTAATAATTGTACTACCTAGTTAACATTACAAATATTATTCTAATTTATAATATATTACACAAACCTTTATATCATACAATACTAATAAGTTAGTTTAGTGTTTTTACCTTTATTTTTAGATTACATCTCAATATAATATTAATATTTTTAAAACTCCGTGCAAAAAATAAATTGATAAATAAATATGAGACGGAGGGAGTATAATTTTTTCATGTAATACTCCCAGCATCCCAAATAAATGGTCTTTTCGAATTTTGTAGTAAATTAAACTATAAGGAGTAATATTTTATTACTTTTCGGAAGTGTGTAAGAGTCTTTTACATTTTTGTTATTCAACTTTATATATAAAATAATTGTATATGTAATTGTATGGTTGTAATCTAAGTAAAAGTTAATGATATTTTATATTAGTATATGATTATTTTTTTTGGGACAATGATAGTGTAAAATGAGACAGACAAAAATAATAAAAATAGTAATTTGAATTGAGACAAACAAAATATTTATTTACTATAATTTATCAATCAAATTATTATATTCCCTTCGTCCTGGAAAAAGGTTACCGTTTACTTTTTTGCACGTAGATTTTTTAATATTAATATTATAATTATAATAAAAAAGACAAAAATACCCTATTAATATTGTGTAATATAAAAGTAATTATATTTGTGTAAAATAAAAAAGTTAGAATGATATTTATTATGTTAAATATATAGTACAATTACTAAATTAGAAAATGATAATCTTATTTAAGACAGACGAAAATAGAAAATGACAACATTTTAATGAGACGGAGAGAATATATTATTTTTATTCTTTCTTTTGATTACTTTTAACAATACTTCAATTATTTTTTTATTTTTAAATTTTATAATAAATACTCCATCCGTCTCAAATAAAATGGTCATATATTTGGGGTTTGTAGACAAATAAAAATAATAAAAATTGTACATTGAATTGAGGCGGAGAGAATATTTATTTTCCTAATGGACCTTGTTTAGCCGGAGAGGTATTAAATAAAAAGTAAAATCGTACAAAATTCACTTATTATTTTATAAAATTGTTTCAAATTTATCATATTTTTAAATTTTGCGCCAAACTCTTTATAAGTTTATAAACTCCCCATCAAACCTCTTAACAATTATTTAACAGCGTTTGATTTCTATATGTTAAAATTGCGAATGAGTTTCAAAATATCTATTTATAAATTACTCCCTCCGTCATATTGAAATGTTACTATTTTCTATTTTCATCCGTCCCGAAACAAGACTACCATTTCCTAATTTAGTAATTATACTACCTACTTAACATAATAAATACCTTTTCAACTTACAATATATTACACAAATGTCATTACTTTTATATTACACTATACTAATAGGGGTATTCTTGTCTTTTTTTACTACAATCCAATATATAATACTAATATTAAAAAATCTACGTGCAAAAAGCAAACGTTACTCTTCCAACGGGAACGAATGGAGTATTAGAATTACAAGTATATTTATTTTTAATTTGTTCTCCTCTTATTCTAATAATTTCTCAACTATTTCTTAAAACTAAATATAAAATGAATAATAAATATGTTTATAATTTTAGATTTAGAAATAAAGATTTTAAAAACTTGTTCGTTTTGAATATATCAGGTTAAATATCATTAAATAAGGACGGTCGAGAGGTTAGACATATAGTTTATCAAATCATAAGAAACTTTGACGCAATTTTCAAAAATTATAGGTAGATTTTATACTTTTTCTAAATAAAAATATTATATTTACTTTATACATCAAACATTAGATACTTGAACCAATTTCTTTTTTTTTTTCAAACCAATAAAAAAATCAAACCCTATTTTGAAATTTAGTACTCCCTCCGTCCCAAAAGAAGTGTCTTATTGAAAATTAGCACGGAAATTAAGGAATAATATATTTAATTGAAAGTGGGTATAAAGTAGAACGTAAATGACTAAAATACCCTTGCTTTTTGAAGGATTTTAAAAAAATATGTTAGAATAATAATTATGGGTAATATGGAAAAGTAGGAATAATTTTGCTATAAAGTGGGGACTACGACTACTAAATAAGGAAATAAGACAATTCTTTTGGAACAGACGAAAATAGAAAAATAAGAAAAATATTTTGGGACGGAGGAAATATTTTGTTTAACAACGGTTAAAAGAGCAAAGCTAAGATTTAATAATTTTTAATTACTTTTAAATTTTTATAAAGATAACTTATTTATTGTTATGATCCTCATAAATAAATAAATATACTTATACATTTATTTTTTTTATTTTTAATAAATTAATCTATACAATTAGGTATAAATAAATACTTTTCGTTTTGGAACAAATTATATACTTTGATTTGTAGCACAATATTTAAAACAGTAAAATTCAGTGAATTAATAATAGTAACATAAATCTACATTTGATATAACGTTTTAAATAAAATCTATATATTTATTAAATAAAAAAATAAGTGATGGTTTTGGAGAGATATATATATATATATTTAAAATATTATAATAGAAAGAAATCTGGCCTAATTAAAAAACAAGCCTAATATTTTCCCCTCTTCCACCTCTTTTTCTTCAATCATCGTTTCATTTTATTTATTTATTTATTTGAAATTAAATTTTGATTCAAATAATATTCGAATGTTTTGTAAAATAATTTTAAATTGAATTTTTTGAATTAAAATTATACTTATTTACACTGTTACATATTTGTAAGATCGTTGTATGTTCATTTTTATATCAATAATACTCAATTCCAATTAATTTGTCCACTTTTAGGTATTATATAACTAGTAAATAATTAGTAAATAATTAAAAAATATATTAGTAAAAATAATTATAAATTAAAATTAAAATAACAATTAAAATAAAAAATAAAAATTATAAATTTTAAAATGTGATTAAAATATATAATTATATATATTTTAAAAAAAATAACAAATTATATGGAACAAATCGAAATAATGGACAAGACGGGGAGTATTAAATTACTAAATTAAAACTATAAAAATTCATACACAGGCTTATATTGAGTTTGTTGATAAAGAATGTATGTAAAAATAAAAAATCAATCGGGCTGTATTTTTTTTTTTTTATCGTTATGAGTTATACATTATTCAAATACTTAATGATATCAATTGAAGTTATTTTATAATTTTGGTTTAAACATAAACATTTAAATTTAAGTTTATACATTTTGGGTAAAATTTATAATAGAAGAAATTTTGATTTGAAGAAATTTTTTTTTTTTTTTTACATAAAGTACAAATAATTGTATTGATAATATAAAAAAATAACATTTTATATTAAATATTAATTTTTATAAGAAGATAAAACATACATATATATTAGGAATCGAGTCGAAAAAAATTGGGCAAACAAACCCTAGTTACGGACAAATTTATCTTTGTTACGTACAGTTTATTAGAAAATGTTTAGACTATGTGTTGTTTGGTTTTGTTTCAATTGACTTTACTTTTATTTAAATTTTAGTTTAAATAATATTTTTGGATATCATTATAGAATAAATTAAATTATATATATTTTCATTACAACTCATACAAATTAAATAGTAAAATTTTGAATTTGAAATTGAAAAAAAAAAAAAGTTTAGTTAATAGAGAATAAGTGCAATAAGATTGATTCTCTGTCCCATTATTATAATAATTATTATTTTTGTTGATTAAAGGAAATATACAAAATTATACATAAAAATCGAATCAATCTAAAATCTAACATCGTATCTGTTCTCTTTCGACACTATCCTTATCAGTCAAATTATCAAATCATTTTTTCCCTCCAATTTCCCAGCGCTTATATATAAAGGCGCCCTTCGTTCAAAACATTATATCGTTTCATTTAAAAAAAAACAACAAAATCGATAAACTTGCCCGAGCACAGTCCCGAAGAAATCAATCAGCGATTCGATGGAATTCCATGTGACGGATGAAGATCTGAAAGGAATCAGCGAATCTGAAGATAAGCTTGTTTTCTTCGCAAACGTATCCGCTCGGGTAAGCGAAATAGAAGATGAACGAAAGCGTATTAGATTGGAGAATAACCGATCGTTCTCCGGCGAGCCGCGGCTCCCCCAAGCGTTCGTCGATAAGATTCGAGAAATTTCGAACGGAGCGGCGTCGGAGGAGGAGAGATTGGTGATCGAGAAGACATTGTTCGCGACGGATGTGAGCCATATCCACAATAGGGTTTCGATTCCGGTGAGGAAGGTGAAGAACAGTTTCTTAACCGAGGAAGAGAGTAATTTCCTTAGGGGAAAGAATGGCAAGGGGAAACCGAAGTTTCTGGATGTAATCGTGATCGAACCGTCGCTGGAGCAAACGGAGGCGAAGCTTAGCAATTGGAATTCATGCTATGTGATCAAGGGGACTTGGAAGAAAATTGTCCGGAAGAATGGTCTCAAATCAGGAACTGTTCTTCAATTCTGGGCATTTAGGGTTCAGAATCAGCTCGGGATCGCCATTGTTGAGAGGATTTAGGGTTGTCGTTTCGAATTGGAATTGGCGGGCGAGGAGTAAATGAAGAAGAAATTTCAGATGTGTTTAATTTAAATGGAATCATTGTATTGGTGGAATAAATGTGTGATTTACTTTTATATATCATTGAAAGAAAAGAAATTTCTTATATATTACCGTTGTTATATTTATGCTTTTAAATGTTTTCCATTTTTTTCTTTAATGAATGCATAATTATACTGATCATAATGTATATTTAACTCAAGTCATAAATTTAATTCATCAGAATAATAAATAAATGAATATAATAATAATAGTAATAATAATAATAGTAATAATAATAATAATCTATAGGTTTCAATTTTATTAGGGTTTCCAGTTCTAGTAAACGGATCAGTTACGTTGTGTGTGAAGTTTCCGTTGGAACCGCCGAATAATCTTGACGGCAGAGTAACGACGACTAACTGACTAACCGATTCCGTTGGCACACTACAAATTGACAAGCTAGCTCAGCCTGCTGCAACATATCTCTTCTTCTCTACCAATCACTCTTTCTAATTCAGACTAGTTTCTAGAAGGAAAAAGGAATTGACAGCATGGAGGAAACTCAACCACTCACGCCCTACCAACTATGGCTGACTGACCCAGGCCGCATGGAGTATCGCAACCTGCAGCAGTCTGAAGCGTTTTTCATGCCTGGGGAAAAATTCTACGAGAAACCTTCGTATATACGTGCTCGCAAACGTGCTGTTCGGACGATTGAAGAAGTAAGTTCTCCGAATGATTAATTATCTGTTCGATTCACCTGTGGCATTATAATAATAATTCGCATTTGGTTGATTGCATTTGATTGTTAAGCTAGCGCAAGGTTGCGACGATGCTCTGATTCCTTATATGGCTATGACTTACTACGATCGATTGAAAGGAGAGTACATGGGAGGAGAACCAAACTTAATGGTATAACATACATATATATATATATATATTGGTTCCCCTTTTTCTTCATTTGCATTGATTGATTTTCGCATTTTTACTGTTTAGCAGTTAATTCTGTGTTTTTTTGTATGCCTAATGGCGATCTTAAAAATTGAGATCGATCAGGTACTGGTTGGATGCCCTATCAGAGAGAACCCTCCGTTGTTTGTGATGTGTTGCCTCACCATTTCTTGGAAGTTGCGAACCAGAAATTTCAATCTGGTGGAGTTTATGGTAATTGAACGTTTTTGAAGTTTATTCAATGGAGAATTAATTAAACTCTACAAATCCATGCACTAAGATTGGTATATATATATATATATATAAATATTATTTGATGTTGCAGAAAGCAAGGAAACTGGAGTACTCTCCGGATGAGGTGCTGGACATGGAGTTTCATATCTGCCGCCGGCTGCAGTGGCGGTTGCGAACTCTGACGCCGTTTTGCTTCGTTGAGTACATGATTCCCCTCCTCGGTAAAAAGCCCGTCTCGCCTCGCCGTCCTGTTCGTCAGCTCATCGTTCGAACTCAATACGGTAATTAAACTATATATATATATATATATATTAGTGTTCTTCTTCACTCCATATTTGTTGTCTTACTTGGATATTTTCTTTTTTTGTATCAAGATGCATCATTCTTAGAATACAGCCCATCGATTTTGGCAGCTGCTGCCATGCTCGTTGTTTCCAAGGGTTTGTTTCCCAGAAGACAACATGACATCTTTGAATTCCAAGTTTTGACTTCCGAATTCGTTTCTCCGCATATGGTGCGTAATTAACATCAATTAATGTTCTCCTCAATTAGTCATCTTTATTCGCAAATACAATAATTTATAACAATTCCAATGATCAATTTCTTGGATTTGGGAATATATATATATAGGAGATGACCAAAAACTGCATAAAGCAGCTCCAGCCACTATTCATCCTTCCTACAGCCTCCACTCCACAACCGTCTGAGACACCTCCAGAGGATGAGAGTACTTCTGTTTCCACAGTCTCTGATTCTCAACAACAGCAACACGATGATGCAGAGACATCGCAGCTGCAGCTACGGCGACGGCGGGACCCAAAGTCAACGCCACCGCCACAGTCAACCCCTGATGAGACTGGTTCTGAACAACAACAACAACAAGATGAAACAGAGACAGCGCAGCTGCAGCGACGGCGACGGCAGAAACCAAAGTCAAGGACACCGCCACCGTCACGGAAAGGGCAGAAACCTCTGGCAACCATTGTTGAGTCCGCCGAGGAAACAGCAGGAATAGGAAAAGATGATGATGATGATGATGATAAGAAACAGCAGGAACAGGAGAAGAAAAAGGCGCCGGCACGGGAGGGATCATCTTCATCAAAACCATCATCAACTACTGAAACTCAGCCCGCTAGAGATGATGCAAAGCAGGAGCAACAGCCGCAGGAACAGCAAAAGAAACAGGCGCCGTCACAGGAGGAATCTTCATCATCTAAACCATCATCCACTACTGAAATTCAGCCCCGTGGAGATGGTGCAAAGCAGGAGCAACAGCCGCAGGAACCGGAAAAGAAACAGGAGGAAGGATCTAGTTCATCATCCACTGCTAAAACACAGCCTGCTGGAGATGATGCAAAGGAGGAGCAACAGGAAAAGAAACATGACGAGGGATCTAGTTCATCATCCACTGCTAAAACACAGCCTGCTGGAGATGATGGTGATGATGCGAAGGAGGAGCAACAGCTGCAGGAAGAGGAAAAGAAACAGGAGGGATCTAGTTCATCATCTGCTACTAGAACACAGCCTGCTGGAGATGATGGCGATGATGCAAAGCAGGAGCAACAACTGCAGGAAGAGGAAAAGAAACAGGAGGGATCTAGTTCATCATCCGCTACTAGAACAACACAGCCCGCTGGAGATGATGGTGATGCTGCAAAGGAGGAGCAGCAACTGCAGGAACAGGAAAAGAAACATGAGGGATCTAGTTCATCATCCACTACTAAAACACAGCCTGCTGGAGATGATGGTGATGATGCAAAGGAGGAGCCACAGCTGCAGGAACATGAGGAGGGATCTAGTCCATCATCCACTACTAAAACACAACCAGCTGGAGATGATGGTGATGATGCAAAGGAGGAGCCACAGCTGCAGGAACATGACGAGGGATCTAGTTCATCATCCACTACTAAATCACAGCCTGCTGGAGATGATGGTGATGATGCAAAGGAGGAGCCACAGCTGCAGGAGAAGGAAAAGAAACATGAGGAGGGATCTAGTTTATCATCCACTACTAAAACACAGCCTGCTGGAGATGATGCAAAGCAGGAGCGACAACTGCAGGAACAGGAAAAGAAACAGGAGGGATCTAGTTCATCATCCACTGCTAAAACAAAGCCCGCTGGAGATGATGCAAAGCAGGAGAACCAGCGGCTGGAACAGGAAAAGAAACATGAGGGATCTAGTTCATCATCCGCTACTAAAAAGCTCGCTGGAGATGATGCAAAGGAGGAGCAACAGGAAAAGAAACAGGAGGCGGGATCTAGTTCATCATTCGCTACTAAACCACAGCCCGCTGGAGATGATGGTGATGCAAAGGAGGAGCAACAGCAGGAACTGCGCCACCAGCCAGGAAAGGAGCCTGTCGTCGGTTCTTCTTCATCGACCACTACTAAACCACGGCCCACTGGAGATGATGGTGATGCAAAGGGGGAGCAACAGCAGGAACAGCAAAAGGAGGAACAGCTTCACCGGCCAGGAAAGGAGCCTGTCGTCGGTTCTACTTCATCATCTGCTACTAATCCACAGCCCGCTGGAGATGATGGTCATGATGCAAAGGAGGAGCAACAGCGCCACCGACCGGGAAAGGAGCCTGTTGTCGGTTCTACTTCATCATCCGCTACTAAACCACAGCCCGCTGGAGATAATGGTCATGATGCAAAGGAGGAGCAACAGCGCCACCGGCCAGGAAAGGAGCCTGTCGGTTCTACTTCATCATCCGCTACTAAACCACAGCCCGCTGGAGATGATGGGCATGATGCAAAGGAGGAGCAACAGCGCCACCGGCCAGGAAAGGAGCCTGTCGTTGGTTCTACTTCATTGTCCATTACTGATCAAAATCAGCTCGCCAGAGATTCTGCGGAATGGAGGATGGATTTCGAGTTGGGTTGGATTGAAGCTATGGAAGAAGAAGAAAGGCTACATCCGGGAGTCATCACCCTTTTGGCTAGGTTTCTTCACACCTGCTGCTGCTGCGCATGCAACAATCTCAGTCAGCTCCGTAGTCGTCGCTACTATCACCTCGTCGATGAACATAATGGCTGCTTTGCACCTGCAGTGCACTCCTCTCCTTGACAATATCTTTTGCACATTGCTACCAAAGACATAACAAGAACAATAATAATAATAATAAAACGTACAGCCTAAAATGATTTCGCCGCATATATGCTCATATTTTCATCTCTTCATTTTGAATGTCTTGTTGTTACGGTACAAAAATAGTCAATTCCTGACACCCTTAATTAATTATTTCCCTCCTTGGTTTTTCGAATGGCGGCCCAAATCTAAGATAACGGCAAACGCGGGCAGCAAAGGGACGCACGATATCCCTAAACTAAATATACGCCACGATTCCTACTACTATACGGCCCCCAACTCCTCCCATCCAATCCCCCGCCGTGTTTCTGTTTCGATTCTTTTAAGGTTAGGTTAATCGTCTCCTCTCCGGCGGCCATTTGTGTAGATGCAAGCTGCCGCTACCTAGCCCTCTCCTCGATCGATCTATTAACTATCCTTTTGCACCATATCTATTCCATGGATTTCCTTCCATCCATATTGTAAGATGGTGGTGTCCATCGACATCGTCAAGACCACCCGGGGGCGGAGCAAGTCGTGTTTCGGCTGTTTCAGCCACCACGAATATGAGCCGCCGTCCTCCGCCGTCTCCGACGACCGCAAGTCTCTCCTCCGCAGCTTCTCCGGCTCCCTCAAGTCTTTGTTCTTCAAGACACCCTTTGTAATACTACTAATAATAACCAATTTTCATTTAACCCTCAATTGATTTTGTCGTCGATCCGTTGATATATTTTGATTTTAAAATGGCAATGAACGGAGTGCAGGTGAAGAAGCTTCGGAGCAAGAGGCACGGGCGGGAGTCGAGCCGATCGAGCAGCAGCATCAAAAGCAGGAGGTCGTCGATCCATTCCAAGGAGAAGAAATCGAAATCGACGACGGATGAATTGACGTTCTCGGAGCCGGAGGAATGCTTCGGGGACACGGCTTCTTCTTCCGACAAGTCGTCGTCGCTGTTGACATCGACATCGCCGGCCTCGTCGATATCGGAGGCAGCGTCGGGCGAGGATTTCCGGCACGCAAGCGCCAAAAACAAGATTAAACTGACGGTGAGAAGAGTGGGGAGCATGGTTAATTACAGAGGGATGTGTCTGATCCTCAGCTGCTTGGCGGCATTGGTGTTTTGGGGGAAGGCGTTGGCCATTGTCACCTGCACTTTAACCTGGCTGCTCTTCGGACCATCCAGCTGCGCCGTACCCACCCGGCGGTTCGCCTGCAATTGGAAGACCCAACCCTGACCCTGACCCTGACCCGTTGGATATGTACCAGAAGAATGAATATTCAGTATATTTTTAATTGGTAGATGATTTTTGCTGCTGGAGTTTGTTGTAATTAATTAATTGGTCGTTATGGAGTTTGCTCTCCATTTCAATGTTTAATTAATTTTAATTTTCTTTATTTGCATCAACCATCTTTTATTTTAGCTTTTTATTCTACTAGAACTTTACTTTGGCGTATATCGACTATCGTAATATATAAATAGATGAACCTTTAGACTCGGCATCAATGGCTGCAATATTTTCCCTCTTTCGCACACCCAAACCTTTCTTCTCCGTCTATTCGCCGCCGCGGCCGGCGGTCGGAATCTGTTTCATTCCCTTCATTTATTCTTCAACTACTGCTGCTCTGTCCTTCTCTAGCCTGCCTTATGGTCCATCCCTAAAGAAAGGGCATTGCCCTTTCCCCTCCGACTACCCTCCCCTAAGCTATGCCTCCGACGACGAAAAAGTTGCAGTCTTGGACGAGTCTGCTTTCACTCGTATCTTCGATGTCTCCGCTCTCAGAGTTCCATCTGATATCTGCTCCACGCTAGAAAGCCGCCTCCGCGGCCACCTTCTCAATTGGCCCCGCGTTAAGAACATCGCCAGAGTCCCTGGGGACGAAATTGATGCCGAATTCAAGCACTTATTGAGTCCAACCGATGAAGATCTAGTATCGTTGAACCGGAGGATTTTTGGGAAAGCGGAAGGGGATGGGGAGCCGCTAAATGAGGTTTTGTATCGTGACAAGCTCGCTAGAACATTTAATTCTCGAGGGTACGCTAAGTTCAGGAATTTAGCAAAAATGTCAAGACCGAAGAGGAAGAGAACGAAAAAAATGGATGATGGCGAGAAAAGATTTATGAAGGGCACCGTGAAGAATGAGGTGATCCTGGTTGAGGTGGTTGAGGACGAAGAAGAAAATGGCGATGGTGAGGATTTGAGTCGATTGTTAGGCGAAGATGTACGGCGGCAGCCCAAGTGGAGAGGCTCCACAAGGTTGATGCTCTTGGATGAACAGCATGCCAACAAAATGCTCGACGAAATGCCTCAGTCGATTAAGGTTTGATTTTTTGAGTCCTTAGCTTTGTAATCTTTCTTCGATGCTTACGTAATTATGCATAAGTATCTTATAGGTTGTGTCTGTGTTCATGATGAGTTTCTATGGCTATAATTATCTTCCGTGATGTCTGCTTCTATTGTCTCCTGCAGGCAGTTTTTCAAGAACACAATGGCCATATTGAACTTGTGAAGTGCAAATTGACTCTGTTTTACAGTTATTGGCAATTAAATGAGGTATTTCACCTGAGAAATTATAAGTTGTGGGATATTGTTCTTAGCATTTTTTCTCACATGGGAATAAACATTTCCCTAATGTAAAGCTTTTCAAATAGTTTAAATCCATCTGGCCTACTGCTGTTAAAGTTGAATAAGTGAAAAATATGATAAGGTGTTTTTTCCGATGATAGCTGAGCTAATTTGTAGCTACTTGGTGTTGCATTTGAATATGGGCATTGTTTATTAATACTTGCAGGTCTTGGAGGAGTTGCTACCAAGAGGAATGATAATTCCTTCAGCTTTTGAAACAGTTGGGCACATTGCTCACCTGAATCTGAGTGAAGAGCATCATCCATATAAAAAGCTTATAGGAAAGGTATTTGCTCCACGACTTAAATTTTTTTGTATAGGGGTTTGGTGCTCACCACTGCAACATGTTATTTACATTTTTCTCAGGTGTTTTTGGACAAGAATAGGCCAAAAATACAAACAGTTGTAAACAAAGTTGATGCTATTGACAATGACTATAGAACAATGCAGCTGGAAGTTTTGGCAGGAAATAATTCACTTGTGACAACAGTAATGGAGAATGGATTGCGATTCCATGTCGACTTAGCTGCAGTGTAAGTCTAGGAAGGAACAAGATACATCTTAGCTGAAATGTATGCATTATTTCAAACTGATGCCTTTTATGCTCACCACTAGGTATTGGAACTCAAGACTTTCTACTGAAAGGCAAAGGCTCATCAGTTCCTTCACGCACCGCGATGTTGTCTGTATGTTAGTTGACAATCTTGAATACTTTTCATAACGTTAAGCTGCAGTTTATAGATTCATATCCTTTCTAATTTTATTCTCTATCATGTACTAGTTGACTATGAAAGTAATATAGTTGAATGTTTGCTAAATTTTTTTGGTTACATAATGGCATTTAAATCATATACTGGACGCTGTTAAGGTCTTTAATAGGATTAGGCAGCAAGATGATAAAAACACCAATCCACCAACAATTTTGTGTTCTTTAGCACAAACATCTATTTTATGTGCGTATTGTTGTGTTTCTATGTTTGTGCTGTTTTAGGAATTTATTCCTAAGGCTTTCTATTGTGAAGTCTTAAATAAATGACGGGCTCTCTTGTGCTTTATAACTAACATATATTTCATTACAAAGTATAAAAGTCAAGAATGATTATATGGAAAGAATCTGACAACAGCATTATCACTTATGATAATACTACTTCCTAAATGATTGTTCGCATTTAGAAAAACTGCCTACACATAGCTATAGTAATGATATTCTCTACATGATAGGGAAAATTACAAAATAAAATTTAAAGTTTTAGCTATAACTGATGGAAATGCTGAATAGACCAGTATTGTCTCCTCCTATGTTATTGTTTGAATAAAAACATCCACAACTTATGTAGCTTTAGACCACTGAATATGTTGGTTGATTGGCAGGAATCTCTTTTAAATTTTCCCTTTTAAACCTGAGTTCCATCTTGTCTTAAAGCACTTAATAATATATTGTAATAACTGCTACTATGCTTGTGCCAACTGGGTTTATTCCTCTATACAGGTGATGTTTTTGCTGGGGTTGGCCCCATTGCTATTTCTGCTGCTAAAAAGGTCAAGCGTGTTTATGCTAATGATTTGAACCCTTGTGCTGTTGAATATCTTGAAAGAAACTGTGTCCTCAACAAACTTGAGAGGAGAGTTGAGGTATAAATTCTTAAAGTTGAGCCATTATAATTTTACACTTAAACCTTCCAAAATAAATGGTTGTTATCAAAATCTTTGAATGTAAAGTAATATCTGTTTTCGGCTTTAAATCTAGATGGATAGGATTATGAAATCAACTTGCCTGAGGTATTGGATACCCAGGCAGTGAAAAATAGGGACTGATATATCTTCTGAACTACTGTGTAGCAGTGAATTCTTGAATATTAAAATCATTTTTTTTTCTTTTTAGATCACATATTTCGTTTTGAGTTTGTGAGGTAGCTGTTTTCCATCTTGAGATTTTGTTCATCTGTAGGTATTCAACATGGATGGAAGGAGATTTATTCAAACTATTTTTTCCAGTGAGAGGACTCGACCTATTACTCAAGTAGTCATGAATTTGCCAAATGATGCAGCTGAGTTTCTTGGTATGTAGTGCGTCCACACTTAATCTTCCAAGTTCTTCTAATGGCTCGTCATTTTGATACAATATCTTCAAATCATAATTTAGGCCATTTGATTTCCTAACAGAATCCAGACTCAAGGGTCCAATGAATTATATGTTTGCCTTTTAAATTTTCAAAAGAACCTTTTCTTTTGATCTTTGTTTTACAGATGCCTTCAGAGGGACTTTTCATGGAAGGCGTCCAAATAAAGCATACGATTTGCCAAGGCTTCATGTTTATGGGTTTTCAAAAGCTCAAGACCCGGAATTCGACTTTGACACGGTATAGCTGCTTTTATAATGTATGGTGTCTTACAGCATGCAGCAAGTGTGCTAAAAAGTGAGTAATGATGATGTTCTATTTTATAAACAGCGCATCAGAATCGCAATGTTGGATGCTGCTTTTCCCATTGAGATGCGCAGAGTTCGTCTCGTCGCACCCGGAAAATGGATGTTGTGTGCATCCTTCATCTTGCCTGAGAGTGTGGCATTTTCAAAAACAGGTTCAGACTCGTTAATATGAAGTGTGTATATATTGACTCTTGAATGAATGATCTGCGTTCAGATTATTTGATATCCACCATAGTTGTAAACTTGTAATGTAATGCTTGTCAAATTATGACCAAACTCACAAATGTGTTTCTATGCAGTTAAAGATTAGCGGGATCAGATTTGATAACAGAAAATGATATCATCGAAGTTGTCCTATAATTTCTTATGGAAAATTTATTACTACGCTTATGCAAATAAGTTAGTGTCGAAAAAACATGAAGGTAGACTATGATGACTATCGTTGGGCTTAAAGCCCATCGGGCCCAATAGTATGGGCCCAATTGAGGACAAGGCGATAGATAACACTGAGATCACAAGTCAACCTTGAGAATCAGAAAGTCAAACGTATCATATCAAACCCCTACCGCAGCAATGCAGCAGCAGCCATCGCCGGACTCCGACCTGCCGCTGCTCGCCTCCATAAAAGTTCGGTCGTCGTCTCCGCGCTTCCCTCCTCCAACCACTCCACTCTCCACCGAAACCCCAACCGCCAACGCCCAGCGTAAGATCGGGATCGCCGTCGATCTCAGCGACGAATCCTCTTTCGCCGTCAAGTGGGCTGTCCACCAATACCTCCGCCCTGGGGACGCCGTGATTTTGATCCACGTTCGCCCTACATCCGTCCTCTATGGAGCTGATTGGGGATCCGTGGACCTCTCCATTGTGGACACCGACAATGTGGAGTCTCAGCAAAAGCTCGAAAAGGATTTCGATAGTTTCACCACATCGAAGGCTTCCGATCTGGCACAGCCGCTTGTAGAGGCACAAATCCCGTTCAAAATTCACATTGTGAAGGATCATGATATGAGGGAGCGGCTATGCCTGGAAGTTGAGAGGCTAGGATTGAGCGCAGTGATCATGGGGAGCAGGGGATTTGGGGCTACGAAGCGAGGGACCGATGGGAGGCTTGGCAGTGTTAGTGACTACTGTGTGAGGCACTGTGTCTGCCCTGTCGTTGTGGTGAGATACCCTGATGAGAAGGATCGTTCTGGAGCCAAATCCGTGGAGGATCGAGGGGATAATAAAATATCAGGAACCATCTGATCATAGGAAAGGTTTGTGGATTTTCTTCTTCTCAATACTAAAGCTTATATTTTCAGCATCATATTCATAGTTAGCGCATTCATCGTTATTGAAATGATTTATATCTTCAAAGCAGCTCATGATGAGTGCATGTGCAATTCTGTTGTTAATTATATTTCTTCGTCACAATACCAAGCTTATATTTTCAGCATCATACTAGTTAGCGCATTCATCGTAATTGAAATGATTTATTTCTTCAAAGCAGCTCGTGATGAGTGTATGTGCAATTGTGTTGTTAATTATATATTCATTTTGAATAAATTGTAAGTGCTTAATGATATTTGGATTTGATGTTTTCTGGTGCTTACGATTGCATCTGCCTGTGGCTTATCAAATAATGATCTGTGTTGTAGACGTGGCAAGTGTTTATATAGTAAGTTTTGAGGTGACTGCAGTGGAGTTTGCGGCTTAAATTTAATGCTAACATGGACAGAATCTTGATAGATGTCGTCTGAGTTACTTTATTGCCTTTCGAACTCAAAGATTGATGCTGGTTTCGGAACTTTATCTGTTCTGTGTTGCTCCAATTGATGCAGAAAATGTTTTGCCATCTGTCTTGACTTAATTTGTTGTGCAACTTGCTCGATATACACTACTTCACATTATTATGATCTGCATTTAATGTCTTTGATTACCTTTTATCACAGTTTTTAGCATTGAATCGCGAATGGCGTGCCATGAAAAATGTTACACTTAAAAATTATATGGAGTCTCATCTATTAATATAGTTGCTAATAAATAAATAAATAATCTAGAAACAGTAGTTAGAAAAATTGTATATCATGAAGACAAATGCAAATCACAAACTGAGATCTATATTCTATAGTGTTCGAGTAGTGAATACATCCAATTCATGTTTACATTATACAAAAATGTTTCTATATTGGAAAGGAAGAAACAAAAATGTATATGGAATTTTACAAAAATAAAAATAAAAATGAGGATGTTAGCAATAGCATCTTTAATATGGCACGTGCCAAATGCGATAGCGCTTGGGCAAATGATGTAGAAGCGTGCAATGGCACATGCCTCATTGAAGGCGTGTGGCTTGCCCAAGTGCATGGTGCCAAGTCTACACCACATACTATTTGAACCATGTCGTGCCATTGACTACGCAAAAGTTGTGGAACTACGCACCATGTCGTGGACTTTGCATCATCCCATTTACAAAGGTGTGCTTCTTCAAAAAGGAGCATGATTGGTGTGTGCCTGGCACATGCCTTTCGTGATTCTGAAAAATCAGGCACCAATCTTTTTATACTTTATCATTTTAATTATATAAAATGTATTCAACACTTGCAAACTTCCATCATGAGCTTTGCAAGACTGAATGTTTTGCCAGAAACTTTTCATGGTTGTCCTAACTTTTGATTAATGGTAGTGAAGGCCGTGTCAGGTATGTGGAAAAACACTTAAAACTTCCATCTTGAACTTTGCAACTTTGATGTTTTGCCAAACACTTTTAAGAATTGTGTCCTACAGTGTGATTAATGGTAGTGAAGGTTCGGGTCAGGTATGTGGATGCTATGCATATAGGATGGACAGCTTGATGTGCCAATCCAATATAACTCTGATAGGAAGTGTCTGATAGTCTCGAACACGTAACTTGGTGAATACTACACTGCTATCTAATGCACCTCGTTATTGTGTTAATACTTGACAGAATGCTGTTTTCAGTATGAAGAAACAGTTTCTCATGCTTGCTAGTGGTAGGAGTTGTAGGTATTGATATGAAATTATGAATATTAATTTCCCGGGTTTTGAGTTTGTAGAAACCAACAACGATGCCGGCCATAGGTGAAGGAAGCCTTGGTAACTGAGGTTTCCAATTTCTTTTGTGCCTCCTTTTGACATAAATGCATCAATGACAAAATATTCATATGCTAATTCCATGTCAGCAATTGATTGCCTGCAAAGTGTCTTACCGGTCATAAGATTTAAGGAAAACATCCTGATTATTTGAAGTACACTGAAGTAAAAGAAAGTTAAAAAAACAGAAGTGGATGAACTGTGGCGTTGACATGACAATGGTTCACTAGTCATTATAATTTGAAGCACCTGTGTTTTTTATAGTGTTTGATATATTCCGACTAATCTGAATGACTTGTAAGTTGGCATCTGTTTGATCAACTTGTTCGTAGGAAAAACTTAAGTCTTTGGCATGATTCTCTTGATCATCTTTTTATGTTTCGGAAATTCGGAAGCTTAACCTGCTCTTCTGATGTTATTAAATTTCTTAACAGATTCCTAATCAATACTCTGCTTTATGGCTCCATTTCATTGCTACAGGTTTGTAATTTTTATTTTGTTTCTTATTTTCTTCATATAGCCCTTCTATTTCCTTTATTGCTTGCTTCAGTTCTTTTCGACCCGATTTAAGTTCTGTTTACCTTCTTATATTTCTTAATTCTTTATTTTCTTTCTCAACCTGATATTGTTGTTTCGGCAACTTTCTGCAGCAGGCATAATATTGAGCAATGGTTCCTATAGAAGAATTTACTTCCTCCTTACGAGTTCTGTAATAATAACTTAAGTTGCTATGTATTATTCAGACTTGTGTTGTAGATGTACTTTCTTTCGTATCCTGAGCCTGTGTTTTCAACATGAATAATATTTAAGCTTCTATATATCATACTATTTCCGGAGTTTCTTTTCTTTGAGTAAAGCTTGCTATATTTGGAAGTTTTATACATCTGACCATATGTTAACTGTTTTTCTGAGTAATTATAATACACTCCGATTCCACCCCATGAGTTTTGCTTTCTCTACGATAAAATATCTTCTGTCAGAGAGTTTCATTATAATCGACACAGTATGTCAAAGATTCCCGAACAACGGTAAGATTACCGGTCTTTAATTATTCATTGTAGCCCTATCTTGATGGCTTGGAGCTTGGAAGTCTTTAATTATTCCATAGACGCTTTTCAAAAGTTTCTTGGGCACAGATGAATGCATTTCATATTCATATTGATATTCACTTGGAGGACATGATTGAGTATGAAACAAACTGTAGAAACGTCTGCATAATTGAGTCTGTAAGTAGTTTTATTATATGATTATGTGCATCAGTTGAAGTGCAAATAATGTTGGACAGGTAGGGATTGAGGGAGGCATGAATAACAGGTGTGTGGTGAATAACAATTGGGTGTATTGCAGTAGTGGCAGTATGGCATAGGTGGTGGGGAGGGGGGGGGGTGTGTATATTATTAATCTTAAAAAAACAGGGGTGGGGTGGGGTGGGGGTGGGGTGCACTTGGGCTACTATCTATCAATCAATCAATGGTATGGGCATTTATTCTTCTTCTTCAAAATGCAGCCGTCTGGCTGTCTTTCTGTCAGAAATGTTCAAAAGAAGATTGTTGAAACTTAAGATGCATGAATAGTTGCAGTTGATGAGAACCACAAGTTTTTGTGTTCTGTTTCACCATAACTGCATAGGCATAGGCAAAGGTAATACTATAGGAGAGGGCTGTGAATAAATAAATACTAATAGGCAATAGCCCCCCACCCCTAGATAATAATAATAACAGTAATAATTTATTTATGAATATGCTGCCAATAAAATTTTATTAGCACATTGGTTACAAAATGATACTCCATATCAGAGAGTATTTATGAAAGTAGACTGGGAAAATATCAGAGTTGCTGAACAGAACAATCGCTGCCCAACTTGACTAATTTTTTTATTTTATTATTGCCAATTGGGCCATTCCATGTTGTATTAGTTTATAATTCTACGACTGGACCTGATTTTTTTCAAGTTAATAAACATTACTTTTTTAGAGATAATAAATTATTATTATTATTCTAATCCAGTTACAACATTTTGAATTTTCTTATCCATTGCTCTTATAATATCGACAATTTTATGGTCCTGCATCTCTTCTTTTTATGATTTAAACACCAACAATTATATTTTAATTCAATATCTCACGATTTTATATTATCTGGATATGCATTATTGCTTTTTCAATCATTTAAGTATAATAGGTAAAGTGTGAATAAAATGGTAATTAACTAAGTTTACGAAAACGACGACGTATTGGAATGTGGGTGGTGGGGAAGCTACTTGGGCATTTTTCCTGAAACATGGCCGTCCACAAATTCACATATTCATTTCCAAGTTTATGTTTTTATTTATATTTTATATTTATTTTGGGGTGTTGTTAATGGAGTCTGTCGTTTCATTGAATCTGGCATGGCTTTATAAAGCAAGTGGGTTGAATTCGTGATGCAGACGCTTTATTCCATTTTAGGGCAAAGCTCAACCAAACCATTAAAGTTGAGGGAAGAAAATGAAGAAACACGCCATGAATTAATCAACTCTGTTCGTTATTTTCAAATTTGGATGAGATTAGATGGAATAATTACCTGAACAAACAAATAACAAAAAAAACTGTAATTAATGGGGTTTAAGTCTGCAGATTTTTTGAAGAAAAAAATTACTCATCTCTGGTGAACTTGCTGAGGCTGAGGACGATGGTTGCTGTGTCGGCGGCGGCGGCGCCTTCTGCGCCGATTTCTCGCTGGAATCTGCGCAGCTTTTCTACAATGGCCGGCGTCCCCTCCGCCGGCGACGGCTCTCCGGATGCTTCCGCCGGCGGCGGTGTTCCGGTTCTACGAGTTTTTAATGGTCTTGAGAAACCGCCGGGGGATTCCTCAACCGCCGATTCGGCGGTGCAGAGTAATTTGGAGTATGTATCCTGTGATGAACAGCATCCTTCTTCATCCTGGCAAATAATTTCGAATTTAGGAGAGATTCTGAAAATTTTGAAAATCGTTGATCCAAATTTTTGTAGAGAAAATTAATTACCTCAGAAGACTCGTGAGGGTAGTTTTCGCGCGATCTCTTGGAAGAAGAAGCCGAAATCGACACATTCTCATCGCTGCCGGAAGAACTCGCCTGCGGCGGCGGCGAATCGAAGACGGCGGCGGACCAAGGCACTACTTGATTCTCTCCGTCTTCCTCCATCTCTTCTTCATCTTCATCCTCTTCTTCTTCTTCTTCTTCTTCTTCTTCTTCGTCTCCTTCACTGTCGCTATAAATTACTTCGCCGTCGATCTCGCTCTCCCTCTCCCTGGAATCGGAGGCGTCTTCATTTCCGTCCGGCGGCGGAGTTTCCCCTTGCAGCGCGCAGGCGTGGCAGACGGAGACAGTCGGTCCGAGGCGCGGTCCGGCGGCTCTCCACGGCGTCGGAGAGCGGCAGACATGGCAGAGCAGCGTCCTTGAGTGCTTGGCGACCAAAAAATTCGCGGCGTGAACCTTCTCGTCGCATTCCCAGCAGAGACTGGCCTGATCCGACTCGCAGAACATCCTGGCCGCCTTACAGCAAAGCTCGCAATCCTTCTTCGCCATCTCCGCCCAGATCTCTCAATCCCCCTTTTCCCGTTCCTGCTTCTTATAAATAAAAAACGATGAAGACGACGAAGAAAAGCAAAAATGGCTTCTTTATCTCTCTCTAGAGTTGTTAATGTGTAAATTGTGTGTTGCCGTCTTTCTTATCCACAAAATGATGTAATTTACTACCGACAGTGAAATTAAAATTAACGGTGAGTGCATAAAGTGAGTAATTAAGAAAACCGATTCTTTTGGGGTAAAACCATGATTTAAGGTACGATTCACATCTCCTTTATATATAAAGCTGCCTTTGAATTTTGCATATTTCTGTGTGTTTTATTTTATTTTATTTTTGTAAAATTTAATTTAATTATGGGTGTGTTTATTTGTGATGTTTTAGTTTTGGATTTTGATTTTAAATAGTAAAATTTTGAATTGAAACAGTTGTTTGATGTGATGTTTTGAATGTAAAATTAGATTTTAATGTAATAAAATAAATAAAAATTTGATATTTAATTTGATATTTTTTAAAAAAAAAAATTAAAATAATAAAATCAAGTATAAAACGTTACATGTAAACACACCCTATGTCATTTTGTGTGTGTGATGGACCGCAAAATTGCGTGGCTTGTATGTGAAATGGGTGAAGACGTGTTTTATTATGGAGGCCATATTAGATTCTCCACGTGGCAGATTGTGGTTCGTGTAAGGGATTGAGCCACGTGACTGTCACGGTCGTTCAATGAGGTGTAGTAGACACAGACTCAGTCCCACTTTATATTATCTCTCTACGTATATTGTTTTATTTACTAATAGTGGAAATTCATCATTGGTCGATTGCCATGCCTTCTATACATTTCAATTTTGTAATATTATTAGGCTATTCGCAATACTAAATTATTTATATTTATAGTTATATTTATATTTATATTTATAGTTATATTTATATTTATATTTAATGTAGGTGTCTAATGTTTAAAAAAACTACTATGTTGTCCCTTGATATTAATATATGCTATATATAATAATATTTTATTATATTTTGCACAATTTTAATGATAAATTATACATAAATATGATGGTATATTTTTTATTGCGTAATAGAATTTGTAAAATTGACAAAGTTCTAAGCATATGGTAAATAAAATGAGTTAAATGTAGAAAAGTTTCATGCATAATCGCACCTAAGGAAACTTCGGTGTGAAAAATGTAAAAATTTAAAAAAAAAAAAAATACCAAGTTAAATTGACAGTTTAAAAACTATAATTATTTAATTGCAAATGAAATTTTGAGTTAGAAAATTTATGATAAGCGGTATGCAATTGAAAACGAAAAAGAAAGACGCAACAATCACGTTCTCAACTCGATTCTAATCCTTGGAGGGAAGAAGAGACGCAAGCAACAGAGTGCGGAGAACTTCCAGAAGTAGTGCAGATGACTCCGAGACATTCTTCTTCCATTCTCTTGTTCTTTTTTGCCGATTCTCAAATATTGAAGATACGATAAACTTTTTATCTGCTTTCTGTTTTCGATTTATATGGATTATGAGTAATTTATTTTCTAACTTAGCTCTGGACTGAAGTTTGTGATATGAATTTGTTAGGTCTTTTTTGTTTTAATTTGATGTTTATTGGTAATTTGTTAGGCGTTTTTTGTTTTAATTTAATGTTTATTGGTATTGAGTATTTTTAATTTCTCTATTTTGCGTAATTAGAAATCTATATTTGTGGTCACATATTAGTTTGAAACTTCACAACAATATTGAGGATTGATACTCATAATTGTGTAATCTTGCAATTGGATTAGCAATCTCGACTTAATTGGTGTTTGACCGTAGGAGTTGCAATGGAATTTCATATTCACATGTAAGAACATAATCTAAAAAAAAAACTACATCACTAAACATTTCTTTGACCCAATAGATAAGTACCTAGATCTAGCTAATTATTCCTTAAGAATGTTTCACTAATTGTCTCATCTCCCTAATACTTTTTTAAATCAAAATTAAATTTAGATTACGAACTAATCAGGTCGATAAAGTTCTTGCATACTTAGATTCCACAAACCATATAATTTATTTTTTTAATAATGTGAGAACCTCCGCTACTCGAAAATGCTCACTGGGTAAACCCTCGACCGAATCTAATACTCTTCAAACTAGACTCGACAAGGCAAGTCACACTAGGAAAATCATGTGTGGCAGGTGGACCTGAAAGCGTCAAGTTTGAACCAATGACCTCACGATTACAAGTTCACTACCCGCACCACCATATTATCCCTTACGGGACAAAACCACATAATCTTTTTAAACAATGTGATACAATCATAGGCATAGGTAGCTAATATTTGTCTTGTCTTTCCACAATTTTATCAAGAATCTAACTTAAACAACTCTAAGGATGAATATGGCTAGAAAAGTATTTTAGCAGTGGCTTAAGGAGGTTACGGCTGAAGAACTTCCATAAACTTATCATACTAAACTAAATGACTCTTTACAGCTTGAACTCTGAAAAAATGGTTACAAAAATTGCTAAACAAAATGAATGTGTGCAAGCTTATGATACATATGAGAAATCTGACTACTGTTTATTAGGTCCAAATGTGAGAATTAAACATTTGAATTAACAGTTGAAACTGCTGATAGTTAGACAGTAAGTGGTTTAAAACTAGCATAACTGTCAGCATCACACATGCGCTCTAGTTGTTTTGCTAAGATTGACACAAATCTTTTTTCCTAGCAATGTAAGTCATGTTGGACTCAGCAATCGGAGGGAAATACATTACTTGGATTAGCAAAATTTTTCATTGTGAGTTTGGGTGAATGACACATCTATCCATAAGTCAGCTTTCGTTGAGGTGAGATCTCGCTTCCTTTGAACATAGTTCGTCTGGACGGTGCTTTAGTGGTTTCATTGAATTGTATGTCTTAATTTGTTTGCTGAGTTTGGGCATTTAACACCTAAATTTCACTTGATATGAGTTTGAAATTAGTAAATATCATATATGGAAAGTTGGATCATATCAAACAAAAAATATAATGTATATCATAAATCAAATACTATGATAATTTTTCATAGAAATACAAGTAATAAATATATTTTGAAAGTTTATAAATATGTTCATATTTGGTGTTATTATGAACAAATTTGAAACGGTCAATAGGCGGATGGACCTAGGGTAGATCAGTCGAACCAAATCTAATTTAATACCAAACAGAAGGTTTCAATGTCGATTTCTTAATCGATTTCAAATTGTCACTCGACTAACAATCGTGCAATTCAAACCACCTACATTGGCCGTAACCAATGTTAAACTAATCAAACATGAACTATAATAGGGTTTACTATTTTATATTTTTTACATTTTTTCTACTTGCAGTGTAATAGTTTTGGAATTTTGTTTTCTTAAACTATAAAAATTAAGAATTTTACTATCTATTCTTAATTTTTCATGAGTAACAATAATATTAATCATCAAACATAAGATAAAATAATCAAAATATATGAACTTTAGTATTTTTATTGTGAAAATAGTAATTTGATATTATATTTTATATAAAAGTTGTGGTAAATATATTTTTCACATACTTCTATTTATTGACAAATTTCCGGGACAAGTTTTGTCTAAATTTTTCCTACATTTTCTTTTATCAATAAAATACAATATGGGTGTTCATTTTTTTTAGGTGTATGTATATTTTGTGTTAAGTATGAAATTATCATTAATATACAAAATAATATTGTATATAAAATTGTTAATTCATTTAATAAATAATTATAATATATATACATATATTGTGTAAATGTATATACTCTATCTTTTCATTTTAAAAGTATATATTTATTTTTACGCCGACTGTAAAATAATAATAATATTTTAATTATAATAGATAATTAAAAATACTATTATAATAACTTTTTTTTTTATTTTTTAATGTAAAATTAATGAGATGATAGATAAATATTAGAAAAAAGTGAGATTCATAGTTGTCCGATGCAGAATAATCGTCCCACATAAAAACTCAAACTGTCAAGGAAATTCATCATTAATATATTTATCTGCAAACGGAGTCTCAACCGTTCGAGCTTTTTAGATGAGAAGGTCAGAACCACAATAAGAATTTAAGTGGAATAGATGAAGTATTATATTTTAATTTCCTAAATAATAAATACATATTTTTAGAAGTAAAAGCTTTGTTTGCACAATCAATTTTCACTTATTTAATACTATTTATTTTTTTTAAAAAAAATATATTTCATTAAATATTATTTTTTTATATAAAATATCAAATTAAATATTAATTTTTTATTTTTATTTTTTTAAAATCTCAAAACCTCGAAACTCTTCAAAAAAATCTCTATTTCTTTTAATGATACCTAGCCGCACGAAAACACACCCTAAAATTAAAATAAATTGAGTGGGACTCCATCGACATATAATATTTATATACGATATGATAAAATATAAAAATAGAATATTATCCGATCAAAATAATTGCAATAAAAATAGAAATAGATTATCCGATTAAAACAAAACAAAAAAAAATGCAATAAAGTAAAAGGAGAAGGATAAATACCTGATCCGAAATGGCAGTGGATGCACCGAAACAAACCATGCCTGATGACATCACCTCATCGATCAGGGGGTAGTGGTGGCCTTATTGCTGACGTGGCAAGCCCACGTGAACATCCGCTGACGTGGCGATCTTATGATGTTGTGGAGTTGTGTCCCGAATGAAAATAATTAGTCGACCATGATTGAATGTTCAAAATTTTCAACTTAAATGTTGGGCTGATTTGTCATGTGCTGGGTTGGGCTTTTACAAGAAAATTTATTTAGAATTAAGTATTGTCAACCTAATTTTAATTTAAAATTAAATTAAAATTTAAAAATAATTTTAAATATTACATTAAATACTTCTTTCAGTTCAAAGTTTTTATTGTATGCAAACCCATCCTTATATATATATATATATACACACACACCTATTATCAAACAAAATTCTTTATTTAGAAATATATATTAAATATTTTCAAAGTAAAATAACACGTGTATATAGTATTTTGGATAAAATAAAAAATAAAAATTGAGATATATCTGACTTTAACAAACTGGATGATATCAGGGTCTGAATGAGTGGGGACCATGCCTTGTCCCTGTTTTCGGAATTCTCAAATTAGGTAAAGTACAAAGCAGCAGCAGCAGCAGATAGGATGACGATGGTCATCATGATATGCATATACAATTATTATTATTATTATTATTATTAATTTGTTTGAAAATTAGGTAATCTTTGGAGAGTGGAGGAGGGAGTGACAAGACAAGAAGACAATGACTTTTGTGGTTGTGATTTGTGAAATAAATTAATTTTTTTAGTTCCAGCAACAACAAATAGTGTGTGTTTTAGTAGAAAGAAGATTTATTGAACCACCATCGTATTTAATCACAATCACTCATCTATCTAATCTACTCCTATTATTTTCACACATTCAATCTAATTGACATTTAACAATCACCCATGAGTCCAAATCCCACTATTACACATACAATACAATAGAATCACAACGAAATCTATATCTAATTTGTTTCTCACATTGAAGCCCATCAAATAGCCCAGCTCTTGGGCCCGGCCCGGTGGGCTGTTATGGATGGTTCGACGGTATTTCTAATAAATTTAAATTAATAGCTAAGAAGTATATATATTTTTATAAATATTATGCTTAATTATAATTTTTTATATATATTTTTTAATAAAAATTGTTACGAAGCTGTGCACCCTTCTACGTCAACAAAGCAATTTAAATAAAAAACTATAAGTATTATTATTATTATTAATTAAATTTATGTTTAAATAAAATATAATAAAATAAATTCTGTTAACTAGGTGATGAACAAAAAAATAGCTGAATTCAAACAAAAAGTTTAGATTGTATTTTTAACGAATAAACATGAGTTAAGCACGAACTCTTAATGAGTTGGTCTCTCTTTGTTGGTAAAAGCCACGTCATGGTTCACCGGATTAGTCAGTCCGGTCTGACTCGGCCAATTTGGACTTTTTCCCCAAGATCTTCTCAATCCACAAATCTTATTGCAATGCAGCACATGTATGATGAAAATCGTTCAACTTTTTTATATTACCGTTCTCAATTGTGTTTGTCCGTATAGCTTCTTCTTCAATTTCAAATCTAAAAAAAATTAAAACTTGAAAAAAAAAAAAAAAAAAAGTTATGTGAATTTAGAAAGGATAATATTAGAGGAAAAAAGAAGTAGTGGCCGGTGCTTGCGTTTGGAGAAGAAGACATGCGTATTGGAAGAATTGAATTGAGGTAATTCGGGTCATGATCCTAATTAATTGTGTTATTAGCTCAATTAATTTAAATTTTGGTAAATGTAGTATAAAATTAATTTGTATATATATATACACGCTAATTGTGTTGAAATATTCTTTATTTTAAATTTTAATTTACTATAAATTATAATATATTTTTAAAATTAATTATATTTATAATTTATGTAATTAATGAATAATTAAGAAGTATATTAGTAAAAATAATTATGATTTAATAAAAATAATTTTAAATTAAAATTAAAATAACTAAATAATTTAATTAAAATAATTTTTTTTTATTTTTATTTTTGAAATTATGAATTTTAAAAACAATATAAGACAATTATGCAAACGGACATTGGCTCGTATCTGAACATGTAAAGGGCGACGAACATACGTTTGTGTTTGTTCATTTCAGTATGTGTTTTGGAATAAAAGCTATTCAATTCATTTATATATTTTTGGTGCTGACTTTTACTTTGGATCCAAAAACCCTACAGTAATAATTCTTTAATTTACTCAGCCTCACATACATCGAATGCTCTCTATCTCGGCTCCAGCATTGTGACTGTGATTTCATTCTTCGAACTTCCCTTTGTGCTGACAGAAGAATCATTGACAAAGGCACCACCTTCCATGAAGAAACCAGGTTGTCTCGCCGGAGGCAGCGCCACGTCATTCTCCAGCATGTACACCACCGACGACATGGTCGGCCTATCCTCCGGATACGCTTGCACGCAAAGCAGCCCTATCTGGATCACTCTAACCACCTCGTCAGGCGACGAGCACGACTTCAGGACACTCTCCACAACTACTTCCAGGGACTTGTCTTCTTTGTGGAGTACCCAAACCTGTCCAAAAATGGCTTTAAAATCTTCTTTATGGTCTGATTTTATTTAAACTTTGAGTCTATCGAATTTGTATATTATGTTTATTCATAGACCTTTATTTTTGTTTTCATAGTTTATTTCTCACAGTACGTACACACAAACACTTACATGTCCAAGAAGGCTGTGGGGGTGGTCTTTGTGGGAAAAGCCTCTGTTTCTTTGTCCGCTCAAAACTTCCAACACTATCACGCCGAAGCTGAACACGTCTGATTTTACCGAAAACAGGCCATGGGCGGTGTACTCCGGCGACATATATCCACTAAAGAAATTTTATTAGAAATTGCTTCATAAATTATGGTGGCGATGGAAAGCAGAAATGTGAAATTCTTACTATGTTCCGACAACTTTATTTGTATTGGCCTCTGTTTCATTCCCTCCAAAGATTCTAGCCATGCCAAAGTCGGATATTTTTGGGTTCATGTCCGCATCCAGCAATATGTTGCTAAGTTTTAGGTCCCGATGAATTATTCTCAATCGCGAATCTTGATGAAGGTACATAAGCCCCCTTGCAATCCCAGTTATGATTTGAAAGCGCTTGGGCCAATAAAGTAGCTTGCTCCTCGTCTCATCTGTCAAAAACACATATTTGAATATTTAGTATTGTACACATAGTCTACTTTGATCGAATTATTTTCAAAACCAAGAAATACCGAATAAGATCAAGTCGAGGCTTTTGTTGGGCATGTACTCATAGATTAACATTTTTTCCTCTCCTTGGATGCAACATCCTAGAAGCTTAACAAGGTTCCGGTGCTGAAGCCGGGCGATGCATACAACCTCGTTCTTGAATTCATATAGTCCTTGCAATGATGTTTTTGATAACCTCTTGACAGCAACTTCTTGGCCATCTTCCATCGTCCCCTAACATTATCAATTCATGGTAATAATTAAGGTGTTGCTACTTAGTACTTAATCACCAATATATAATCTTGCATTATAATGTACCTTGTAGACTGGCCCAAATCCACCTTCTCCCAACTTATTGCTTTCACAAAAGTTGTCGGTAGCTTTAGATATTTTGTGCAACTCCACCAATGGAAGCTCTAAGTCTTTATCATCTTCTTTCCGCCAGTCTGCAATTAAGTGGCTATCAATATCTTGACGTTAATGGTAATAGCAATGGCAATGGAAATGAATTACCTTTTGAGCTTGGAGTTTCCTTACCTCCTTTCCTCAACTTCATCAAAATTACCCTTTTCTTACCCAGGCAGAGAGCCATGAGAACTATTGCAGCAGCCAATGAAGTAAAACTCGCAATGATGGCAGTACGTTTTTTGCTTTTCCTCGAATCTCCAACAGTAATATTATCTAATAAGTTAGCTTGAAAATTAATCAATCAGATCACAGCAAGAAAAATCAGTAAATTTAGAAATTATACGTGCCTAATTCAGAAGAAGCAAGTCTGATGAAGATATCCTGTCCACCTCCATAAACCTGTTTGAGGTCGAGCAAATCTTCGAACCAAAGCAAACACCCACTCCCCCCATTTCTTACATCCAAATTCGTATAAGCCGTACAATTGCAGTTCTTCAGACAGACCAATTTACATTCTGGCAGACTCATACTTGTATTAAACCACGAATTTCTGGCATCCGGCAGTTTCAAATCTGAATATTTCACAAATCCATCCGTTCTGCAATCCAGCGGCGTCCGCCGGACGCAGCCGTCCTTCCAACCTCCCGCCGCCCAAGGCCCCGGAAACTTCGGAGTAAACTTCGGCAGACAATCACATATAGGAGAGCTATTAAGATTACAGCTGCCGGCGGCGCCGCACATGTTGTAAGTATCGCAGTTGTCCGTCCCCGCCGTGAGGTACGTTACCCATCCTTGACTCCGGTCGACCCAGGCCCAGCGCTGCGTGATGCCGCTCCGGTTCATCACGAGCCGGGTTATTGTCGACCGGTCCAGGAGGTTGTAATGGTAATACACCTCCTTGCCTCTGATGATTAAGTCGAAAGTGTAGACTGAGTTGTTTTTCAGACCCGGAAACCCGCTGAACCCGAACCCGTTCCACGGCCCTGCCCGGGACACTTCGCCGGAGTCCTTTTTGAGGATCATTTGGGGATAACCCGTCGGATCTATGTGGAGACTGTAGGATCCGGTGCTTGGATCGTCACTGGATTTCCATGACGAGAGGTAATTCTCATGGCCTGTTGCAAGATGTCCGAGTTTCATACCGGGTAGGAGCGTATCCGTCGGTTCATCGAAGCTTTGCCAGAGGTAGTTATCTGGGTTATCGTCGTTTGCTTCTCTGACGACAAGGTTTCCGGTGTCGAGCAATTGGGCCACCGGCGATTGTGCGACACGCGACCTGTTGGAAGACCATACGACGGAATTGGTAGCGTTGACAAGAGTCAACATTCCGGGATGAACGACCTTCAACACAGCGCCGCCGCCGCCGCCGGTGAGTGGGCTGTCTCTGTTGGCAACCCAGACGACGGTGAAGGCGGTTATTTTCCGGTACCATATGCCCAAGTATCGATTCTTGGAATCGCCTGGTGAGAAGAACCCTAACTCGAAGCTTCCATCTGATGAGATCAGTGTTTCGCCATTGTCGACGTCTCTCAACGTGAGAGTCGTGTTTATTACATCTGCGCCGTTACATAGGGTTTGTATGAATGTTAGAAGGAGGAGGAGGAGGAGGATGAAGTGGTGATGATCTGATGGTCTCATTATTGGTTAAGCAAATTACGTAGAGACGTGTAATTAATTGATCCAAACAGATTGGAATCTTCTGAAGTACTCACACACGAGGGAAGACTTAATTGATATGGTGAGGTTAGCAAGATTGACTACGGTTGTTGACAATGGAGATGGTGTTGATATATATTATAATCGAATAGTCTCCGGTAATGCTACGGCAGTGCTGGCGACGGCGACGGCGACGGCGACGGCTTATATGGGCCAACCGTTTTGTCTTCTGTTGAAGTCTTTTGCTGGTGGTTTGAAAAGGGCGCCTTTGATAAAAATCAATTTCACATTAAATAGTTTTTTTCTTTAAAAAAAAAAACCTGTAGCCGAAATTACAATAAAGTCATTATATTTGTATAAATTCATTTGAAATTGGTTTCGCACAAAAATATAATCAAAGTAATTGTGCATGGAACGGTGAGAATAAAATTACACACACACACATATATATATATATATATTTATAGTGCATGTGTATTTATTAATATTTCTTCAGTATAAACCTAATCTACACAAAATATAAAAATCTCTACTCAGCCAGCAGCATACTATATACCTACATTTCTATCCAACACTCCAGTAAAGGGAAAATAAGAGCATGTTCAGTATACCAAAAATAAAATAAAATAAAGTAATCTATTAACTTGGAGGAAGATGGATGATTTTAAACATTAACTCCAAAAATACTTTTTGTGCATAGTAAAATATTAATGTATTTTATGTTATCTAATATTTTAATAATGATATATATATTTATTAAAATATGAATATTTATATCTAATTTATAATTTACAAAGTAATACCAAATATAAAAAATAAAAAAATTGATGGACCAAATGCAATATAAAAAATAAATTAAAATATCAAATATATAAAAATAAAATCATTGAAGGATTAAAATGCAATAAAAAACTTCTTCTTCCATATTTAGAGGAATGCTACAGGTGTTACTTCCAATATGGAGGAATATTGTAGTATTCCTCTCCAAATATGAAGAATTAGCATATGTTGTTGAGTAATTTTGCTCTAGAAATGGAGAAATTTTTTAAAATTAAAGTATACTATGTAGTATATAGTTTTATTTTTTTTAAAAAAAACAATATGTAATGCATGTTTCCTAACTAAATTGTTACGAACTAATAATATTTTTTCAGCCCTGTATAGAAAGAGTAATATTTGTTCTTTGTACGTAAATATTTTAATATTAGCATTATATGAATTTATAGTAAAAAAAAAAATATAAAACTATCTCTATTAAGAATGTATAGTATAAAAGTAATAACATTTGAAAAATATATTGTAAATTATAAATATATTTATTATGTTAATTAAATAGTACAATTACTAAATTAGAAAATAGTACTTTATTTTAAAATGTATAGAAGTGAAAAATAAAACATTTTTTATGGGACAAAAGAATTATTATATTATCTTTGTTTAGTTATTATATCATATTTGTCTCGATAATATTTAATTAATTATTTATAATTATTTTATTGTAATAGTTATTAATTATAAATGCTAATTTTACTATATATAAATTTAAATTTAAATTTAAATTATATTTTTTGGTGATATGTATATAAAAAAAATTGAACGTAATTTATAAATATAAAAAATTATATAAAATAATATAAATATATATATATGGAATATACTCATTAGAATAAAATTTAAAATTTGAAGTTAAAATAAAATTACTATAGATCAATGTAGCAAAACTGAAATAATGAATTGAAGAATGTTTTGTAGTATCAAACTTTTTGATATATTAAAAAATTTCAATATTTTTTCGTAAGGCATATACTACTATGGGTGTGTTTCTTTGATGAAGTTAGAAAAATTTCGGTTTAGATTTGATATTAAAATAATGTTTGATAAAATATTTTGTAAGAAAAATTGATATACTTCCTTCTTCAAGTTTTATTATTTTTGTAGTCTCATTTCAAATTATATCATTAGTAAAAGTAATTATAAACCAAAATACTTTTAACTTTATTTAAATTATAAATATATAATTATTTTATATATAAAGATAAAAGGGAAAAAATGTCAAAATTATTAATCAATGAAATACTATTTTATTTTAATTTACAACAAAATTACAAAAGTCTTTTGAATTCTAACAAAAAGAGTACTTGTTTAATTTTTTTTTTTTCCTGAAAAATGCACATTCAAATAGTTGTTTCGATAGTTGGATACTATTTTTCATCCTCCATCTGTCTAAATCAGTTTGCCAAATTGAGGGCCTTGGAAGCCCAAAATATGTATGCATCATCACGTTCGCTGTCACCCACCCCACCATGAATCCGAGGAAAGTTCCACGAAGATTGAAAACAACTGTTAAACAAAAACCCAATCAAGAATGAAATCATAGTCAGTTACTTGATGACAATTGACATGCCCTTCCAGAACTATTCTACGGCCCCAACTCTCCCCAGCCACGCAGCAGTTTCCTCTGCATTAATATCCCGAAGCTATTCCCAAAGAAAATGCCCTTCTGACCTTTTCTTCTCTTCGTCGATAACATTCATAGCTGTCCATAGCTGTCCACAATTGTGTTCTTCCCATACCCAGTTGCGATCTAATTGTAATGGCTCTTCTTCTTCTGCGAAACCCCTCTGCACCTCCCCGTTTACCCTCTCCTATAATACGCCCCCTCCCCTTTCCCCCCATTATCCCATTCCCAAATACCGATCTTGTCTGGACAACTTAAACGAGGAAAGAAGAGAAGAAAACTATCGGCTTTATGGCGTCAAAAGATCAATCCAATTTCCAGGATTTCCTTCCCCTTATGGCGGAAAAGCTTGGCGGGGATGGCTTGATTGGGGAGCTCTGCAATGGGTTTCAGCTTTTAATGGATTCTGAGAAAGGACTCATCACATTCGAGAGTCTCAAAAGGAATTCTGCTCTGTTGGGCCTCCAAGACATGTCCGATGATGATCTTCTTGGAATGCTTAAGGAAGGCGATGTTGATGGCGATGGGGCCCTCAACCAGATGGAGTTTTGTGTGCTGATGTTCAGATTAAGCCCCGAATTGATGAAACAGTCTCAGTTTTTGTTAGAAGAGGCTCTTGAACAAGAGGGGTTTCAGTACTTCTAACTTGTTTGTTTATTTCTCTGTGGTGACTTTCTCGTCATGTAATTTAAACTTCAGACTATACACAAATTGACTGAATAAATTCAAAGTTTGATCACGCTTTTGGATGCAAGTACTCTTTAATTCAAGTCTATTAACTGCTCTAATTAGTCATTGGTTGTTTCCAATCTCTTTGTGATCTGTTCTTAATAATTACATCACTATTTCTTGGTCTTCTTCTCATTGTTTGTTGTTTATTACTTTTACTAAGTCCTCTAATAACTATAGTGAATGGTCGCTCAAAAATGTCTTCAAGATTTTAATTTATTGCTGGAAAGCTTGGAAGGCGTTAAACGTTGTCTTTGTTTATTCTTTGTGGCAATAAATATACTTTACATTAAACTGTCTAAATCATATGATATCCCAATGTCGCTTTCTTGCACAAAACGTTGGACTGGTTTCGCACGGAAGTGAACATTTATTGAATTTCTCTTCTTAGTTTTTAGAATTTTCAACATAGAATATTTGATTATGATCGATCATCCTACGGCTGAAAGTACCTTAGCTTGTCCTCTGATTGTGGCTCTGATGTTTGAAAGTGCCTACCTTTCCATAAGGATTTTCATATTCACCATAAATTTCTCTCATGTGGAGAATTCCAGTAGTTCCATGGATGCTTTGTGGTCTTTAACTTATTTCATTTATGTAATTTGTTTGCTGTTTAAAATATCTGCGCTGACTGACAGCATCGATGAGTCTCAAGCCGTGAGAGATGGCGAAACACTGGTTTCGGATGGAGGAATCTTTGAGCTTGGTTTCTTCAGTCCAGGTATTTCGAAGAAACGATACTTGGGAATTTGGTATAGGAATATTCCAATCCAAACTGTTGTTTGGGTTGCAAATAGGCGAAGCCCGGTCAATGATAGTTCTGGTGTGTTGAAGATCAACAGCTCAGGCAGCGTAATTCTATCAGCAAGAGATAATAATAGTGTGGTGTGGTCGTCAGGTTCAAGCAGGGCGCCTAAAGTTCCGATCTTACAGCTCTTAGATTCCGGTAATCTTGTTCTCAGAGATGGTAATGCAAATGTCTATCTATGGCAGAGTTTTGATTATCCTTCTGATACATTGTTGCCTGATATGAAATTTGGATGGGACTTAAGAACTTCTCTGAATAGACGGTTAACCTCATGGAAGAGTCCTGATGATCCGTCCCCGGGGGAACTAAGCACAGGAATAGAACTTGATGCGTATCCCCAAGGGATTATGTCGAAGGGCAGCAGAAAGTATTTCCGAGGGGGTCCGTGGAATGGCCTGAGATTTAGCGGTGCTCCTGAATTGAAAATTAATCCGGTGTTCGAATTTGAGTTTGTGTGGAACGAGGAAGAGGTTTATTACACGTACCGACTGCTGAATAAATCTGTGATCTCCCGGCTTGTGATGAATGAAACCACGTCCACACGACAGCGTTACGTTTGGGTAGAAGCAGACCAGTCGTGGAGGCTTTATGCATCAGTTCCTCGTGATTATTGTGATAATTATGCTCTATGCGGTGCTAATGGTGTTTGCAGAATCGGCGACTCTCCTGTTTGCCAATGCTTAGAAGGTTTCGAGCCGAAATCCGCGTTGAGCTGGAATGCTATGGACTGGACTGACGGATGCGTGCGTAAGGAGCCTTTGAATTGTAATAAGGATGATTTCATCAAGTTTTCGGGATTAAAATTGCCGGATACCACAAATTCTTGGGTGAACAGAACTATGAATCTTCGGGAGTGCAGGGAGGCATGCTCGAAGAACTGTTCTTGCATGGCTTTCACGAACTCGAATATTAGCAAACCAGGCAGCGGATGTGTCCTGTGGTTTGGAGGTCTGATTGATGTTCGACAATTTTCTGATGGCGGGCAGGATCTGTATATACGAATGCGAGCTTCAAGTCGAGGTATATTCAAAAAATTAAAACGTGGTTTATGTAACAATTTCTAGCTCTTTCAGGCCTTTGATGTCTAACTTATTGAGATGCTCATATCCTGTGTCAGGAAACAGATCTCTCGTAATAGTAGCTGCAGTTGTAGTTTCCATTGCTGCAATCTGTGGATTGCTTCTTGCCATCTTCTATCTTTTCTGGCGAAAGAAGGCGGCAAAAGGTAAAACGAATGATAACATTCAGATCGTAGGTGGATTATTGTCACAAACTGTCGGTTTCTTGAGAATTTGTACCAATATCCATATTGTATTCATAATTGATCAGGTGGAAATGAAGAAGAAGAAGCTCTTGATGTTGTTTCCCATGAAGAGGATCTTGACCTGCCGCTATTTAGCTTGAGTACAGTTGTTCGCGCCACTGATAAATTTTCACTGAACAAAAAGCTCGGCGAAGGTGGCTTTGGACCTGTCTACAAGGTACGTAATAAAATGTAGTTTTTCTCTCTAGCCAATAGACATTCACATTTGAAAGGATCATAATCTAGCAAAGGATAAAAAGAACATTCTTTTTGGATTTATGATTTTCGGTGGCCTTGATGACATCAGGGTTTATTGATGGATGGACAAAGCATTGCTGTGAAGAGATTATCGGAGAATTCAGGCCAAGGATTAAATGAGTTCATAAATGAAGTTAAACTTATAGCCAAACTTCAGCACAGAAATCTGGTGAAGCTTCTTGGTTGTTGTATTGATGGTGCTGAGAAGATATTGATTTATGAATACATGCCTAATGGAAGCTTGGATTCGATTATTTTTGGTTAGTTGTCGTCATCTTCGCCGAAGCCTTTGTTTATTTGTGCTGCAAACAATTCTGAGCAGCCTAACTCATCCTTTGATTTCAGATAAAACACGAGGGTCGCAATTAGATTGGTCAAAACGTTTAGACATCATCAGTGGAGTCGCTCGAGGGCTTCTCTACCTTCACCAGGATTCGAGACTGAGAATTATCCACAGAGATCTGAAAGCAAGTAATATCTTACTTGATAATGAGCTGAATCCAAAAATTTCCGACTTTGGCATGGCAAGAACTTTCGGAGGGGACCCAAGGGAAGAAAATACCCGAAGAATTGTAGGCACATAGTATGTAAACAAATTGATTTCTGGTTCTGTCCCGGACAACTTTTGTGTCATACAAATTAGTCTCGTCCCTAATCCGTCGCTTGTTATCATGATTTTCAGCGGTTATATGGCGCCTGAATACGCCATCCATGGATTGTTTTCGGTGAAATCTGATGTCTTTAGCTTCGGCATTCTTGTGTTGGAGATTGTGAGCGGGAAGAAGAACCGAGGGTTTGATCCTGAACAGGGCCATAACAATCTCATTGGATACGTAAGTGTTTCTTGAAAATCAATCGTAGCATATGTTGTCCCCGTCATGCGTAATTCATTACGAATACACCATTTGCAGGCATGGAAATTGTGGACGGAAGAGAGGCCATTAGATTTGATCGATCCCTTGCTGGATGTGCAAAATGTCGAGCACGAAATGATTAGGTGCATCCACATTACTCTGTTATGCATCCAGCAGAGTCCGGAGGACCGGCCTAGCATGGCGACTGTAGTTGTGATGCTGAATGGAGATAGTCTGCTGCCACAGCCGAAGCAGCCTGGTTTTTTGATAGATCTGTTACCTAGCGAGACATGTTCTTCGTCAAGCAAGAATGAACCGTGCTCGGTAAATGATTTTTCTATAACGGCGCTGCAGGGGCGATAACAGATCGCTCGAAAGTTTGGAAATTATTACACAATCTACAGCCATACTTGAGGTATGAACTGGTGTGTTTCTTTGAATTGATTCAGCAGTTTTCATTACATGTGTGCAAGAAGATTTCCTGGAAGAAAAGATCATTCTGCTTTAACAAGTAGCCTTTCTTGGGTACAAAGTGAAGCAAAGTGCAAAGTCAGTCAAAATTGGGGCAACCCATGTCTTGAAACTATGATAAGTCCTTTTTTGCAATCTTGAAATGCACCCAAAGTTGTCACAATGCAATGAATGATTCAGTTAATTCTTTGAACATCTCTAGAACACACAAAAACAAGATTGGGTGCTTCAAGATATAAATGCATTGGTGAGATCAACGAAGGAGGAAGGCCCATGTATGTATCTATCCAAAATAAAAATCCCATCTTTATTGATTTGTTGTTTATAGCTTAAGTCAAACATACAAACTGTGATGCACTAACTCTCGATTTCTTGTCCATACCTAAAACCCATGAATAAAAAGTCAATCCTCAGCAATTTCCAACCACAAAAGGGTCCTCAAATTATTGAGTCCAACACAACCAACCCATTCAATTCCCAGCAGTTCCTTCCCTCCTACACCAACTACAAGAAAAAAAAGAAAGAAAGAAAGGGAATATAGTATTATTACAATTATGATTCCATGTAAAATGATTAGATGGGTGCATTATCTAGAAGATCCCACATTAACGCGTAAATAATTATCATTAAGTGCCATTTTTTTTTGGATGATGATGATGGGCGTGACAGCGAGCCATCATCATCATTTCGCACACCTGCTTCTGCCACAATACAGATCCAACGACGTCGTCACAGCTGTCCCTAATTAGGTTTAAATGATCGTTTAAAACCCTCGATTAAAGTGTGAGTGAAAGTAATCTGGGGTCCTTACAGTATATAAAGTGAGGAGGCAGTTCGTTGGCTGTCGAAAACAGAAAGTCGGAAAAACTTTGGTCGCTTCCGGGAGAGCAGATTCATCTGAGAAGAAAGAAAGAAAGCTGCGTTGGTTATGGCGACCACCAAAGTCTACGTCGTGTGAGTGTCGATGTATTTTGTGTTTAATTTCTGTATATGGAAGGTGATTCATGATCCAAGTTAATGGGCTGGGTTTAGTTCATTCCCTGCGCTTTATGGGAGTTATCGTGTTAAGATTTGTTGTTGGTAAATTTTTCTGGGAATGCGTTTGATGATTTGTTTTCGTTGAATTCGAATCTGCTTGTCATTGAAATCGCTTCGCTGGTGTCTGCTTCCTTAGCGATAGTCTGAAGTCCGAGCAATCCAATAGAATGGACTAAGTTAGCTGAGGTTCACATCTCTGTTCGATGAATCACCATTATTTGGGATTTTTTCGACTGCAGTGTTCTTGTTTGAGTGTAATATGCTGTGATTGATTTGATGTTTCGTAGCTGGAATAGGAGGAAACTTGAGCATTTGATACTGTGGCTGAATCTTGTGTTTTCAATGGACTTGGGCTAATCGCAGACTGATTTTCTAAGTTGCTAGAGAAAGATCTGAAAATTACAAATAATGGTAATTATGTGAGCTTAGATACATTTGTATTCTGAGAAAGTTGGAGAGATAATCACAGACTGATTTTGGGATACAACAATAGAGTAGGTCAAGGTGCCCTAAGATTCACTTAGTTCAACAAACTTCTTGCTGAAAACAGTATGACTATTTCCTTGTCAAAGCTAATGCGGGTGATTTCTCCAATTTCATAATTCATGAGCATGAGAGTATCCACATTATGCTCTGCTGCTGAAGTGTTATTGAAAGACACCTTTTTCTATTCTTGTCTTCTCCTCAGGACTGTAAATTTCATTGACAGTCCATATTTTAACACTTCTCAGATACTATTCAATGTATGGACATGTGGAAAAACTAGCTGAGCAGATAAAGAAAGGTGCATCATCCGTTGAAGGAGTTGAAGCTAAACTATGGCAGGTAAGAAGCATCCACGCCCACCCCCGTTGCATTTTTTCGGGGAGATCTCCCTGCAGTTCTTCGTTTGTAAAATTTGGATATCATCTTCACCTGTATATAAATTAAACATACATTATAAAAAATGCTCATGAAGTTGCTAAAATTGTTGAAATGCATATTTTGACACAATGCGCAAATACGCAATCAGATGAGTATATAAGATTAAATTAATTTAAATATAACAATGTGAATAGGAAATTCCTCTTTTTGCATTTTTAGAGTTTTCAATTTTTCTCAAGTTTTTCAATGGTAATGCTTGATGAATTCTGTTTCCTTTTGGATTGAGCTCTGATTTCGAATTTATAAAGGATAAGCATTTTTGTTCACATCACAATATGATGCAATGGCTGCAAAGTTGAAAATTACTCAGAACTGTGAATACATATATATATATATATATAGCATTATTTTGCATTGATTTATAGTTATAATTAGATGAAAGAGCTCAGTTAGTTGGTATACGTGACTGTGGGAGGGCACGCACATGTGCATCTATGTGTGTGTCTGTGTAAAAATGGTAAACTTGGAGCTCAAATACTGAAAAAGGAAGTGAAAGATACTTCCTTAAATGCTACTAAGTGATGCTTGGCGTATGAATAACTATATTGATGTATTGATTCTATATTTTCCTGATTCATGTTTACGTTGAGGCTTTGTTTAATTTGTGATAAAAAGGTAGTGTGTGAGTCTGTGTGATTCAGATGAAAAATAAAGAATACTAAATAACATTTGATTCAATATCATTAATACATATAGATAGATATATTGGGGTGAAGAGAATTATATTGAAATTAAAACAATTAGTTGTCTATATTCCAAAATGATTGCCTCCCTACACCTTCACCCTTTTCAATTGTATCTGCAATTCTTTCTGAATGGCCAGACGAATATATCTTCTGTCTTCTACCATAATTTGGGCTTCCCTCCTCCAAATCCATAGACTGTTTTCATTCTATATATGCTGCTGCTGGCAATTTTGGCTTGAGGTTTCATTATGGTAAAAGAAATTGGGAGAAACAACATGTTGTAAGTTTTGAAATTTTCAAATGTATTTTTTTATCTCATAGTTCCCCTCTGTTAATGTTGTGTAGCTAATGGAGGGATTCGTATATATTATGAAAATCTTCAACTAATTTAGATGTAGACGTATAATTTTACTTTTTATTTCCTTCTCCAGACAATTATATTTCCCTCATTAGATCCCATATCAAATATAGAGTTGCAGGCGAAAATGCGGAACAAAATCACTCACTACATAATTGTGCTTGCAACAAACAGGTCCCGGAGACCCTATCCGATGAGGTTCTTGCAAAGATGAGTGCTCCTCCAAAAAGTGAAGTGTCAATAATTCAACCTGCTGATCTTGCTGAAGCCGATGGCTTCATATTCGGCTTTCCTACAAGATTCGGCATGATGGCTGCGCAGTTCAAAGCATTTCTTGATGCCACTGGTGGCCTGTGGAGGACACAGCAACTTGCTGGAAAGCCTGCTGGGATTTTCTACAGCACTGGCTCTCAAGGCGGCGGACAAGAAACCACAGCGTAAGCCCCAAATCCCGACAGTCTCTCAGAATTAAAAAGTGCCAATGATTCAATCCAAAGCTCTGCTATTTTATTCACAGGCTGACTGCGATCACTCAGCTCGTTCACCATGGAATGATCTTTGTGCCCATCGGTTACACATTTGGCGCTGGCATGTTTGAAATGGAGAAAGTAAAGGGCGGAAGCCCTTATGGTGCCGGAACTTATGCTGGTGATGGTTCCAGGCAGCCTTCTGACATTGAATTAGAACAGGCTTTCCACCAAGGGAAGTACATCGCCACCATTGCCAAGAAACTCAAGGGCAGCGGCGCCTGACAGATCAATCCCTTCAGGTTCGAAATACTCTACTATGTCTCTTGATTCATCGTATAATGTTGAGGTTGCTTTAATTGCCATATTTGGATACCATATATTGTTTGATGAGATTGCACATGTAATTCTTGAAATATCAATATTCATATATATGCTCTCCTGAATACACACACACACACCCCTACCTACCTGTCTACACAGATTATTGCCTATATAACAACTTGAAGTTTATTACAATTTCTAACATAAATTTGATGCTCTCTTGTTTGTATTATAATGTATTGTCCTTGTCCAGTCCAGTCCAGCCTTGTTGTACTTTCAGTTCTACCATTTGCATTCTACTTGTGTTGTTGTGTTGTGGATTGAGAAATTATTAGGCGATTTTACATGTTGGAGCAGATCATGAGATCATCTGTCTGGTTATTTAATTTATTTTGCCGTGATGTGTTTGTCTGTGTTTTTGGTGCTTTGGATTTGAATCTTTTTTAATCGAAATAAAGTTTTGGAAATGATGCTTAAGTATTGGATACTACATGGTTCTGTAGATAGAATTTTTTGGAAGAGGAAATATGCATTTGATGAGATATAATTTTTTTTTTTTTTTTTTTAAAGAAAAAATTACTGAATAAACTAAATTTTTTTTTAAGTCGGTATGTAAACAGAGCCTACATGTTTTTTAAAAGAAATAGGAGTATTTCGTGCCAAATACAAAAACACTGCACCACACCTATTTAGTTTTGATATTGACTTGCCAACATATTTTCAATTTTGTGGTTCAAACATTATGGTTATGGTTGTCTTTTTTTTTTCTTTTTTTTTTTTTGACTAAGCAATTTTATATTTTTGAAAAAATTATATCATTATTATTATTTTATAAAATATTTCATCAAATTACTTTGTAACTTAAAAGATACAATTATATACTCTTTCTATTTCATAATAAACTATCCATTTTTTTTATTTAATATGTCTCCCATCCATTTCTTTTTTTTTTTCCTCAGTAACGACTACTTAACATTAAAAATACTCTTACAATTTATAATATATTAATAATGTTATTTCAGTTGTTTTTATTTTATTCATACTATATCTCAATATAAAACTAATATTTCTAAAACTACAACGGACGAACATGGGATGGATATTGTGAATAAATTATAAATGAGATTCAAGTTTTCAATGTTCAATTTTGTTCATATTTTTACTAAAACTTAAAATTTGATGAATAAAATCTGTAATTTTTTAAATTATATCAATTAACGGGAAGATAATTTATGTATGTTGTTGATAAATGACAGATAGCTCATGAATATGCAAATTCCTCTCAATATATATGCAGCAGCACCACAAAAATAAAACTACAAGTATTAGCATATTGTAAGTCCGTGGTAACATTTCTTAAATAATTTTGTACTGTTTCGATCGATCCTGCTTTATTATACATACTCTAATTTTGAATTCAATAACCTAATTCGTTAATTATTTATCATTTTAATTTTAATAGCACAAAATATTTAATTTAATATTATTGTTATATAATTTAGAATTAACACCACCATATGTAATTAGTGAATAATAAAAAACATGATTTAAATTTATATAATTAACTCAAACATTCAAGTTATGTTAGAATTTGATTGCAATTTTTTTTACAAGGCTTCAATTTTTATTTATTTATTTTGTAAACATACATTATATATATCACTTGCAACTTTTTCAATTTTTTTCTATTATTGAAGCCTCATCATTTTCTATAAAAGCAAATATTTTTTTCTCAAAAAAAACACACATATCATATCCAAACCATGGCTAGGAGAAAATAATCATCAACTAATTCAACACAAGATTATATATACTTGGAGTTTGATTTGAACTTTCTTTACTATACAATCCTTAAGATTTTCTGTAAACATACATTATTTTATCTCATAAATTATTATTTAAATAAAAAAAATCTAAAACTAAAATACAAAACCAAATTCTAAGTGAAAAAGAAACCCTTAAGTTTAGAAATATCTAAATCCTAATATTATGTGTAAATTTAATTCACACCTAAACCCTAATGCTAGTTTAATACTCCAATCCATCTGTCGTTGAAATGTATGTTAAAATATTTGGACATAAGTTTCAATAAAAAAATAAATAATAATTATTATATTATAATTTTATAGTAAAAAAGAACATATAATTTTTATTAAAAATATGATAATATTTTTTTTATAACAATTTAATTAAAAAAAATATAAATTTAAATGACGGATAAAAATAGTATATATTTAAATAAAAATATATATATTTCTTACACAAATAATGGTAAACTTGTATTATTAGGCTTAATAATAAAAAGGCAAAATAAGAGCCATTAATTAAATTAGTGGTGTCTGTAATCTGTGATGGTGTCCTTTCTGCTTTAATTTGTTTGCTTCATCTCCCGGGATCTGTTTTTACTTATTTATTGTCATCTTCCTTGAAAAGAAAAAGAATAAATATGCATGATTACATATTCTTTTGAAATTTTATTTTATTTTAAATTGAATGGTAATTAAATATACTAATATTTTATGAAAAAAAAATACTATATAAGTTTAGATTAAAATTAAGATATTAGTCTAATTAAATTAAAAAATTATAAATTTAAAAAATTAAAATGAGATTAAAGTATATAATTCTTTTTTTAAAAAAGAAAGTGACATAATAAATAGGACCGACGAAAATTGAAAAGTGGATACGATAAGTGGGACCGATGGAGTAATATTTTATTAGTTAGTAAAAGTATTTAAGATAATTTTGATAATTTTATCTTTTGTACTTTATGTATATTTGTAATTTATGTAAATATATATATATTTTTTGATATTCATGTATAATTATTTTTACTATAATAATTTATTTATTTTTTATTTTTATAAATTAAAAATGGTATCCTCAGTTAAGATGAAAAGAATATATATAATAGATTAAGATCATACTAATTATACTAATATTTTTCACAACTATATATTATATACTCGTTCCGTCCTAATACAATAGTCTTGTTTACCATTTTTTTTTTCGTCTCAAAACAATAGTCTTATTTTCATAAATAATCATATCACCGTAAAACTATCTCTATTTTTTTATTTTTATTACACAATTGTCACTACTTTTTACACTAATACACCTACAAGGGCAAAAAAATCTTTTATCTATATTTTTTACCAACTACTAATATAATATCAATATTTTTTAAATCTCGTGACAGATATGATTATGAGTATAATTTTGGGACGAAGGGAGTATATAATTGTTGAAAATAATAGATATGATTATGAGAAGCAAGTACTTAGTATTCATAAGTCTGATCCTACAAATGAGCAGTGAGAATTGAAGCATCACTTTACTACACACTCATTCATAAATAATCATTACCAAACTTTGTTCATTCGATAAATTAAACAAATTGATTATATATATATATATATATATATTATATACATGAGAGAATATTTTAATTACATATAAATATGTGGATATATTCTCGATATATAGTAGTATTGATTATTATTTTTGTGACATATGATATGATGCTGTGATCATGATTAATGCTCAACTTTTGATGCTACAAATATATTTGTGTTTATTCATGCTTTGAAGTAAAGCTAATATCACTTTTACAAAAATTATCCTCTCTACTTGATTGCTACGGTAGGTGAAATTACTCTATAATTTTTTAGCATAATAATAATAATAATAATAATAATACTATTGATAAATTATAGTACAAGAAAAAATTTGTATGTATATGTATTTATCTCTTAAATAAAGAAATATATTCATATATATAATATTTTATTTTTTTTATAAAATTAATTCATGTTAAATATATGTCTTGTATATAATTTTATTTTTTTATATTCATATTGAATATATTTATTGAAATATAGTATTTTACTTAGCTTGAGGTATATTTTAAATTTATTTTAGTCAAATATATATTAATTAGATTATAAGCCAAATATTAACCAACACTATCTTAGAACTAAGATCAAACTTCTCACCACAATTTTCAATGATAATAAAACATACTTTTGGAGGAAGAGTTTATGTATATTTTTTCCTTTAAGAAAAATGAAAATCTGTTGGGAATTAAATTCACAACAATATCTATAAGTTTTTTTCTTTTATTTTTAGTTTCAAATTGAAATATTTGAAATCAATATTATTTATTTATACGATTTTCAATAAAAATATCATTTTTTTTTCACAAATATCACATCAAAATACTCCATCGGTCCTATATATTTTGAGTATATTATTGTAAATACAAGAATTTAGGCAAAATATCATTAGTAAATAATTAAGAAATGTATTAGTAAAAAATTATTATCTACTAAAAATAATTATAAATTAATATTAAGATAGTTAAATAATTTAAATAAGATTTAAAAAATTATAAATTATAAAATTTAAAATTTGATTAAAATGTACAATAATATTTCAAAAAACAATTACAAATTATGTGATATGTACGACAGATGAAGTAGTATTTAAACAAAATCTAAAATCTAACATTTTATTTCAAATAAATTTTAAATTACAATCAAACAATAATTGTTTTCAATTTAAATGATTGAAACAGAAACGAGAATAGGAATTGCAAAACTACAAAAGAAAAAAGAAAAAAAAATGGTATTCAGTGTTTATTTTATAAAGAATATTTATAGATATAAAAATAATTCAGTATGGCATATTATGTGATTTGGTATTTATAGTATAAAGAAAATATTGATATTATAATATAAATATAGAGTTTGTATGGAAAATACTTTGAATGTGTTACTCCATCCGTACTAGATAATTTGGATCATTGCGATAAATACGATAATTTATATAAAATATAATAAGTAAATAATTAAAAAGTGTAATATAATAAAAATAATTACATTTGAAGATTAAAATAACTATATAATTAAATTAAATTAAAAAATTATAAATTATGAAATTTAAAATATAATTAAAGCATATAATCAAATTAAAAAAAAAAAAGACAAATTACATAAGATAGACGAAAATTGAAAATTGGTAAAAATCAAGTGACGATGTTAATGATGTATTATCTATGTCCTAAATACTATCCAACATTTGATTTCCACGCAAGAATTTAGGTGGATAGTACTAAATATGATGAGTTAAGACATAGATATTGTATATGAGAGAAGTGTATATTTACTCTTTTATTTTAGTGCGATGGGATAAAACGTCGAGTAGAAATTAAGTATATTTAATTATTTTTTATTTTAAAACTATTATAAGGTATTTGAAATAGATCAAACAAAAATATAGCCGGGTATTTAGAACGGCTCCTTCAATTGCTTTTTGTTACTTTTAGTTTGGTGCAGTTTTTTTATATGGAATAATATTTAATAGTTTTTTTGTTACTATATCATTTTATATTTTTATTTGAACTAGTATATAAAATATATATAACAAAACATTTATAAGAAAATTATTATTATACACTATTAGGGTTTGAAAAAAAAAAAAAAAAAAAAAGATGAAGAGGGCAGTGCATGCGCCTTGCAGCTGTGAAAGTGAAAGCAGTTAAAAGTGAGAGTTGGATGAAAAGCACAAAGCTAAGGCAAAGTATGTATGTATGTATATATATATCTTCTTCTACCTCTTCTTTAGTGCAACATATATCACTCCATTTCTTTCCTTATTCTTACAGAGAAACTGCATAAAAACAAGGGAATGGAAAGGCCCTAATCGATCTCGTGCAGCTGCTTCTGACTTGATTCCACTAACATAAATAAATAATTTTATATATATACACATATTCTGAAGATATATAAACAATGTAAAAGTAAGAGTTCGTTCAATCAATGGATCTCCCTCCCCCACTCCTCTTCTGGAAATGAATTATTCCTTTCATCATCCTCTTTTTGAAGAGTAGTTAAATAAATAAAGTGGGGGAAGGAATTAAGAAATTAAAACAAATTAAAAAAAAAAACCCTTAAAAAGTAATGAACACAGAAGCTCCTCTGAACATATAACATATATAAATTAAATATAAATAAATAAAATGCACCACCAGACCACCAAAGGTTGGATCTTTTTCTATATATCCTGAATTCAGCTACAGACAACAAATACCAGCAGTACTAATAATCGACGATGATCATATCTCTAAACTAATTAATAATCCCATCTCATCTGATCATATCTCTACTTATTAATTAATTAATCTCAAGCATCATTCCTGTCCACAAACCACCCTTTAATCATAATGCCTCAATTATTAGAGAAAAAAGACAGACATCTATCTACTTAATTTTGCACACATTAATATTGATTCTTTGCCTGCTGCTGCTGCTAAATCATTTTGCCTGGCCCCAAAATAAAAGTAATTCCCTTGTCTGTTTCTTACCTTTTCATTTCCGGGATTAGTAGTAGTAGAAGATGCAAATGCCCATGGAGAAGAAGGGTACATTATACATGCATATATATATATATATATACACACATATTTTCTATCTTATCTTATCCTGTTATTGGATCTGTTAGGGTTTTGATAAGAGTAGTGTACCCGGCTCTGATTCGGACAAATGCCTTAATTTCGAACATATATATTTCATCATCTGAAACTTGCTCCAAATGTTGGTGTCCAAAAATCCACAGTTGTTTCGTGTGTCATGGGGAAGGTGCTCGAAACCGGAACCAAACATAGCCCTCGGCTTCGAAGATCTTGCCGGACTCCTTCAGCAGGATCATGCTTGTTCGACTTCTCACCTGGATTCTGCACCAGACATGTATAAATTCATATATATGATAAATTACAATGTAGAAATCAATGATCAATTATCGATCAATTTATTATATGATGTCTGTCGAACTAATTCCATACCTGCAGCTGGTGTTGTTGCTGCTGCATGGGAGCTCCATTTTTCATGTAAGGAGTGCTCAAGACCTGATCAAGATTAATGAAATTAGTTATTACATGAACACAATATTTTGGGAAATTAATTATAAATGGTTGAGTAGAAGAGGGCTTACACTGACTTGTTCATGGAGGAACTTTATGTACTCAATAGCCTCGGAAAGTACAGAAGCAGTATCAGTCTGAGGAATTAAACAGATAAAATTGTAACTCAGAAAATTACCACTGTGGAAGAAGAAGGAGATGAAGAAGAAAGATTGATTTTTTTTATTTTTTTTTTATTTTTTTTTTTTTACCTTTCCAAAAGGTGAGACTAATTGTTGAAGTGCTGTTATTCTATCTCCCATCTTCTCTTTTCTCACCTAATCAAGAAGCACGCAGCCGACCCGATTATGATATATATAATTAATTAGCATATGAATAAATTAAATTAAAGAGAATGAAGCTGTGAGGCATGGAGGACCCATCATTGCCAAAAGGAAACGTACTCTACAAGCTCCATTATAAATCAGACCTTAAAAGCAGCCGGTAAAGGGGATGGCGTTTCGTTCCGACCTCTTTTGTTTGATGTTGTCGTTTCTGTGCTGCTTTTCTTCGTTGTCGACGTGCTCAAATCCGATGAGCTCTGGGGAATGTAATTGGAAGTTAATTAATTAAGAGGGGTTGATGGATTGATAGAATTTGATTTGATTTAATTTGATTTGATGTGTTCTCGTGCACAATGCAGACAGTGGATTCATTGTAATGGAATCGTTAATTTATTAACCGCATGGGTTAAATGTCGAAATGAACAGGAAATTGTAATGAAATTCGAAGCTATTTTTAGTTACCTTGGGTTTTTCATCGAACGTTGGAGGAGTCGGAATCTGCGTTTGTATGTCCGGGAAAAAGCTCGATCGAGCATCGGACATGGTGGAGGTCCGGGCAGATGCGTTCCAGAAAGGAGTGTTATTAGTAAAATGTAAGTGGGTCCCGCCGCCTGACGGCGGCGGCGGCGGCGGCGGAGATGTTCTCAAGAACGACTGCGGGAATTTATTCCACGAGGAGATTAATCCGGTGGCGCTGGGCGAAGGGTATGGGAAATTCATGGCGGCGTGCTGAGCCTGAGACTGATTTTCCGGCAGTAACAAGCCGTAGGCGGCGGCGGCGGCAGAGGCGGAGGCGGCGGCGGAGGCGCAGTCGAGCTGGAAACCGGTGGTGAAATTGTGGCCGGATGTAATCGTGCTGTCGTCGTTTGAACTCGCCGCCGCCTGGTCGAGAGAAAATCCGCGGTTCAGTTGCCGGAAATTGTGGACGGCGGAGTCATCGGGAGAATCCGTACCGCCGGAATAGAGCTTCTGCGTCCAGTGCTGTTGAGAAGACGAATCGTGCTGCTGGAAATTGGTCGTGTTCGAACTGCTCAGATGATCTTCCTGCTGAATCATCGACCGGAAACTGCTCTCCCCCTTTTCACCCCTACCATTAATTCAATATTCAAGCAACTGATTAATTCGATGAATTACAGAAAGGGGTTTTGGAATTCAATCAATTTTCTAATAAACAGACAAAATTAAATCCATGATTTCATGAAATTAGACTTACAGAAGAGTTGGATTCCAATCGAAGCCTTGAGAAGGAAGCCCCAATCCCATCATCTGCAGGTTGTTGTGGTCGGCCAGAACGCCGCCTCCGCCGCCGCCGCCGGCGTGATCGGCGCCTTGCAGCAACATAGAGCCATCTGAATCGATGGAATTCGGCCGGGGAGGTTTCATGTCGCCGACCTCTATCGGCCATCCGAAGCTTGCTGCCATGGCGCTTAGCGTTGTCGGAACAGTAGCTGATGTAGTCTCGCCGTCGAATCTGCTCCTTGATGTCTCCCACCAGTTGCCACTCCCGAGCTGGAATTCATCCGCCATGGCTGCCTTCTTCTTCTTCTTCTTGCTCTTTTTTTTTTTTTTTTTTCTCTTTCTCTATAGTAGTATATATTATCTTTTGATTAATTTTTTCTCAAACAGTGGAGGTGCTTATGCTTGAAGACTCTCCCTTCCTCTCTTGATTTTTACCAATTGACATGATTCCGATTTGCTGCATCTCAATATATATATATATATATATAAATAGTAGTCCTTAAATGAACGACCAAAAATTTGCGGTTGACTTTTTTCCAACAGTGATTTGACAAAGGAAATGAAAGGTCATATTTGAAAGCTAAGCAAATTCCATTACAACCCTAATTAATAAATTAATTAATTGAGATATATGTTCCATTATTATTATTATTTATTATTATTATTATTCATCTGTCTTTGTCACAGCCAATAGCGGTTTGGGAAAGCAAACTTTTGCCAAAGACAATGTTGAGTCAGTATACCATTGACGTTTCAAGACAAAAGCATGCACGTCATTACCTCGTAAATATGTACCGAAACTAGCTACAACATAATTAATGATTTATCTCTCTAATTAATTAATCATTTTCGAATAATTAATTATATATCTGGAGTAATAAATTTGGATCACTTGCCCCCGGTCCGCTTCTGTGACACAAGAGCATATCCAATTATTAACACCAAATCTCATCTGCAATTTAGCGAATTAATTAGTGCAGCAAAAATAAAAATTTAAATAATTAGTGTTGGCCGGGTAGACTATCTTTTAATTTTTTTAATCATTTTAGTTCTCTAATTAATTAAAGTTTATCTAATGTGAAAATTTTTTGCATTTTTCATCATTCGATGGCGGAGATCTCTGCGTGGCACTCGCATGTCTCGTCGGAAGACACGTGTCCGCAGGTCAGCTACACTTAACAGAATTTTTTTTATTTCTTAAAACTTTTTTCTAAATACATAAATTAAGAGTTTAGGGTTTATAAAAATTTATGTTTCTAATACATAACTTTTAAAAAATAAATAAATAATAAAAAAATTCACGTGTCTGCTAGGTGGTGTTAATCTGGCGGGCACGTGTCATCCGGCAAGTCACACAGATGCCATGCAGGTATCTCCGGAGTCAGAGGACTAAGAATACAAATATTTTTTACTTGCAAAATTAGTTTGCGGACAGACTCGAATTATAAAATTAAAATGATAAAGGAATCTAACTACAAAACTAAAAAAATAGTTTACCCATAAGTGTTTTATGGCACAAAACCTAATGTGCACTGCCTCAGTGAATAAATTATTCTTGCAAAATCTACAACAATAAAGATAAACCCTCTTTAATAAAATGATATTAAAAATTCTTGCCTCAATGAATAAATTATTCTTGCGAAATCTACAACAATAAAGATAAACCCTCTTTAATAAAATGATATTTAAAATTCTTGATTGTTGTAGCTCTAATGTCGTCATTGCAACAACTTTCAAATGATGTGTATATCTATCTCAATCAAAACATATTCTCATATACATTATATCATTAACTTTCTAAAATTCATTTTTAAAGATTCGATATTAATTAAGCTTGATGAAGAGTTAAATAATTAAGGATATGCATAGATAGTTGTGATGATAGTGGGGAAGTCAATGTCAGTGACTAAGGCCACCAGATTGAATTCAGAAAAGCCATCATACTATGAGCCCATATAATATGTAATAAGGTGGCTGACAATGAACATGCATACACAACAATATAATGCTATTTTATTTTTCTACCTATAAGGTGGATGTCGATACACACATGAATATGATCAATGAATGAATACCCATACTAAAATTTTCACATACTCAATAAATCAATAATTGGAATAAGTTTTTTATTTTTATTTTTAAAGAAATCCATAATTAACTATATACTATAATAGAGGGAGTGAATTGAGATATTTTAGCTCCACCAAGTAATTAAGTTAATATTAAAGTGAATAAGCAGTAGTAAGTGGGAGGCGGTGGCGTCAAGTGTCAACCACGACGGCATGAAACGGTGACGTTTTGAAATAATATACTTAATATTTAATTAATTAATTTTGACCCTTATTTATATTAGTGATCTAATTTTTCATCGTCATGGTCATCTAAGTAAGTAAGAAAAGAAAAACAAACAAGTCAACGATGGTAACGTGCGCGTGCGTGTGGCGTGGGACCCTCACCCGGAATGACCTAAGAGTCAGAGCCTGAAAGGAATGTAAGTAATACTATAATGCTAGGTAGGTTATTAGGGTAGTAGCTACTATTAGGTGGTTTTTTTTTTTTTTTTAAAAGAAAAACATGTAATAATACTATTGTATTTTAAGTACAAAAAAATATACTCCCTCCGTCCCATAATAAAGTATCCATTTTTTCATTTTACTTTGTCTCATAATAAAGTATCTATTTTTTTTTTAGTAACTGTACTATCTACTTAATATTACAAATACCCTTACAACTTACAATATATTACACAAATGTCGTTACCTTTATATCACACATACTAATAAGGTTATTTTAGTCATTTATATTTTATTCCTACTATATTCTAATATAATACTAATATTTCTAAAATTACGTGCAAAAGACAAATTGATACTTACTTCTGGGACGGAGGGAGTATTACATATTTTAATTATATTTTAAATTTGAAAACTATTTATCTTAATTCTAATTTATAATTATTTTTGTAATATATTGCTTAATTATTTATGAATTATGTCATTTTTAAAATTCACTACAAAAGAAATAATATTTTTATAACAATTTTTTTTTTCCCCTAAAAATCACATTTTTCATCACTAATCATATTAAGAATAGAATTAGCTATGGACGAAATTTATTCGCTCCTGTAGTTCATATAGTTAACTCCAATCGTTCCTAATTTTCGTTACAAATGTGTTATTTTTTGTAATGCTCGTATAAAAAATATACAAAGCACGGTATATGGGATGAAGTGAGTGTATTTTTATCAACAATTGCGTATTTATATGATTGCAATATAAAACTAGTTTGGATTGGCTTTTTAAAAGTACTTTTAATTTCTATTTTTTTAAAAGAAAAATATTTATTCCTATTTATATATAGGTTTTTGCTCAAAAGAAAGAACAATTTTTGGATGTTAAAAGTATTTTTTCTAAAAAAGCACTTCAAGAGTAATTTCGTGAAAAAAATAAGAAGTTTTACGATGTAAATTGCTAATTTATTCATAATAATAATAAATAATTAAATAAATAAACTAATATTATTAATTTATATATTATGATTAAATTAAAAATTAAATAATTGTATTTAATTATTATATATGTTATGTTTAAATTAAAATTTAAAATATATAATTGAGATATCAAATTTTTAAAGTATAAATTTTAATTATATATTAGATAATATAATTTTTAGCTATAATTTATAAAATTTTAAGATAAATTGTATTTTTATTTTTTAATAAAATTAAATAAAAATTAAATTAAATTTAAAAAAAATATAATTTATACATAAATTAAAATAAACAAATATTTTTTCAATTAAGTTAAATAATCTAAAATTTTAAAATAAATTTAGAAAGTTTAATAAAAATATTTTTACATTATTATATCATATTTGATCATTTTAACAGTTTAAAAATACTTTAAATTTTATTATATCTAAATAATTTTTATAATTTTTTTTTATATATAATAATTCGGCCGAACTATAATTTTATAGTCACGAGTTCATTCTTATGCCACCGAATCATTTGGTAGGACTGATTTTGCTATTATTATTATTATTTAGAATAGTATCGAGAGAGAGAAAGAGAGAAGTGGCTAATACAAACATTCCTCTTCTAATCATTTCCTATTTTCCATATTAGTCTTCCCACTGCTTTGCGTTCACATTCACCTATAAATATAATACCCTTCCTTCCATTATTTATATTTTATGTATATATATTGACTTTGTTCATATTTTTTTTATATATGTATTAATTATATATATATATATCTATATTGATTTTGTTCATTTCTATAGTGGCATAATTTTTATAAATATTATTAAATATAATATATTATCTATATTTTATTTATTTATATAAATTAATATTTTGTATCAAAATATTAATTTTATATTATTGCTTTATACACTGATTAGTTGTTAAATATAATATTTTTGAAAAAAAAAAAGATTATGTTCAAATTTATTTATTTATTTATTACTATGCAACGTGTTTTTTTTTTTTTCTTTTATTTGGAAGACTAACCAAAGCTATGGCTTAAATGCTAGGTTGTGAGTGTCCGCACCACGAATACAAAGGAAGAGATAGGGAGATGAATAGATATGATGAGAATCGATCCCCCTGAAATTGAGTGTTTCGTCGTTAGAGCTATTAACGAATCGAGTTAAATTTTAAGTCTTCGTTAATGTTCGCAAACAAGACTCGTGTTCGTTCATTAAGTTTTCGAGCTAGTTCGTAGTGTTCGAACTCGACTCATTAAGAATTTTTGTTGTTTGAGCTCGTGTTCGTGTTCAGCTTGTTTAGGCTTGATTAAGCTCGTTCAAGCTCGTTTGTCTCTTTTTTTTTTTAATTTATATAAAAATTAAAAAGAAAATTTTAAATTATTTTATTTATATATTTTAAATTAATATTTTATTTATTTATAATTTTATATGTATATATAATATTTATAATAAATACTCTTTTCGTCCAGCTATAAAGTATATTATTTAAACAAATGTTCGCGAACAAAGCTCAGGTTCGTTCATTAATCAAACGAGTCCGTTTATGTTGTTTGGTTCAGCTCGGCTCGTTAACGTTTACAAACGAACTTTAACCGAGTCGAATCGAGCCGACCCGAGTCGAGTTCACGAACGGCTTAGTTTGTTTAACAACTCTATTCGTCATTAGATTACACCCTCATTCTCTTTATTTACTATCAACTTGATATATGTTTTAAAAATAAAATATTTCATCCGTCCGTCTCTAAGGGTCACATTTACCTTTTGCGTCATTATACTTAACATTAAAAAACATCCTTATATTTATATAATTTTTTCGTACAAATGTCCCTCTATTAGTATTATAAGACACTAATTGAAATATGTTTGCAATTTTTTTTTTAATTTGTACTACGTTTTTATATAATAATTAATATTCAAATATCAACAAGCAAAAAATAAATAAAAGCTTAA